GCAATATCTTGCACTGGGCCTCGTCTAAGTGCAAACGGGTACACGCAGTGTACTGGCCTCCGAGATTTATGCCTCACTACTGGCTTCGACCAAGGTTTACCCTGGCCAGCACAGTCAACATGATCACCAAGAGGCTCGGCCAACGTGAGATGCCGGTAGTAATCTGCACGGATTCCTACTCGCTATATGAGTGCCTCACGAAGCTTGGAACAACCAAAGAAAAGCGCTTAATGATTGATCTCATGGCGCTTCGCCAGTCATATGAGCGACGTGAGATTGACGAGATCCGGTGGATCCACGGTGACGATAACCCTGCAGATGCCTTCACAAAGTCAAACCCGAACAAGGCCCTGCAGGACCTCGTTGAATATAACAAGGTGACGATCCGGGTGGAAGGTTTCGTTGAGAGGACTAGGACCAATTAGGAAGCGACTAGGAGCCAAGTAGGTGGCATATAGGAGGTGGTATTAACGTGAGAAACCTGTTTTTAGTGTTTTTAATGCTTGTACTTGTTGACGACCGCTTTGTGCGAGTACTGACCTATTTGCTTACCAAATGAGTCGGTTACGACAGCGGTTTGCTTGTTGATCGTTTTGTCATGTTTTTACTATGGTGTTTTTCACGGGTTTCCGGATCTCGATTGCAAATCGTTTTGTAAAAGAGATCCAGTGTTGGTTGCTTCGTGCAATCGAGATGCCTGGCACTGGTATGCAGCAAGGAGAGGTCACGTATGGCTTACACGTGACCTCGTCAAGCAAGGACTATATAGACCGCGTCAGGGCCTCATTAAGACAGATAGACACAACAGAACACAGAACCCAAGAATCACCTATTGAGATTGACTCAAGTGCTTCGTACGTACGCATATGCACCTTAGTGCACCCACAGAGTCTTTGACACAGAAGCGATAGCAGCTCTATTAGGATTAAAAGCCACCATTCAACGTATAGGATTCTACTCAGGATCTAATATATAGATATGCCTAGATAACCTGGAAGTAACAATCTAGCTTTTATCGTTAATAAATGGCTCATCACAGGAGGTCTTTGAGGAATTCCGCACACTTGCAGCCACCTGGACCTCGCGTCAAATACGCCTATTTACTGAGTATGGCCCAATCTAAATCTACCAAATTCCTAGACATGTAAATATTCCTAGTAATAAAGCAGTAGACCAGGCTGCTAAAGAAGGCGCAAGTTAAACCCTGTTCTCACTTTACTTATAGTCATATACAGCTCTTAAACAGTACACTAAATTATCAGTAGCTGCCCGAGCCCACAGCCACTAGATGAAAGTCGCACTGCAGGCCTATCAAGATTTCGAGATCACCACGTTCCCAATCAGCCTAGAAGAGCTCAAACTTCCACACCCTATATTAGGACGCATCCTAGCTGCGCGCTCTAAGCATAGAGACTTTGCTGACTACCATAAAAGGGTTAACTATCAAGATTCTCACCTCTTTTGTTGATATGGCGCGAGAAAGTTACCAATATACTTCTTCTTCTGCTGGATTGCAAAGAGAAAGGCTGCCCGACCCCCTAGACCTCCTAGACCTCCATCTGCAATTATCCCCTTCCTCCCAGATACCCCAAAGAGTGCTATAAAACTAGCTACCTGGATTTCAGAGTCCTAGTTCTTCGAAGACATCTGTCCTCGACGCCCTGTTCTTAGCACCTAAGCTAAGAAATGACCATAAACCTCACTATGTCCCTTTATCTTTTCTTCATTCTTTTCTCTATTTTTCTTTTCTTTCATCTTAAGCTATATCAGAGTTGAACAGGCTAGATATAGAGGCCAACCATTTGACCGCGGCAGTTATGTAAAAACGCCAAAGAGTCACTTCATGTAGCTAGTCTTATAACACCCAGGGCTTACCCTCTGGCGACCTTTGTCCCGATAGGGAATGGGTAGGCAGTGATTAATCACAACCTACGGCCGTTAAACAATGACACACACACACACATGGATGTCTGCATCTGACTACACTATAATGCGCTGCTCATAGGCTTTTGTAAACTACAGCGAAATATCCATAAAATTATGACTAATTACATGCATTATCTGATTGTATAGTTCACCTAACTATCATGCCAATTCGTAAGCTGGTGCAGGCGGCTGATTCTGTGGCTTGCCATAGATCTCCTGCGGAGCTGTCGGATCGAAAGAATGTGAATGAAGCTCGTAGAGGGACTCATCCCGTCTATAAACAACTTCAGGGTGGTTCGATGCGTTGTTGCCGTTGTTGGTCTTGTTTTCCTCTCGCCGCTTTTTGCCAATCGTGTACAACACCATGACAGCAGTCAATGCCACACCAGCTATGCATCCAACTACAATGCCTGAAATCGCTCCTCCAGACACGTCCTTCTTGTGACTGCTATTATTCTTATTGGGCCCTGGATTGGCGGTGCCCGTCTGCGACATTGACGATTCAACGGTCGTAGAAGTCGTGGTACAAAACATACTGACCGGAGTGCCGCTCTGATCGACAGCAACTAGATCCTCGTTCGTCACCGGATTAGCCTCCCACAAAGTATAAGTATTTGCATCTTGGTTGAGCATAAGGTACGCGCTCGTCAGAAACTGTCGGCCCAATTGGGGAAGATCGTCGGCGTTGATCGATTGGATAGAATTGAGAACCAGCTCTGGTGCTGAGCTATTTGCAATAATACTTCCAGTGGATTTGTCGATGGTTAAATTGGGAACAACAAGCTGCTCATTGGGTATGCGCACAGAAAGTCCGGAGCTGAACTTAAGGGTTAAGTCGCCGGTATACCTGTAGAATCTGATCAGCGGATTTGTCCTCTTATGATAGAAACCCACATACGCAATTGATGCATTCGAGTAGAGCATTCCATAGTAGTATATTCCAAATGATCGGGCTGTAATGGCCGTTCCAGTGAAAGTTTGAAATGTTGAAAAATATGGACTGTAAGGCAGCGTGAGTAATACTGGATAGTCTGGCACAATACAAGCCGTCATTGCCGCGGACTCTACTCCTCCAAATAAACTCGCATCTGTGCCGTTCGCAAAATTTAGCACCATGTCTGTGATGGTGACAAGCATCCCTGTAGAACAAGAAGATCTCGAAAAGTCCAGCTTTGCTGTATAGTTGGGGCCTGAAGTTTTTGCTTGGTCAAACCCGCCGAATACAAAACTGCCATCTTGCTGTGCACTCGAAGTCGCTCCTGCCTGGCCCCAATACATAGCCCAGGAGCGAGATGCTATGTGACCGATCTCGTATAAAGCATTGAGTAATGTCGAGTTTTGGCCCAACCCGAAAGCTACCTGTGGATGATACCCCTGCTCTCCCCAATCAGCCCGAGCAATTCCCATGGTAAAATTCGGAAGTGTAGTGTTTGAACTGAGTGTAAGATTATCTGCTGCCCAGTTCATAGACGGATACGGCGAGCTTTCTGTCAAATGCGGTGCGTTAGTAGCATCTCGGTAGCTGGATGAATTCGATGTATTATATGCGCCTCCACGAAACGTTCGACAAGCAGCTTCTGACCAGCCATTCCCACAAAAGCCATCCAATCCATAGACGAAGGTATCGTTCAGCGGCCTGCAAGTAAGGAAGTAAGAAGCTTTGTTCAATTGCCATAACGACAGTGTATGGGGACCTCGGAATCGTAACCTACCATTGTGGGAGAAAAGCAAAGGACTGCGGTGGACTACCTATTGAAAGAGATACGCCCCGTGCTGTCGTGTTTTCGAGAGTTGCATTCCCCAACCTGGCAGAGATGGGATAAGGAGCGCAGTTACTACTCGCCAGCGATACTCTGATCTGAGAAATTAAGGAAAAAAAGGAATAGAGAATAATGATGGATGGTATTCCGAATAACATGGTTGAAGAACTTGACAGTGAACTTGTATGTATCAGAGAGACTGCGTCAATTGTTGCATCATTATCGTCAATAGTCCTAACTTGGTTCGTGTACTTAGGTAGATACATTGAGCGCTTAACAAGTCCCAAGGCTGCTTAGTTGATTCATTATATAACTAATTGGTTCCACATACCTTGGACCTGCTGCAAGCAAGTAACCCCTGACATGGGTTACATACTATAAAAAAACTCTTCGTTGTTGCACTGGCGTGATTCTTGCTATCAACTGGTCGTTTTCAAATTCCCATCTACGCCGCAAGGTGCTCTACATAAACCCACTACCTATTTCGGGTAGGGACATGACTCTTGTAATGGGTCTAATCCAATCAAGAATCACACTTTACAAAATCCCTGTGATACTGACTGGACAACACGATGCCAAGCATCCAGGGTTTGATGGTACTAACTCCAAGTTTTGAAAAGGTTCATCTAAATGTGCTTCTCATCTTATTAGTAAATTGGAAGTAAATAGCGGTATTTTTGGTAATTTTTCTCAGACGAGACCCGCTTTTGGAAAATGTTTGCTTTTAGCGTGGCGCTTCGGCGACACGAGCAACAATGGAAATACAGATGAAAATGTGCATTATTCTGATGGTTCGACCGGTATGGCTCGGCTCAAGTTTCTAGCAATCTGTTCTGTTATGGACGAGTACTAAGAATTTTCTATACCGGCCGTTGATTGGTGGGCGGGCGGGAAATCCCATAAGATTTACTTATACAGCTCAGGTATATGAGGAATAGATCAGATTGTAGAAATTGGCCTATGTTCGATTAATTCTAGCCACACTGAGGGAATTACTCTATCGCAGGCGGCGTGGTATGAGGGCGGTATCAATGCCCTGTATCAGCCTCCAAGAGACGTGCTCTGGACTCTATCGTACCCGATCACTCGATCACTCGATGCCCGCCCTTCCGAAGATTGCTCCAAGCCCTAACGTAATTCCCAAGCGAACCGCCCACCCAAGCGACCCGCCCACCTCCCCGAAAAATAACTCTCTATATTGATTTCTCATATTTCAACGCGTCAAAATGCCACCAATTCGCAAGAAAGATCCCTTAAAATCTGCTCAGATAGAGGGAAAGATCCAGTTAGCTATTTCTGATTTGAAAAATGGAAGAATTTCCAATATTCGTGAAGCTACAAGGATTTATGATATTCCTCGTACGACTCTCCGAGATCGACTCAAAGGCATTGAATATAAAGGTGAAAAGCGCGCCAACCACCATAAATTGACTCAATCTGAGGAGGATTCACTTGTCAAATGGGTTCTTGATTTAGATCGACGTGGATTACCTCCCCGACATTCTCTTGTACGAGAAATGGTCAATTATCTTCTACAACAACATGGAAAATCACAAGTTGGAAAAACTGGGTGACCAATCTGATTAAACGCCGTCCGGAGATTGATTCCAAATTCGCAAGGAAATATAACTATGAACGTGCCAAATGTGAAGATCCAAAGATAATTCAAGAACATTTTGACCGCGTACGAGCTGCTATATCTGAGTATGGAATCTTACCAGAAGATATCTATAACTTTGATGAGACTGGCTTTGCTATGGGACTCTGTGCATCTGCGAAGGTTATTACTGGAAGCGATCGATATGCTCAGCCAAAGCTTTTACAGCCTGGAAATCGAGAATGGGTGACTGCAATTGAAGCAACAAATTCAACTGGTTGGGCGTTACCTTCGTACATTATTTTCAAAGCAAAGAAAAACGTACGATTAGGTTGGTTTGAGGATCTTCCAGATGATTGGAGAATCAATATTAGCGATAATGGTTGGACAACAGATCAAATAGGATTAGAATGGCTTAAAACCCATTTTATTCCTAATATTAATGATCGTACAATGGGAAAATACCGAATGTTGATTCTTGATGGCCATGGAAGCCATTTGACTCCAGAATTTGATCGTACATGCACTGAGAATAATATTATTCCAATCTGCATGCCACCTCATTCTTCGCATCTATTACAGCCTCTTGATGTTGGCTGTTTTGCAGTTTTAAAACGGTATTATGGGCAGGTTGTTGAGCAACGAATGAGGCTTGGATTCAATCATATCGACAAAATGGACTTTTTAACAGCATTTCCACAGGCTCGTACAGTGGCATATAAAGCTCAATCTATTCAGAATAGCTTCGCAGCCACTGGATTAGTGCCTTTCAATCCAGATCGAGTTCTTCAATATCTTAATATTCAATTGAAGACTCCAACCCCCCCTCCAAGTCGATCAAGCAATACAGCATCATCCTGCTTACAAACACCTCAAAATATACGCCAATTTGTACGCCAGTCAACTACAATCAATAAACATATAAATGAGCGCACAGGAAATCAGAATCAAGAAATCAATCAGGCAGTTATACGGTTGTCAAAAGCCTACGAAATACTAGCGAATGATACTTTACTCGTACGGAAAGAAAACCATGATTTACGAGCTGCGAATGAAAAAGAGAAGCAAAAACGCCAAAAATCTAAGAAACAGATATCTATTGAGCATGGGATTACTAGTGAAGAAGCTCAAGCGCTTGTACAAGGTCAGGTTGAGCCGGAGCTCCCAGCTTCTCAAGCAGTCGTACGCCGCCAATTTCGCTGCAGTGGTTGTGGTGTTGAAGGGCATAAAATTAATCGATGTCCTAATCGTACTACTAATTAATTTTTTGTATATAATTTGTATGTGATTAAGAAATTGTGATTTGAAATCAATATAGAGAGTTATTTTTCGGGGAGGTGGGCGGGTCGCTTGGGTGGGCGGTTCGCTTGGGAATTACGTTAGCCACACCACAACTGATTATGTAATATTTGTCGTTAACGTAACGTAATCCACAAGCGAGTTGGCCACACAAGCGAGTTGGCCACTTTTCCCGAAAACGCGCTCTATTATTGATTTCAAATCTCAATTTCTAACCACATACAAATTATATACAAAAGAATTAACTACTAGTACGATTTGGACATCCAGTTATTTTATGTCCTTCAATACCGCAACCACTGCAGCGGAAATGACGCCGTACAGGTGGATGAGAGACTGGGAGCTCAGGCTCGGCCGGAGCAGTAGAAACAGCTTGAGATGCCTCAATCTGACCTTGTACAAGTGCCTGAGCTTCCTCTCTGGTAATTCCATGATCATGGGATATTTGCTTTTTAGATTTTTGGCGTTTTTGCTTCTCCTTCTCATGTGCAGCCCGTAGATCATGGAGTTCCTTCTGTGCAATTGTAAGCTTATTAATACTCATCTCATAAGCCTTTGATGCCCGTGTAAACACTTCACCAATAGCCTCAGATGAACTTCTTGTATGCCGGCTTATTCTCTTCTTGGTTGTAGTCATTTGGCGCTTAAATTGACATGCGTTTTGAGGGGTTTGCAAGCAGGATGATTGTGTATCACTTGATCGACTTGGAGGGGGTGTTGGAGTCTTCAATCGAACAGTAAGCTGTTGATAAACTCGATCTGGATTGAATGGTACTAATCCAGTTGCTGTAAAGCTATTCCGAACAGTTTGAGCTTTGTATGCCATCGTACGAGCCTTTGGGAATGCAGTAAGAAAGTCGAGTTTATCAATATGGTTGAATCCAAGCCTCATTCGCTGCTCAACAAGCTGTCCATAATGTCGCTTTAAAACAGCAAAACAGCCAACATCAAGAGGCTGTAAAAGATGTGAAGAATGAGGAGGCATACAAACCGGAATAATATTATTCTCAGTGCATGTACGGTCAAATTCAGCAGTTAAATGGCTTCCATGGCCATCAAGAATCAACATCCGATATTTCCCCAATGTACGGCCATCAATAAGAGGGATAAAATGAGTTTTAAGCCATTCTAATCCAATATTATCTGTCGTCCATCCATTATCGCTAATATTGATTTTCCAGTCGTCTGGAAGATCCTCAAACCAGCCTAGTCGAGTGTATTTCTTTGCCTTAAAAATAATGTACGAAGGCAATGCCCACCCAATCGAATTAACTGCCTCAATTGCAGTTACCCATTCTCGGTCACCAGGCTGTAATAGCTTTGGCCGAGCATATCGATCGCTTCCAGTGATAACCTTTGTAGTCGCACAGAGTCCCATAGCAAAGCCAGTCTCATCAAAATTGTAGATATCTTCTGGCAAGATCCCATACTCTAATATAACCTCTCGTACGCGATCAAAATATTCTTGGATTATTTTTGGATCTTCACATTTGGCGCGTTCATAGTTATATTTCCGTGAGAATTTTGATTCAATCTCTGGGCGACGTTTGACAAGATTGTATACCCAGTTTTCTCCAACATGTTGGTTTCCGCGTTGTGAAAGAAGACAATTAGCCATATCCCGTACAAGAGAGTGTCGAGGAGGTAATCCACGTTTATCTAGATCTAAGATCCATCTAACAAGCGATTCCTCCTCAGATTGAGTTAATTTATGGCCATTGGCGCGTGTTTCAGCTCGATATGCCATGCCATGTAGTCTGTTTTGAAGTGTTGACCGTGAGACATTATAGATCTCTGCTGCTTTTCGTATAGAGTGTATTTTTTCATTTTTTAAATCGTAGATAGCTAACAAGATTCGTCCCTCTTGTTCAACTGAATTTTTTGAATTTTTATTGCGAATTGGCGGCATATTGACGTGTTGAATTGTGTAGAATCAATATAGAGCGCGTTTTCGGGAAAAGTGGCCAACTTGCTTGTGTGGCCAACTCGCTTGTGGATTACGTTAGCTCACAAGCGAGCCGCTCACACAAGCGGGCCGCTCACCCACCCCCATTAGAAATTTTTGAATCATGATATCTCAGCCAAAACACTATTAAATAATCTCGAACTAGCGATTTTTACATTGATTAATCTTATGCCCAATATCCCCACATCCACTACATTTTGGCAGAGCCCTCCTGCGTGGCTGATCCTGCTGAGTAGGTAAAGCGCCCTGTTCATGCGATACTAACCCACTACCTTCAACTTGCTGATTTTCCTGCTGAGCTAGCTGTAGGCCCTCTTCAACCGATAGGCCTCCTTCATGGACTATCTGCCTAGTCGACCGATTACGCTTTCGGCACTTCTTCTCATTCGCTATGCGTAGATTGGCGTTTTCTTGCGCAAGTAGCGCTGTGTGATGGAGCGCTTGATAGTGGCCTTTGATAATCTGATCTAGTATGATTTTTGATGGGCTCGGAGGGCTATTTGACCGTTGCTTTAGTAGTTCCTTAAGCATCGAAGCTTGCTTTTGGAGTTGAACGGCGGTCTTTGGCGTTTTGGGGGTAAACTGGCTAGATCTACTGCTTGGTCGACTAGACGGTGGTGTAGGTGTTCGGAGGGAGATATTAAGCTTTAAAAGCACCCTCTCTGGATTAATTGGAACGAGGCCTGTAGCAGCAAAGCTATTTTGAATAATGGAGGGTTGAAAGGCTTTGATACGCGCGCGAGGATAATCAGCGAGGAAATCAAGTTTATCGATATGATTGTATGAATTCCGGGCAAGATCGCTAACGACGCGGCCATACGCGCGTTTAAGCACAGCAAAACATCCAACATCAAGCGGTTGTAGTAGATGCGAGGAATGCGCAGGCATACAAACCGGTATAATATCGTTTTCTGCACAAATTCGATCGAATTGAGGTGTAAGATGGCTACCGTGGCCATCAAGAATTAATAGCCGATATCTGCCTCGTATGCGCGAATTCGTTGTTGCTCTATTAGCACAAATACATGCAATAAGAGTAATAAATTCTGTGCTCCCGTCTTGAATTGCACCAAGTAATTTCTTTGAACGGAGCTGGGATTTTGAGATAATTCGCTTCTCTGTGCGACAGAGGCCTATATTGAATCCTTTCTCATCAAAATTATAGATATTTGATGGGCTGATGTGATATTTTTTGATTTTCTCTAAGAGCTTTAGTATATTTGTCAGTTAGATAACATATCAATAAAGATTTAAAAGTGGGAATCAATAAAAGGTTCATACTGTTTATAAAAATGTTCGAAATGTACTGTACTGTATTATCGGTGACTTTGCGAGAATGATCAATTGCTTTCAGATAAATGCTGTCAATTTGATCATGGTAGTAGTGACAGAATCGATAAATCTAGTACTCCCCAACATCGTGTTGTATAAGCTCTACAACAAGATTTCGAAGAATTTGAGGTGTTGGAGGTAATCCACGAGACGAGAGCTTCGATATATGATTAAGTAGGACTTCTTCTTGGGCATCTGTAAGGAGTTTGCGGTGCATGGAAGTTGCTTCCTGGTTTGACGCGGTCTGGCCTTTATACCGGCGCCTTAAGGTCGAAGGCTCAAGATTATATTTCCTGGCAGTTTTGGCATATTGAGGCTCCTTTTGTGATTCTAGATCACTAATTGCCTTCAAAATATCTGCTTCGTTGACCATATTATCGAATTTTGAAGGTTACTTGTGGGAGCGGGGTAAAACGGGCATCGAGTGATCGGGTACGATAGTACCTAGTCCAACAATCCTCTTCCCTTTTAGCTCTTTGCTCCAATCTCCTCGATGCTAGCGCCCCTAACGGAGAAGCTGACTCTGAATTATTCCTATCCATGCTACCCAATATCCTCATTCTGAGCAGAGAAGCAAATAAGTGTTTCCTTGATTCTGAATCAAAAGACTGCCAGTGCTCCTAAAAAATCGAGGCAGCTAAGCACAGTAATAACTTGTGTATGTGTGTGTGTGTGTGTGTGCGGAAAAGATAGAATATTCCTCTCCAGTTTTTGCTAGAAATTTTTTTTTTTTTTTTTTTTTTTTTTGATTGAATCATGACTTGACACTGCAGCCGCGCCCATCGACCAGTTCATCAATGTCTCGCAGAAAAGAGAAGCTGGAATAAGTTTCAGGAAGCATTCGACAAGCTATAATCTACCTACTATTATATTATTTCACAGTGTCAAAGTTATGTCGACCTTTGTTATACATGCTCTTTATCGCAACGTTCATCAGCTGGAGCCACCGTTCCTCGTCCAAAGCGACGTCTGATACTTGCCACGAATTATCATTAGCGCCCCTACTGCTTGTCTGTAGCGTGGAAGCATGTGTACTAAAGTAATCATGGCCCAGAGCACCAGCAAGATTCCGAAAGCCCTTATGTTGGAAACCCTCTGGTAAAATCTCCACCATAGCCGATCTCTGAGGTAACCAGAGACCATGTGTCAGACCGGCTCCGTGAACTCCGACAAGCACGTCCGTGCCACGTATGATCTGTACCTGTTCTTGTAACGGCAGTACAGCGAAATCAATAAGCTGAATGAGAACTTCGCTAGCTTGATACTGCTTTTTTAGCGCCTCGATACGTGCGTGCTGATCGATCAGCTTGCGCGTGCCTTGGCGCTCGATGATGGTTACAACGACCTGGTCTGGCAGCTTGACTGGGTCGGAGATATTGAGTTGTTGTCGGACACGCCACGCAAAAGTCTGCAATAGATCCGAGTGCTGACAGAGAGTTGGCTCCCAGTCAGCCTGCCAAATCGGATTGCTACCGCCGGGTAGAGGAACGACGACTAGGCTGCTGTTGAAATCAGTTGAGAGATCAGGAAGTCGGACCACCGGCATTTTGGCCAAGATTCGCCATAGATCAAAGTATGGCCCGTCGGTGTGACTGTCGACGATGACTACCTGAGATTTTAAGGAGTCTTCAGCGCTGATTATAGGGTGCAAGCTGCCCACCGAACGTGTCATTTGAAGAACATCGAGTGTCATACTTGCAGACATAATTTCCATGAGGGAGTGCCAGATGTTACCCGCCCCTTCGCGCTTCACCAGAATCGTGATTCTTTCTATCTCCTTATTGTGTTCGACCTGCGCATCGAGATCGACGAAATCGTTGAAAACCTGTCGGGGCCCTGTATGGTACCAGTACATTGGAAAGTCATCTAGAGCCGGCGCGCTCTGATTGCTTTCGACTCCCCGGGGATCGATTCTCTCACAAGAAAGCTGAAACTTGCGCAGAGATGGGTTAAACACCGCATTTTGTCCAACACAGAAAGAGTCGATGCGTCCTTCCGGAGCAGTTTGGCTGTGGAAGCACATGAGCTGCGATGGAGAAGCAGGTGAACAGTACTGCGCACGGCTCTTTCGAAGGTTTTCCAGATATGCCAGCCCGAGGCGCTCTGTACAGGCAGGTAAATCTGTATATGATTCCAGATAATCCAAGGGTAGATCTAGAGGACCAGGCTCCAAAACGGCGCCACTCCCGCTGAGTAATCGGGGTTGTATCACTTTCCTCGAATGAAGGAATTGCAGGGTACCGAGAAGGACAAAAAGCGTCAATACGCCCAAAATCAGGCGCCTTTGAGATAAGAAGAAACGGTTGAACATGGCATCAACCCTACCGGATTAGGGACAGGAGAGTTCGAATATGGCATAAGCAAAGATAAAGTTCAGACTTCGACACTGTGAATACTACAATTCCTAGAATGATCACAGTCAATGCCAGAGTGGTGACATGTGCTTTGACTTATTTGGCAATGAGGCAAGTATTGGTGAACAGTTATTTCATTATGACCAGATGAGACAAAGCTGGTCAGCGTTGTGCAGTGCAGAAATACGGCACAGCTCTACGAGTTATCTTCGGAGTAATTAGTTAATCTGTAATTACCTTGTATCGCATATTTCCTGTTCTGTTTAGTAATGTGACTGAATTGCACACCCTGCATTAGCTCCGGCGCTAAGCATCATCTACTGTAACTGGACTCGGGCCATGTAAGACAAGTTCCGGTGCGGCATAGATTGAGGTCCTTCAGTTTAACTTGTAAGTAGCTTGGGATTGGCTTCTCATCGTCATGTGTTCGGTAGAGGTTGAAGTTGTTAGAACTATGACTAGAGCTCCGAAACGAATATGAAACTAGTGCTCCTGAAATTACTGAAATTTACCCATATTTCATGAAATTGAAATTTCAAGCGTTTTTCGACTTTTCAAATTTCATGAAATAGATTTTAGCGTATAACACAAGTCTTAGTCAGCAGGAAGTAAATCAATTAGAACACAAAGTGCCCCATTTTACGCCAATTGTAGCGAAAATTTTGGGGCCTGCGGCCCCACATTTAATAATAGGAATTTGAAATTTCAAGATACAAGTTTTATTTCAAACAACGGGGACCAAATTTCATGAAATTACACTAGTTGAAATTTCAAAATCGGAGCACTAAATTATGAATAATATGAATATGAATTAACTAAATGAATACGAATATGACCCATATTCATATTCACTAAATTCATGAATATATGAATATTCATGAATATCCACAAAAGATGAGGGAGGCAGCTGAAGCTTGAACTTGCTCCTAAGATTAATTTTGAATAGTTACTTACAGAAAAACTATATACAAACAGCAAGCCTACTAAAATTTGATGAAACCCCATTTCCTAAATCCTAAACATTTTTATGCCGAGTCCCAGCATTCTTACTACCCCGTGCCGCCAAGCCCGTGCGCGTGTGGTCGCGGGCTTGGCGGCACGGGTATATTGTCCTTTAAGGAACATCAGCCATCTAAATGTCTTAGAATTCAAGTAGTGTCTCCGAATACCCAGAACATCTCATGCGTTACTAAATAATCTCGTAACACCTACTTTAGTAGACAGAATAGGAAGATAATCCTGTACAGCTTTCGACATTAGGGGGTAGTTAAAGGCATTTGCTTTCCACCATTTTAATATCCAGTCAGGATCCCTATCTTCTAGGCCTCGGAGCGCACCTCAAGGAACCGGGACCAAACCGCACCGCACCGCAAGATAGTGCGGTGTAGTTCCAACTTTTAAGAACCACTGGGCGGTTCCATGACTTCTAGAACCGCACCGCTTTGGACGCGGTTAGGACCAGCGGTTCTATAAATAGTACTTAGAGTAGAAAAATAGCATTGGTGTTTATCATCACGGTTACATGAAAAGTAATCTCCTTTAAGATACAACTTTTACTGTTCTATACTGATATATTTAGGTATGTTGAGTACCTAATCGGCAAAACGCCATCACTTTTTCCCAGACGAGGCATTTTCTATGATTCAAAGGTTGTGTATAGAGGTCCTCAAGCACTTCTCTTCGAAAAAGACTCAGGCATTCTGTGAAAGGTAAAATTTCTACAGTAACAACAATTCGACCCGTGGAAGCACAATATCAGAATGAGTTTCACAGGCCTTTCAATGTTATAGTAGGTCAAGGTGTGCCAATATCCAGGGAATGGTCTCGGAACGGTAATGGTGTCGGAAACTTCGGTCAAACTACCGTCGAGTATATCTCGGATAGCTTATAACACGCTGAAGTTATAAGGCTTCTAAGTACGAAAGGCTTCTTGAAAGCAAAGTCTTAACAAAAGGATGAATATCCGGTTCGATAGAAGAACGTATACTCAAGTTGTCAAAGCTAAGGGGTACTTAGCACGGTTAATTCAAGACGATAGAGTAAAACTAAGTACATGGTAAATGAGCGTCCTTATATACCCTATCCTTGGTAGGGTCAGGAGATCCATAGACATAGTAATGGCTCTCTAGACTCGACCGGAGCTGGGAGATCCTTTGCTTCACTAGGGCTCGCCCGGCTCTCCTACCCTAACCCTAAGGTTGATACGGATAATCTTTGCTTCCGTAGTGAAGTAGTGTAACACTATCTATTCAATCCATTGGCTGCGGATTCTTGATTCTTCTGACAACTCTCTAATACCAAACTTGTCAGGAATGTTGACCTCTTTTATATGTGAGGTCCTGTACAAACTAGATCATGAGATGACATCCAGTCGAACCTTCTAGATATAGCTATATAGAGCTGATTGGATGTCTATATCTCGTCAGTATGTGAACCTAGTTCTCGAAATTTCTTCATGTTAGTAGTATGATGGATTCCCAATTAGGGATAGCGTATTGCGTTCCAACATCGAGTGTTGGATATTTGATACGCTAATCCCAATCAGGATGTCATTACTAATCATGATTCCTCGGAATAACGACATATCCGTGAGAACATGAGAGCCAAACTCAAGCCTACATTTTGGAGTCAGGATTGTCATTTATCCCGTAAATCCGTGATACTTTGCCACTATGATGTGTATATAAAGAGGATCAAGATGTGTAGTTAGCTATGTTTTAGAAGACGTGCAAATCAGAGTCAATTATTCCTCACCCAAATTGTACAACTCCTATCAGAGCCTAACCCCGTTCGGACTAGTACCCAAAGATTCCAATATCGAGAGCTGATCACGTGATATTGCTCACGTGACGCAGGCTACACGAAGGGATGATCTACCGCGTCGAGGTCAAAATAGCAAGAAGAGACAGACAATCAGAAGAATATGACTTTACCAATTGGTTACTAAGCTACTTGTATGCACATGTGCAGAAGCGAACCCACACCCTTGAATATTAAAACTGACCAAGCTAAGTACCTTCCTATTTCTCTAGGCTTTATAGATTTCTTCCTGAAGTAGTAGTAGTGCTTGTTCTGCTGAGCGCCTTTTCCTTGCTCTGAAGTGGTTTGTAGGCAATAGACTGAATGTTTCAATAGCATATGATATTCTTTCTGCAATAACTGCTTCCAGGATCTTACCTAGTGTAGAGAGCAGTGATATAGGTCTTTATGACTTAGCGAGCAAGTAGCTGTCCTTTGCCGGCTTCTTTAGCGGTATAATCTTAGCATTTCTCCATTAGGAGGGGAGATCGCTATCTTGAAGTGATCTCTAAAAGATAGAGAATACTCTTTCTTTAACTACTAGCCAGAGCTGCTTCTATACCATTACTGGGAGGCCATCCTCTCTGGGTGCTTTCCATAGCTTAGCTTTAAAGATTTTCTATTTAATCTCTTTTATAGTGAGATTGGGTATGTGTACTGGCTCTCTTTGTAGTTGGGTTCCCTCTTCTTTAATTCTTGTTAGTAATGGTGGAAAGAATGTTGCTAATAGCTCTTCTGTCTATTCTATTTTATCTTTGGTAGTAGATCTGTTCCCCTTTACCAATGGTAGAATTTTGTCGCTGAATGAACTCCTACTAGGTTTCAGATATTTGGTTGCCTGCTATATATTGGCATCATTAGCAAGAAAATCCTCCCAGTGTGCCTTCTTCTATTTCCTGATTGCATCATGATATTCTTTTACTGCTTCACGTGCCTGTTGTTTGAGCTTAGGGATTGCATGTCCTGCCCTATGCCGCGACCTAGCCTGATTTCTCCAGTAGATGTATATATGGTGAAGCTGCATTAGATCTGTCGTCTACCATTGTTTAGTGTATTATGAGGGTTTTGCCTTTGGTATAAGTTTCAAGACTACTTCTATGACTGCTGTCATGAGGTAGTCTATCTACTGCTAGACTGAGCTGTCCACAGGAACCGCCTATAAGCTAGAGGTGACTCTTACTCTAATTTCTATCTATGGTGTGTTCTTCTAAAGCGGTCTCTCAGTGGCAGATTAATCTAGAACTAATATATTGAACTTAGTTTTAATTACTTGATGATCTAATCTATGGTTTATATAATGTATGCCATATCTAACCATTTCTTCTGCTAGTTCTGTTAATACTAATACTAAGTTAATTATTGTTTCCATATTCCCTGATTGCTATGTCTTTATGTCTCTTGGTAGAAGACTGTGGAGAGAGTGCTCAGTCATGTAGTTAATTAAAGCATCAGCCTCCCTCTATCTTATAGGAGATATTTAATCTCCGCTCTAGAGTTGATTATGCCAGTTGAAGTCTCCCATTATTAGAATATCTGTTTGTATTCCTCCTCTTTTCCGGAAGTCTATCACTAAGCTGCATAGCAGCCTAATTGTAGATGTCAGTGCCTTCTCATTATTTCCCTCTACATAAACTAAGACCACTAGCACTTCCTGGTCTAGGAGACAAACCATCACAGCTATCAGATCTGATGATTTCACTAGGATCTGTTCCGCTTCAATGTTGCTCTGGACCCATAGCATACTCTAAATTGGCCATCTTCCTTCCTATCTTCCTGTAGATATCATCTTTGTCCAGTGACTATATCCCATTGGACTTGTAACAATCATGCCCTTAATTATCCATATATATAGCTTGGATATTGCTATCACACTGTGGTCTCTAATCTTATTATTGTTTATCAAGCTTTGTTATACCATGTCCCTTTTGCCCACATTGAGTTGTAGTGTGCAGAGTGATTTATGTATAGAGATGCATGAGGCATACTCAACAGGTTTTACTAAATAATTCATGTGGTCCTCCATATAGAACGCATTTTAAGATTGCAACCTGGTAGATGCTATAGTGATGTCCCTTATTTGCGCATTTAGCATAGGTCTAAGTCTTTTTATAGGAAAAGGCTTTATGCCCTATCTCCTGGCAGTTAAAGCATTAAGCTGGTCTCATCTGTGGTTCAAAGATTCGAGTGTATATGGATTCTCCTGCTATATCAAAGTAGTTGCCATCTATCAAACATTTAGCATCAGTCCCTTTTGTAATATACACTATCATCAATCTATACGCTTTATTAGACTCCTTCTTGCTAAGCTAGGAGATCTTAGCAATACTGACATTGTTCTCTTTTCCTAGTACCTCAGCTGCCCCTGGTAGGATATTTCCACCCGTATCCAGGACTGCTGTCCGGTTAGCATTGTCAATTTTGACTAGATATAGCTAGTCTCATAGAGTTCTTATTTCTGGTATCTCAATCTTTTGGGCTACTTCCTTAACCTGCTAGATCTCATCTTCATTTCTGCAAATAACTCTAAATCAGGCTATATTTTTAGGGTCCTTGACCACTGCTGCGCAGCGCCAGTTCTTTATTTCCTCGTTCTCTTGCATCACTTTCTCAATTATCTGTCTAATCCCAGCTATTTGGGTCTTGCCCTTATCCTCTTCCATGACTCGGGATGTGTTGATTGTGCAAAATAATGTATTGGCAGACGTAGGCGACACTAGAGGGCCTAATAGTGTATCCTGCTGATGACCAGGTTGGCTATCTAATGCAGCTACATATGTTGTCTTGGCTGAGGTACTTGCGACAGTGTCCAGCTGCTCTTAGAGTTACTTGTATTCCTCCACAGATTAGCTTTGGCTTGTTTCTAGCTAGGCTTGCAGCGCCTTAATTGTGCTGCTCTACTCCTGTATTAATTGGCTCTGTTCCTTGATTATTTTTCCCTGCTTGCTGAGAGCTTCTTTCAGAGTTTTGACTTCCAGATAGGTATCCTCCATATATTGACATATCTTTCTAAGCATGTCTTGGCTTCCATCCTTAGCGCTCTGTTTTTGATCAATAAGGCTAGCTACCTTTTTCACTGCTGTCAGTTCTACTTCTGTTATTGATTTTCTAGACACTTTAACAGTGCTGGTGCTGCCCGTGGCTTCTCAGGCCCTTGTCGAGGGTGTTATAACGCGTCCTGAACGCGTTGTTGTCGCCGGCTCCTCCACCATTGCGTCCGCCATCGCCAGCTTAGCTCCTAGAGCTGAGTCAAGTGCCTGCTATCGCGTATTCCGAGAGAATCACTTCTTCCTATCTCTCCCGTTCTCTCACTATACGGCCTTCGATCTGGTTCCGTCTGGGAGAACAGGGTGAAGATATTGACCATTGCCAAAATCTGGCAATCAAATGGTGTATGTACAGTCATAGACAGGGCCCTTTTTTATCCAGAACTTACTCACTCTCGATAAGCCATACCTCGACAAGTGTTCTTTCAGAAATTTTTTAGACGTCAGTCAACTCATCATAACAACGATAGAGTTGAGGTGTCGCGCCTTGAATGGGCGAATTACTGGATTAGAGATACCTGGGCTTACCAAGGCCCTTTTCTGGAGTGGCTGCAACGGTTTTGTCTCGGATCTGGAGTCAAGGTCTGTTCCAATAAGGACTGTGAAATGCTAAAAGAGAAAATATGCCCAATTGCATTTACCAATTGCCAATGACGTCCCTTCCGGGAATGGCCGATTACAGTCACATCATGCTACCTGAACAATAATAATATGCACCGTATTGATGAGGGGGACCTAGGTTCAGTCAGAGGGATGCTATTTAATTTCGTCAAACTCCAAGAAAATGGCAGGGAAAGAAAACTCGTCACTCAGACGGAGTTTGAGGTGTGCGAGCTCCTCAACTGGATGTGGCAGGCTACAAATGCCGATCCTATTCTCACCCGTCATATTTCGACAGATGTGCTTTCCAAAGCAATTGAAAGAGCCGACTTTCTCGGAATTTGTCGCAATCGTCTGTGGAATCAGGCTGTTGCTAGCGGTGATGAAAAGCACCTTGCCATCCTGATGCAACTGACCGGTAATGGTGATATAGAAGCTGATGTCGCTACTAACCAAAGATTCAAGCATCTCAGGCATGAAAGCTGTTCTGCTGAGTCATGTCTATTCAGCAACGTTGACAGTACAAATGTCAAACAACTGCACAAATGTCCGAGAGAAGACTGTGAGCTATTGGAGTTTCCTTTGGATGACTTGTTATTGGAGACAACCACCGAACCCTACACATGGTGGATAGAAGATGATAAGCCATACCTCACCACGGAGATAGAGTACGTAGCAATTTCTCACGTTTGGTCAGACGGTACTGGCGCTGGAGTACAGAAGGATGGATATGTCAACTCGTGTCTATTCAACTACTTCAAAGAAGTGGCCATGGAAGTTGGATGTAAAGCCATTTGGTGGGATACGATCTCCCTCCCACGAAAAGGCGAGTTCCGAAAAAGGGCAATTGGAAGGATTAACCAAGATTTTCTTTCCGCAAAGTGCACCGTGATTCATGACCAATACCTAGTAAACTTTCCCTGGGTGGACGATGGAACCCCTTGTTTAACCCTGACTCTATCTTCATGGTTCACGAGGGCTTGGATAGCCTTAGAGCTACTCTATTCTACCGACGTGAGAGTAATCTTTCGTCATCCAACTGATCCAACGAGGAAGGTCATCAAAAAGCTGGACACAGAGGTCATCTTGGAAGGAAGTCTCTGTTCTCGTAAACATTTCATCGCATCACGGTTGATTGATGATCTTCGCCATCAGCAGCTAAATACTGTTTCAAGTATACTCGAGGTCTTGAGAACAAGAAGTACTTCGAAGCCACACGACATGATAATTATTGCCGGTCTCCTGGTCGGTCAAAAACCTGACACTAGCCGGATCGACATGGCCGCAGAACTTACGCGAAGCATTTTACGAGCTCTCCAAACGGTCGAAAGTTCGTTTTTGTTCCATAGTCATGCAACCATAGCTGACAGAGGGGGATTTTCATGGTGTCCGTTCAATTTGCTCCAAGGGCCTGATCCATCAACACTTTATAATCGCGATCCTTCTGCCTTGGTCAGCAATAATGGCGCCATTAGTACTGCGTTCCTATATAGAATTTTGCGACAAGAAGATGTGAGAAAGATTACAGCATACAGTTCTCATAAGTCGGTACAGAATAAAATTTTGACTGCTCTAGCAAGTGCAGAAAACATCGGACTTTTCACGGGCACTTTTGGTGAAACCCGTTGATGTTGGCACACTCGACCTACCGCGATTCAGTCTCCATCTAATTGATTGTCACTATGTTGGCGCTGTGAATGTGGAACTCAAGCCCAGTGATGCTAGAATTATTCTTGTTCGCATTGGCCATGTTGAATGTCCTCCTGTTAGCACTGCTAGCCGTATCGTGAATAAATATTGGGGGCAGCCACATTTCGCAAACGTGATCGTCACGAATACTCGGGAATTAATCCACCATGAAGAACAGAAAATTCTTGCAGCACTGCTGACTGTCGATGTTGATTACGCCTATACCGAACTACAAGCATTCTACAGACGTTACTCGTCTCCATGGAGGTTCAGTTTATCTCGTCTCAAGCATGCAGGAAGGACTATAATTGCTTTCCTACTCATAAACTACCGCAGCTATGACCAATCTATCAGCGCCTACGAGAAATCGATCAATGATATAGAGCATATCCAACGTAAATTAAAAGAGATCGATAGGTACATAGATGATCGCCATGAGAAATGGAACAATATGCGACGAGTGTTGGGTGATATCCGAGCCCTGAAATCCAAGTACGAAGCAGAGAAGGAGAGAATACAGACTGTGAAAACCAAATGGCAAGATTTGCTCAGACGATTCAAACAACAGATTATAGCAATAGAAGAAAAAATCGAGCTATATGAAAGCTCGCAAAATTTATTGTTGCGTACGAAACTCCGTTTAGAGCATCAAAATGAGAGCTCTCAAAAGCATATGTCAAGCCATCAGCACACACAACCGGATAATTGTGCTTCAGACCACCATGAAGAGGAAGTCAAACAAGCCTCGGCCGTCCCGGAATATGGATCTTCCCTTCATGAACAAGTTGATATTGATGTGCTAATAGAAATTAAATCGCCAACAGATGATGTGGAGTCTCAAATCAACCCCGGAAAGGAACTGCAGAGCCTTCAGCTCAAACAATCAAATTCTGGATGCATAGATGGTCATGAATCCGGTCTTGATTTTCTTTCTCGCTTTCGCAGAGAGCTGGAGACATTGAGAGAACAAAAGAACGAGGTTGAATCCGGACTCGAAGAACTAGCTGAGGGCGAAGCCTACTATCAGGGCATGATCGAAACTCAACAAAATATGCTTCTGCGATCTGAGCAGATTTTGCTTCGCGATGAAGCAGGATTGGCCGAGATTCAGCGTCTGCGAAATGGTTTTGATGACATCTCTCGCGACCAGTCAGATCTTGGTGAAATACACGTACGGATCCAGAAAAACAAAGAAACAAACAAGGAAAGGCTTGCCACTCTTGAGAGTCTTATGTCTGAGAGTGCTTTGAGTGATATCGATAAGCAGGACTCCGGCTTGAAGAAAGATGATGGTAGCCTTCTATCGCCAGAAACAGTACTGAACGCAATGGGGCACATAGTGTCTAGCGTTGCCTCGGGGTTGTTATCATTTTTTGGCAACTCGTTTGGTGACGATGATTCAGACAATTTGGTATACTAGCTTGGCTTCTTAATCAATTTCAAAATGCAAAAACTCGGTCTCCTAACTATTTTCCGCAACGTCCTACCCAGGTGGGATCCGACATTTGTTGAAAATGATGTACCGACATCTCGGAACGGAGCTGATGCTTACTACCAGATTGATGTCAATGTAATCAATGTACACTCAGCGATAAGTACCACGAATGTCGTACTTTTCAACCCCGAGCAATTCCTCCCTTGTTTACTTTGTGGACGGAATCTCACCAAGCACTGGATTACCACCAGAAGTGAAGAATCGGGATATGCACAATGACAAGCAAACGATCTGCATCAAATAACAGAAGTAAACCTGCTGGGAATGCCGACTGGCAAAAGTAAAGGTATAAAATGATTCTTTTCTCATTGAATTCGATTTTATTAAACCAGACTGATGTATAGGAGCACATGATAGACTGATAAACCTTCTATGAGTGCTAGTGTGGTGACCAACGGCCTTCATGCCAAATATGCATCATGAAAGGCTACCGCTGTGAATACCCGGATCCACTTGAAATCAATTTTTGCAATGAGAACAACAAGATCGCTATGCGTGCGGAGACGCTTTGACATCAGAGGTCTAATGTCCTCGCGAGCGGCTCTTCGCAAATTAAACCCGGTGGGCTCAAGACATTTCAATAACGGCAGTGTACAGAAGGCGGGGAGAGTTCGAGTATTGCTTGTTCAGTTATTGATAATAGATAATGTTTCGACGTGAGAGAGCTTTCTTGATCATTTGGACTGCTCTTGCTTAGGTAGTAGAACAAGCTTCTCACATACTCAATAATACCAAGGTCACTACTCGGAGGGAGAGAACTTTGATATATGCCCCATTTATCATCCTACACTTACATTTTAATCACACTACTCACTCCAGATTTACCCTGTTAACATTCACTAATACCCACGCGTAATTGTATTGGTCACTATTTACTATTTCAGATCTCCCAACGCCTTCCAAATGAGATAATTTGTACGAAACGGGAATCTCGGTTTCGGGTCCACGAAGTCTCTCGTACTTATCACTGGGTTGTTGGTGCATGCCATCACATACACTCCTTGAAGATCAGAAGGCCAGTCATCTCTAGGTTCGGACTTTGTCTGACCATTGCGCATATAGTTATGGAGATGGTGGGTGGGCGAATAATGGCGCCTATCGACTTTCAGATGACGCCAAGTACCAAGAAAGGGCAGCCCTGGTGATGCAACACTCTATTTTTCGATAAAGAGGTTTGATGGACTGGATAATGATTTGGTCATGTGCTTGAGTTTACAACTGCGGCATTTTGTTGAATATTGTGTCGAGCAGAGGTCTCAAATGTCCCCCATATGACATATATCACAACGGCAGACTCAGTAACGATTCGTTCCAGTCAAAGTCCAAGAAGAAATCCAGCTCGGCCATATCCATGTTAAAGTAGTTGGTTTGTTCAGTGCCATTATCCGTTGTTGTCGTCTTTGCTTGACCATTGTTCAAAAGCTTCCGCTGAACCAGCAATGATGCACTCCGTGCCACGTTAAATCCCATTCTCGATTTCGCAGTGAGAATTTCCTCAGTCTTATCCTCGGGCTTCAATGTTTCACTGTAACTGCTCATACGTTCTATAAGAGTACACGTGCGAGATACGAAATCGTTAGGAACAATTTCAAATCTGCGCATCAATCCCCATCCCTGGCGTATAGCAGTTGATAATACACCGTCATCGACGAGGTAATGATGTTTGGAGCACTTCAATAGAATCAAAAAGGACACGCAGGAGGCCAAGGATTTAAATATCCGTGTAGGCACCTTGACCAGTTGCTCTTCAATAGTTGATGCAGCTTGGATAGTAGCAATAACACATAGGTATGCTTGCAGAATCCAAAGAGACGATTTTTCACTTCCTGTCACTTCCAACTCAATCCCATTGCTATCTAGGGAAGAGATAGCAATGATATAGAGTAACAATTTGCAAGTACAAAAGTTTATATAGTCGACTCTTGTCCAATACGGAGATAGATTTGCTTCCAGGACTCGGAGTTCGGTTTCAAAGGCTGGAATGACATGTTGTGCGTTAGGAAGTAAACCCGTAGCTGAGAATTCATAACTACCAAGCATTGTAATTATTTTCAGCAAATGGTGGGAGATCTGTAACTGGCAGTACAAGGTGTCTGGAAGCCATGCCGGTTTTGTAGCAAACGCGTCTAGTAGACCACGGTCTAAACGAGCGGTGGGAGGAAGCCCAAATTGGCCATTAACACTTGGAATATGATTAGTCTTTGATTATTAGACCCTATACACAATAGAGAACTTTATAGGACTTACCTAACGTTGCTGGCAAAGCAAAACACCCAAGCTAACTGCCTGGGGATGTTTGGATGGTTATGGACGGCTGTCACCCGGTCAAATTCTACTACAAATCCCGGTCGATGCAAACCCATACGATAACAAATTTGTGTTGCCATGTTGACAAACGAAAGAGATGGGTCAGTAGGGAGTTTTTCGAATGGAAGGCTCCAATAACAAAGTAGTAGAAGAGCCTGAACAGCGTGCAAGTTTGCATTTTTTGGCTGAATGCAATCGTACGCCATGCTGGATACCTCTTCTGCAAGTGTTGAAAAAAGGGCTCTTAACTCGGTCTTGTCTCTTATCGCAGTGAGTATGACTGTCCAGAAGAGAAGAGGACTTTCGTCCGAGTGTGCAATGAATGACGACGATGGCGGCAAAATAGGACAGATGGGATGATAGTATCGATAGTACCTAGTCATAGTGTCAGTAAGATAATCCTTTGCTCAGAAGCGTAGACCACCTACTCAGTGAGAAGTTCCTTGATTAAAGATGCCGATAGTTGCACATCCCCAATTGATCTTGTTGTCGGCACCAAGGCATCGTCAAGTGTAGCATTTTCTTGGGTCAGTGGAATACCATTAGTAGACCCAGGCAATTGTAATATCGGAGAATGCGATCCATTCGACGCGCTATCATTTGGTTGCTCCCTCAAACTATTCATAGCCACCTTAACCTGTCGCAACTCTTGCTCCACCTGCTGCAGGTGTCTGTTGGCCTGGTTAGTAATGAATAGAGGAATCTTTTTTTTCTGGTCAGGATAACATACTGTCTTTTCTTAGTCCTTTTAAAAGACGGATCCACCGAACAGAATTTGCCTGCTTTGGTGCACCTCGTACATCCTGCCGGAAATTTAGACGGTCCGTCGCACGCCAGCTGATGCCGTTAGACGCGTTCGTACAATCGATCAACTTGCAGATAAAATACACTTACTTTCATCTGGCGGCAATGTACGCACGCTATAAAATTTGATTTTCGTCCTCGCATTGTCAAGGAATGGGTTAAGAGCCAGCATGAGATGGAAGTTGAGATGGAAAGGTTGAGAAGAATTAATTGTTCGGTGTTGGTTACCGGATTTTAAAATGATTTGAAACGCCGAATTCAGCCGACTTCTCAGTGTCCAGGATATGTCACTGCCTAGTTCATTTTGCATAACAATGTAAATTATGTGGGCATTATTCGTTTAATTGTATATACGAATAGGGACATACTGGTGCTATCATGCTGGGTGTCTGAAGCTCTCACAGCCAGTATACTGATATATATAACTCGGTATTAGGCATATCACAACGTTAAAGAATTCCATTCTACATATTCACATGTTAAAAACTCGGAATGAGTAGAGTTTGCCAGTTTCAATGTTACATACAGAAAAATTGACTAATTTTACACCATCTCACAGAGCAGCTCCCAATTTTAAGCCTCCACGTCGAATAGTTTATCACCACCCATTCAAGATCTTTAACCTCGTGCGGACTCCATCCTTCGGAGATGTCCCAATTCCAACTGAGCTCAACTCGAATTTCCTAGTTGGATCTTCAAGCTCCATTTGAAACCTACCCACAATCGCAGCAACCAGGCACGCCAATTCGGCCTTCGCAAACCCGGAACCAATACAACTCCTAGGACCATGTAAAAAAGTGAGAAACCCAAGATGATTCTTTACTCCTCCGGAATTTCCTCGTCCCTCGCCTAGCCAGCGATCCGGGTCAAAAGTTGAGGCAGTTGGTCCCCATAACTCTGGGTCGTGGTTGACCAGCCCTATCGGGATGAGAAATCCCGTGCCTTTCGGGATGCGATACCCTGCGATTGTAGTGTCGCACATTGCTTCACGGACCGTAGCAGGAATAGAAGGGTAAAAGCGGAGGACTTCGTTGCAGAATGCGTGAAGATATGAGAGACTATCTACATCATTTGCCGTTACTGTGGATTCCGGATCACTAATTGAAGGGAGATGATTCCGCACTTCTTCCCGCAGACGTTGCTGCATATCTTGATGCTTGCAAAGAGCGTAAACAGACCACTGTAGAGCATGGCTGGTCGTTGCATGCCCGGCAGCCAGGAATGTCATCATATGATCGACGAGATTCTCAGTCGTGAACACATCACTTTTCAGCGCAGCGGAGATTATATCTACCCCTGATTGTGACTCGGCATTGCTCATTTTGTTCCATTTTTCTTGGATCAGTTCGCGACAGACTTGCCGAATATATTTTGCCCCTTCTTGCAATAGACGAACACGTCCAATTGGAATTAGAGGGAGTATTGCCTCATAATTAGAGGTGAACAGAGACAAGACAAAGCCAATCAAGATTTCTGTGCGAGAGTACGGAATCTGAGTCTTCTCATATTGCTGAATAAGGAGGTTATTCGGATCGTCGAGAAAGCGAAAGTCATGATCCATTCCGGCAAGGCCAAGAATATCAAGTGTTGTTCGAGTCGCCCATGTTCTCATGACAATAACATCCGATTTCGAAGATGCGTCGCCTGAGATTTCTTTTTCAAGTACTTTCACCAGATCTCTCGACTTTGACCAGAAGATTGGGTAGAGGTCTTTGATATGCCGGAACGAAAATGCCGGCATTAGACCTTTACGTTGAACCTAGGACCGCAGTTTATGAACACTACTGCATTATAATCGGAAATAGAAAGGAGAAGACCTACCTTGTGTGTCTCGCCCTCCGCCAAAAGCAACCCATTTCCAGCGAAAGAGTATAATCTTCGACGTACAGATTCCGGCTTGCCAAATGAAGACGCATTCAGAACAAGAATCTCATTCAATGCCTTGATGCCAGTTACGAGAACTTGTTCACTGTGATCATTTTCGCGATAGAATCGAAGGAGACCATTATTTGGTATTGTTGCAGCGGCATGGCGTAGTGCAGCTACTCCTTTCCGGGTGCTAGTAGCCTCTTCTTTGCCATTCTTTGGAGGAGTTGGAGTTGCAAGTGGAATTGGTTTGAGAGGAGTAAAGAACTTAGGGTAAAAATACTTCCTATAAATATATCGCAGGAGAACATATGCCAATATCGCCGGGAGGGCGAATGGGAGCTGAAGTGACTGAAAGAAGAAGAGATTAAGGCGCGGCCACATATTGCTCAAGTTTGGCATCGCGCTCATTGTTTGAGATACTATACTGTACTTCTGTTAGGAACAAAGGTGATGAGTGTACGAGATCATCATCATCGTCCCTTGTTCCATTATAATCCCTTTATGAAGAAACCGAAATCGGTATCTTCCCCGACTTTAAACCAAACGGCGATTGTCAATCGGAACGATTGGATACTTCGAGAAATTAAAAAATGAAAAAAGTATATTATAAAATATCGAAGATGACGTAAACGCATTGGAAATTGGGAACACACTGGGTTGTCTTCGTATTGAGACTATACACAAGTATGACCGTCTCAGTTGTCCACTGAACGATGGCTACCGGTAACCCTAAAAAGTACGGCTAGTTGTCTACCAAAGCGATGGTTTGACAAAATAACCCCATTCATAAATGAAGAATACATACACTACAAATTGAGGCAAGGCATAGACGATTCATATGAAGCTCGTTAAACTATTATATAAGTACGCAGCCACTTTAACTTACCTAAGAATGGATACTTATCGTTCAGTCCTTCCACGTAATAGTCTTGGTCTGAACCCATTCTTCCAGTCCCTCAACACTATTAAACCTGCCGTATCCACTATTCTTGAAGCCACCATGAGGCAGACTACTTTCATCATGCACACTCATGTCGTTGATATGCACAGCTCCAGCCTGGATCTTTTTCGCGATCCGAAGTGCTCGTCTCAAGTCCTCAGTATAAACTGAGGCGGTCAAACCATACTCCGTGTCGTTGGCAAGTTTGATGGCCTCTTCATCATTCTCCACGGTGAACAAGGACACAGTCGGTCCGAACGATTCGGTATAGTAGATTTCCATTCCTTCCTTCACGCCCTCAAGCACCACCGGGCGCATAGCTGTATTAACTGCGGCGTTATGGTTGGGGTCACCATGTACAACCTGAGCACCCTTGGAAATGGCGTCTGAGAGAAGTTTCTTGTTTTTGGTAACTGGCAGTCCATTTACTAGTTGCAATCCATTAAGATTACCATAGACTTGATCGATTGTCTGCTTGAATATCTCCTTGAACTGGTCGGCAACAGCAGCGTGCACAATAATGCGTTCGGTGCACATGCAAACCTGACCAGAATTTATAAAAGATCCACGGGTTGCACCCATAGCAGCTTCTTGGAGATTGGCGTCTTCGCAAACAATAGTTGGCGTCTTGCCGCCTAGTTCCATAAGAGTAGGCTTGAGGAGTCTGGCCGCTTGACTGGCGATAATACCGCCAACATGTGCGCTACCGGTAAAGTTAATTTTGCGAATACCAGGAGATTCGATAAGCGCTGAGGTAACCGCTGCAGCATCTTGCGGTCGATGGATAATTGTATTGAGGCATCCCCTTGGAATCCCAGCTTCGTGTAAGATACTAGCAATTTTGTAGTAGACACCCGGACTGAATTCAGAACCCTTCAATATGACTGTATTGCCCATTGCCAAAGGGCCTAAACATGATCGAAAACCGAGAATATACGGTGCATTCCAGGGCGCAATCGAAAGAACAACCCCAAACGGCTCCCGGAGGACCATAGCAGACTTCCCCTCGTCACACACTGTGGGAACCGAACCACGGACAGCAGAAATCAAGCCGGCAACAGATTTACAAGCTTGTATAGCTAGACCGAATTCAAAGTCGAACATTGAATCAACCTCCCCAGTCTCCTGGTTGACGATTTTACGTAGTATTTCCTTATCCCGGATCAAAATATCCCCCACCCGTAAGAGAATGTCTCTTCGATCATTGGGTTTTACTTGTGACCATGTTTCAAATGCGGTTTGAGCTGACTCAACTGCCCTTTTGGCATCTTCCACAGATGCAGATGAGGACTTGTAGATTGTTTTGCCGGTGGTGGGTGAAACGACATCGTAAGTCACATCGGTATTGATTTCCTTCCCATCTAGCAAGAGAGGTATAACTGGCCCCAATGGGTTGTTAGATGGATTTATCGAGCCCATCTTGAGTTATCAGAGTGAATTTGGTATAATATGACAGTGCTTTGAACCCGAATTAGGAGTATTCCAAAAGTCAGAAATGTACAATCACGACAGAATTGGAGAATGCGGGGACAGGTTTTTATATTGCTCCGAAACAGCGGTTTCAATAAAGTTCAACGTCTCTCGAGGGAGCACGTACCTCGGTCGTGTCTCCATTTTGTTCCTTAATACAATGGGGCCAGATACTTTTATCCGGCTGTAAAGTTCTGTATGAGAGTTACATGTAGGTCTATAACAAAGTTACTAGTATGCAGATATACGACCTACATAATTAGCTGCTTCGGATAATGTTGACTACATCCATGAAACGAATATCTCTTACGCACGGCTTGATTTGAATCATGGTCATAATGAAATTTCTGCTTTCTCCTATGAATCCCAGCTAACATCCCCACGACAAGAAGATCCGTGGAGTACGTGGAGTCAAACCAGACCCTTTGGTTAACTTGAAATGTACACCCTCCTTTGTTTCTTCTGCGGGGAATATCCATATCCGGGCACATCGTGAAGATTTTTTCGGAGTACCCAATCACCATGTCCCCTCTGCCGTCTAATATGCCGATTATACGAGCCGGCTTCGCTTAGTGTTGCTTGTTGTAAATCCGAGAGACCAAAATATGCCTTTGTCAATTCTCAACGTCAAAAGATGGTTTTTTCCCCACATAGGTACTAATGGTAATGCAACTCTCGGTGAGGCCAGGCCCCAGGGAGAAGGGAATGATTATTTGAAATAGAAGATGCCAAAGAAAAGGTCGATTTCTTGCCTCCAACGAGATCAAGATAATTATGGCGCATGTGTTGACGGAATTTGAAGGTGGGACAAGTGCAAAGACCTCTTTTTTTTGCTGAATCATTGTTTTAGAAAATCTCAGTTATTCTCTATTTCTCAATTATCCTTGGACATATTATGGCCACTGCCACCATTATCTTCACCCTTGAATTTCTTATTGTACTTTGACGCATCCATCGTACGAACGAGTTGTCTGTTATTTCAACCGCGAATGCATCTTTCATTGAGCAGGATATCGAACTGTAATTGCGCCGCTCTGAATGGTGGAGTGAGGATTCTATTGATGTGAATTGGGAGGACTACGCCGATTCGGAGACTGAGCGCCGTATTTGAGGCTGAAACATGAATTAGATGTATAGATTTATTAAGACAAATGGATGGATGACTAGCATTTTACGCAGTGTGAAAGAGAAGGGAGGATTGAGGTTCAGGGAATACAAGTTGCACATCCTACGGTACTCGTGCGATGTTCCGTATAACAATTCTTCAACTCTGATTGCCGATACTGTTCTGGATCCGTTAAAAAATTGCAGGATGCAAGCGCAACCGGTATGTCTCTGCTACCGATCATCAGTAAGCCAAAATTTCCCAGATGTACAGACCGTCGTGGACTCATGGAGTGAAGTTGGACGCTGGATGATACCAATTTCAATGGCATAAACACTGTTATCAGGGGAATATTTCGCTACCCCATTCATCAATGATGTAGGACAGGCAAGAAAAGCACCCACCTCCAGTACTCGAAATGATCTTGACAAACGCAATACAAGCTAAATTTGGGCCTACGAGTTAGGGCTGGGCCTATGTTCTAAAAATCCATGTGATGCTAAGAAAAAGGCTTTTGTACACCCGCTACCTTCGGTACAGTGTAGTAAGACTGCAGATATCTGGAACAACCTCCCTAGGTACCTGCTTCCTCATTACTGTGCATAGCTACTCTAACTATAGACTTTCAGCAGTGGACCTAAGATTGGCGCGCTAGCAAGTATCATCAAGTACCTAGGTATAATTACCTAAATAACCCTGGAGGCGTCCCGCGCGGTGTCTCATGAGCATGCGTATGGCGATAGGCTGGAGATAACGAATATATCTGTCGCAATGAAGTACTTTCTAAGACGCAGGGATGTTGGTCAATACAATGGATGCAGACTAATTTGCGGTGCCACCAACTACATTTGTTGATCTAGTGAGCATATGGTATCGTAGCCGAGATTAGAACAAAGAAAGAGAAAAGAAACTGCCTACCATGATTTGCCCCTCGATGAGAAAGGACAGAGCACATTTTGAGGCAGCTTGATTCACTATCTCCCTACACTCTACCTCAAAAACCTTCAAAAATGGGATATTATCCGCGCAAATGTATGCTCTTGAAGTGTCTATGTATAAAATCTGGGTAGAGAATGGAGAACATCACGTTTTGCGAAGAGACCAAATTTGGGCCGCAAGTCTCACGTTGCCGTGGAAATTTCGACTTCACATTATTCTTTGAGGAATTTTTTTTATCGATACTATTATCAGTACTGCTCTTACTGGCTCTGCCTGTCCGATACCGTCATTTATACAAGAAGCGAACCAAGGAGGGTCGCCCAAAGTCCTGTTTAGTGGGCCAAACTAGTATGTGGTCACTGCATTCATATGACTGATAAAATTCGCGAGCTCTAGTAAAATTCAATAGCTATTTGCCCTAGTATTTGTGTTATTACAGCTCTCTTTAGTGGCTGTTTGGTCCTTACCTCAGACTCCGCGAAGACAAACATCACTTGCAGCAGCGGTGTTGACGCTCGTAGTATATATCGGGTTGCAACTGCTATCTCATTTAGAGAATCTCTATGTGATTTAACCTCTTCTATTGAACTTCTTCTTATCCTTGTCATTGCTATTTGACATTGTTCGCGTGCGGACCCTGTGGCTCGCGTAGTATAGCTCCATAGCTACCATTAACATGGTCAGTATCGGGCTGAAAATTATCTGGTCTTCTCTGGAGGCAAAAACCAAAGAGGCACATTTATAGATCGAACGATACAGTACAGAGCCGAAGAAATTCGTGGGATATATAGTCGGTCGTTCTTCTGGTGGACCAATCAGCTATTCGTCTTGGGATTCAAGAAGAACCTATCAGTGAAAGACCTACCCCATCTTGCTCAAGCATTATCATCTGATATAATGCATCATTCAGCTAAGAGAATCTGGAATACAGGCAAGTTCTGTTGCTATGAATGCGATTTCCAACACAAAATGTGTCAGGGATCATCATATTGTATTCAGCCTCAAAGTCAAGTCGGAATACTCTAACATGGTGCACATAGTGCGCTTTCAAGCCGCCTGTGTTATATTCATTCGTGGCCCGAATTGCCCGAATTGGTCTTAACTATTGTCAACCATTTCTGATATCGCGGTTAATTGGGTACCTCGGAGAGGAAAATCCAACCAAGGATGATGGATATGGAATAATCGGGGCATTTTGCCCTGGTATTCATTCTGAAAGCGGTAAGTTATCTATGTTTGCTTCATCTCCCGTCAAAGATATTGGTCCCATACAGAGTATATTAGGTCTTCAATGGTCTTTACGAGCACCATGTTTTTCGCCTTGTAAACTCAGATACGTGGTGCCATGGTATCTATTATATATGAGAAAACACTAGAACTACGATTCGACGCGCATAACGATCTTTCAAGTGTGACATTGATGAGTAACAAAGTGGAAATCATCTCAATAGGAATTCAAAACACTCATGAGACCTGGGCAAGCCCAATTGGGTTAGCCACGCAATCTATCTCTTGGAACGTGAAGTCCTTTGCGGTGCAGCTATTCCGGCAGCCATCTTACTGGGAGTCTTTTACATAAAGCGCACCCATCGCCTTGACTTGTCGTTTTGTAGTTTGTTGCTGCTTACGTTTTGCTGTATCCCGAACCTTCATAGAACTCTCACGATGTAGTTCGCCTAATTCGGCTAAAGTGAGGCTGCCTTGGTTAATCACCTTTATACGACGTGAGAGGCCTGGGCTTGCGCTGTCAAGGATATCCTTTATACCGTCAACTGATTTCTCAATCTTATTGATATAGCGACGTAGTTTTGCAACGCTTGAAGGCGGAGAGATTGATTTTGTAGTCGGTGAGCTGGGAATAGTGTTATCAGGCTCGCTGTAAATTTTTAATGTATCCCCATCAGCAGCTAATTTTTCAAATGCTTCATCTGGCTGAGGCATCTTATCGAGTATAAACTTAGGATCATATGGCCAAATCCCTCGCTCCTTCCAGCCATGGCGGATAGTTCGTGTTGTAAATGTCTTAATCCGGATATCACGTAGCTCTTCAAAGAAGTCATTTTTATTGAAATCGAAGCCACCCAGACGTGCAACCTTATTCACAACTCTTCCATGAACATGTTTATATTGCTGAAAAGGCATTCCATCGAGCGGTTGCAAAAAGTGCATAGAATGAGGAAAACGGAACGGTCGAATGTGGTAAATTTCGCAGTATTGGACGAACTGAATAGTAAGATGAGTTGCATGACTATCCATAAGAAGTAATCGCCATTCCGATGACCAATCCGGCTTGGAATAGTGTTGAAAATGTTGAAGCCATTCAAATGCGATCTCATCCGTGATAAATCCATTTTTAGCAGGTGCAATTAGCCACTCATCATCTTGTATATGCCGATACCATTCCTCCATGTGGTTTTCACCCTTTGGAATCAATAAAGGTGGTATAATCTTTCCTTCAGCGTTTATAGCTTCAACGACGGTAATTGATTCTCGTGATGACAGGCTAGAGACTCTTTTTGAATCTTTTGGATATGCTGTTACTACAGCTTCGTCTTTTCCTTTTCAAACAATGAATCCGGTCTCGTCAAAGTTTCAAAGATTTTGAGGGACAATTTCGAGCTCTTGTATGGCGATTTTAAGGTCAATAAACCAGCGATCAATCTCGCCGTAATGCTCTACAGTAGTCCGATCCCTCTCTTGAGGTTTCTAAACTATTCTCACGTACTTTTCTGGCAAGCGGTTGAGAAAATTGTATATCCACATCTTTCCGGCGCGGGGAGGCTCTCCCGGATCATTGAAATCTTTAGCGAGCAAATAATTCGCACTTTCCTCAATTTGCTCGTTCGTAGGGGGTGCCCCTATATTATCTAGATACTCAATCCATAGAATATGCGCTTTTTCTTGATCTAAAGATAATAGGCGGTTCGTGGGTGAGCGTGTTGAGCGAGAGGGTGGGCCGTTCCACCGACGGGATAGTTTTTTGTGAGACACCCCATATCCACGCGATAATTTGCTAAAATTCGGTTTTTTTTCGTGTTGAGGATATTTGCAATTAATGCCTCCTCGTCTTTATATAATTTAGGGGTCATTTTAGCTGTGCTTTTGAAATTGGTAAATGACGGGTTGAGATTTTAAATATTTTGGCCCTTGAGCCTGGGCCGACTCCCAACCGCAGGGGGGGAGGCGACGCGACGGGTATGCGCAGAGTCTGTGAGTGGTCGAAATTGCCGATTGTACCTCCGTAATTTACTATGTACTCCTAATACACCCCACATGACTTGTGTTAGTTGAGAGCGGAATAAGTCCCGCGCTTTCCTGATTACAAAATGACTGTACAAATAACGTTAGCGTCTCAAGCAAGCCAATGAAATACGTACTTGAGGATGTAACATTGCTTGCTGGGGAACTGAGGGACCTGAATGAATATCACATGAATCCATCATGTGTTCTTTTTATAAGCGTCGGAACGTGAATATCAATCCTACGCGTCTTGGCACTGGATATTAGTTAGTCCGGCACGGCACGTGCGTGCCGCGTTTATATCTAGCTAGCTATCCCCGTCCCCCTTGCTCTTGCAAAACGATTTTCGAGTTGATAGGCGACTTCCTTATAATTATTTATATCAAACAGTCGGAGGCTCAAAATCCTCAACCCTCTCTACCACCTAGCTCCCAGGAGTGCAGCCTTTGACGCGTCTCAACGCGCCCGGCAACACCATGGCGCGTAAAGGCCCTGGTACAGACGGCCCTCTACAGACAGCCCTTCTGGAATCCACGTCTGCAGCCACAACAAGAGCTTCTGAAGGACAGAAGATCTTCAGCCCCATAGCTATATTCCTTGATAAACACCGCAGCCAAACCACCGGCCTTGCTCCTCACCTACTGAGAGCCCTCACCGCTCTAAGCGATGACCTCACCTCGGTAGCTTAACAACATTTCAACGCTTATATCAGCGGTATCTCGACGACCTCCATTCTACCTGCCCTGTCTTCTTCCCCTTCCTCTTCCCCCACCCTAAATCCCTTACCCCCTTCACTCCCTCCCTCACGTCCCCCCTCAGGTCTTAACCAGTCAACTTATGCGACTATTACCCAATATGCCCCGGTCAAATCAACTCCCACCACTCACCCTAAAGCCTCCATTAAAAAGCCTATGCCTCTGGTGAAATAACCCCTTCCTGACATCCGGCTCTTCGTACGCCTCCCAGCTGACCATGCAGCCAGAAAAATGGAAGCCTACGCTATCTACTCTAGCCTACGCTATCTACTCTAGCCTACGATCTCAACTAAACTTAAATAGTGCAGCACTAAAAGAAGTCCAAGCTACAAAGACTGGCTTTGCACTATGTCCCTCATCTCCAGAAGCCCTCCTAGCCCTTGAGGCCCAAAAAGAGACTATCTCTGCATTCTTTGTTAACTGCCAGATAGAACGCAGCTCCCGATGGGTCTCGTACCGAGTCACCAACATGCCAAGGAAAATTGGCCAAATCTTGGATGGTCAATACTCTCTAATCCCTGTCAATCCTACACTACTATCCTTAGAAATTAGCAAAACTACAGGGCTCAAGCCTATATCTATTAGCGAGACCACTACAAGCGCTGCCAACCCTGATACTCTCTCCTCAAGCTAGTTTATTAACTTCCCAGAAGGCACGAAATCACCACTACCTATCCAGCTACGTCTTTTTGGCACTATCACCAATGCTCGTCACCTCTCTAAGAAAACAACAGTTATTTAATACACACGATACTAGAAATGATATAATGCACGATCCTGTGCACGCCCCTCTCAATGCCAACTATACGGCTCCTCAGAGCATACTGAAAAGGGCCATGTCAACCGCTGCACAGCCCCAAAGCCTCATCAATGCCCTCCTAGATGCATATACTGCCATAGACCACATCCAGCTAATTTCACAGAATGCCTTCTGCACCCTAAAGGCAATACTAAACATACTAAAGCTCAACAAACAGAGATCCATAAATCCTACGTCATAAACCTCGCAAAAGCTTAAATTGAAGGAGGATGTAGCTCTCAGCTCTCCATAGGCACATAAGAAACACCTATGGCATTAGATGAGATGCCATCACAGCCTTCAATCCATGAGATTATCTCTCCTTTCCATTCAGTAACCCCCCCACCTCGCGCCCCAACTGAAGATCCTCCCATTACAGCTCATGCAGTCTATTTTACAATCCCTTAACCACAAAACCGGTTCGCCTCTCTTCTTGAACAGGAGCTATGATCTATCACTATCCAACTCAAAAGGCGCCTCTCAAAATCCTACAGTTAAATGTAGGGCACGCGCCAGACGCACATGAAATAGCCCTCACATTGGTATATACTAGCGACATCGATATTATCCTAATCCAAGAACCATATACATTTAAAGACCTCAGCCAACAGATCACTAAAAAATATCTATTATATGAATGCTTCTCCCCAACTGATAGCTGGGTAATAAGTGGCCGACCACGAGTCCTCACCTATGTCCAAAAGAAGAAAGGCATCCAGACCTCCCAGCTACGCCCCTTTACAACTGACACTAAAGAAGCCTCGGATCTCCTGTTCCTTCAGATTTTTTCGCCTATAGGAAAGTCTGCTCTGATAGTTAACATCTATAATGCCCCAGCAGGCTGCAGCAGAGCAGGTGAAGCCGCAAAAGCTCTCACAACCCTGCCAGAGGCATATTTCCCTCAAACAACGATACTTGCAGGCGATCTCAACCTACTACATAACAGATGGCAACCCTCGCTACAATGTAGCCCTACAACTTTTGCAGAGCCGTTTATCAACTAGCTGGATCTCCAGGGTCTAGTACTCATTTCCGACATAGACTATCCCACACATGAAAGGGGTAACATGTTAGACATTAGTTTCGCCTCAAGCCCTCTGGCACTCGCAGGAGCTAAAGCTAGCATAGCGAGCCACTTAGATGCAACCTCAGATTATCAACCACTAATCACTACTGTTCCATGGGATCAGAGATACAAGGAAACAGCCCAGAAACTGAGATTTGACATAGTAGACCACACCTCCTTCCTCTCGCTCCTCGCCTCTAATCTCGCTGGCACTGAGAGCTCAGCCACAATAGAAGAAGATCTTGATGCCCTTACTGAAAAACTAACATCTGCAATTCAAGGAGCATATAGAGGCTCTGCTAAGAGCACCATAACACAAGACATAGGACAACTATGGTGGAATGAAGACTGCAAGAAAGCTTTACACAATTACCGCTTAGGCCTCTGCTTAAAGATAGACTTCCGCAGGATAACAAGATAGTCTCAACGACAATTTTGGCGAGATAAGCTCTCTACGACAACACAAATGAAGGATGTCTTTGATATGAGTAAATAGCATAAGTCCACAGGCACCTTCCGAAGCCCTCCACTGAAGGATCCACTAAGACCCAACAACTTCCCAGCAGTTACTATACATGAGAAACAAGACATACTAGTCCATAATCTTCTCCAAAACTCGGCTGAGGCAGGAGACATACCTCTGGACTCCCCAGCAGTCTCTACCACTAGTCTCTACTTCCCAGATATAATAATAGTACAGGTGGAGGAGTCAGTACTTCAGGTAGAAAACACAGCCCCTGGCTCAGACGAAATCCCAACCTACATACTCAAAGTGGCATGGCCTCTAATCAAGGACAAGGTACTAATGTTATACCAAGGGTGCCTAAAGATTGGTTATCACCCAAAATGCTTTCGACATGCAATCTTAGCAATTATCTAGAAACTAAAAAAGACTGACTGGTTCTTACCTAGATCATACAGACTGATCGCTCTCCTATCAGTTCTTGGCAAAGGACTTGAGCGCTTGGTGGCACGGAATATGGCATGGATCTGTATATACTATAAAGTATTAGCAAGGTAATAGTTTGGGGCTCTCCCACTAAGATCTGCAAATGATCTAACCACATGCCTAACACATGATGTTGAACAGGCACTAAATTAAGGCATGACTACCTCACTCCTTACCCTAGATGTCAAGGGCGCTTTTAATGCCGTGCTTCCCAGCAGACTCATCCGTAGATTACGTGAGCAGGGCTGGCCCACCAATCTTGTTCTCTGGATTGCCTCCTTTGCTACTGGGCGATCAGTCCAGATCCAACTTGATGGAGAGATTGGCCCCTCAATAGACATTGCCTGCAGTCTTCCACAAGGATCCCTAGTATCTGGCATTCTTTTCATGCTCTACATAGCGCCCCTATTCCGTCTAGGAAACCCAAGGAACAGATTTGGTTACGCAGACGACGCAGCTAACCTGGCAATCTCAACATCTCTTACTACTAACTGCGAAGCATTATCAGACTCACTACAAGAAGCTCTAAACTAGGGCGCTGCAGAAGGCATTATATTTGTACCAGATAAATACAAGCTTCTTCACTTCTCCCGACATAAAGCAGACTAGGACCCAATCTACACACCTTTAGTAAAAGCTGGATCTATCATAATCTCAGAAAATACTAAACGGCTATATCTACGTTGGCTAGGAATCCTCTTTGACAAAAGCTAACGTTTAAATGGCACATTGGTGAAACAGTAGCTAAAGCCCTCACTGTGGCCAATGCCCTTCGCTCTCTAGGGAATACTATCTGTGGAGTCAAACCTCATTTACTATAGCAGGCTGTATTAGCCTGTGTACTCTATAAAGCATACTATGGCATAGAAACCTGGTGACCAGGACGTACTCGCCCTGGGTCTTCCCAAATTTCAAATTGAGTTGGAGAATATCTTAAGAAACTAACTAAAGTAATACTAGCAGGCGCAAGAGCAGTCCTTCCAGTTTTCCGCACAACTCCAATATCTGTTCTATACTGAGAGTCTGGATTCTCTCCGCTAGAAATTGAACTAGATTAAATAGCCCTCCAAACATCGGTCCGCCTATGGCGTCTTAATCTATACTACCTACTCCGAAGATGCGCAGAACAGATAGCCAGAGATGGCTGACAAACTAGTCGATTTGCCTGCTGAGTGCTGGTGCTCCCCAACTCTGAACAAATAAACCCTCTACAACATGCTTCCTAGTACCCTTGTGAGTCACGCAAGAGTGCCCTAGCCCAAATAGGAGCTCCCATGGGTCGCACTAAGGAACAGGCAGCGGCTGACTTCATGGCTTTTCAACACACCATCCCTAGCTTGGATATTGTAATCTTTTTAGATGGATCTAGGCTAATAGATAGACGTGCAGGGGGTGACTACATTGGATTTTAAGCACACCATCAGTTCCTCCGCTCCTCACTCTCATACGGACATAGGAAAGAGGTCTTTGACACAGAAGCAGAAGCTGCCCTTGCTGGTGCTCAAGCAGCAATAGCATACCCAACAGCTCAATTTGCTACCAACCTATGGATCTATCTCGACAACCTGGAAGTTGCCACGCGCCTCCTATCCCCCTCTACAGGATCCTCTCAAGAGGTCTTTGAATCCTTTCGCACCCTTGCAGCTGCCTGGCCACTACGCGAAAGGCTTCCACACACCAAAAGTGGATCAATCCAAATCCGATGGGTCCCTAGACACACTAAAATCCCTAAGAATGAAGCAGCTGATCTCGCTGCCAAGGAAGGAGCTGTCTCTATCCCCCCCTCTCCATACAAGTCCTCATATGCCTTGCTAAAGAGATACGCCAAGACTCAATCTCTTTCCGCTACTCAGACACGGTGGCAGACTGTAGCACCACAGACATACTAAGATCTAGAAATAACTACATCTCCTAAACGCCCTGGAGAGCTTCAACTTAACCGACTTGACCTTGGCTATATCATAGTGGCCCATACTGGTCATGGAGACTTTGCAGATTACCACGAGCGTTTTAATCATAATAATGCTTATCTTCTCTATCGATATGGAGCATGAAAAGCACCTCTACATTTCTTCTTCTACCATATAGCTAAGAGACGAGCCCCTCGTCCACCTGGACCCCCTTCTAAAGTTATCTCTTTTCTTTTAAGTACTGCGAAAGGAACACGAAAACTAGCCTCATGGCTAGCAGAGACCCGTTTCTTTGAGGATATCTGTCCTCGCCAACCTCTCCTTAGCACCTAGCTAAGTCAGCCCTACTTTTCCCTTATATCTCTCTTTTCCTTTGTTTTTTTTCTTTCTTTCTTTTCTTCTTTCCTTCTTCCCTTTTTCTTTTCAAACTCACTGCTTAAGTATGATGGTGGTAGAATGATGGGTCATGGAGCGTAGGTGGACCATTGCAGCTAGCAAATACCCAAAACCCACTAGGAAGTGGATCTCCCTTTAAGACCACGGCAGCTATGGAAATGCGCCAAAGAGTCTCTTATTTGTATATAAATCTGATAGGACCTGAAGCCCGAGGCTTACCCCTCGGCGGCCTATGTCCCAGTAGGGATCGGTGGGAAGCGTGCAAGTCACGAACCACGGCCGTTAAATATACACACACACACACACACACACACACACACACACACCCTTGCTCTTGGGGGGCAGTCATCAATATCAGGAATTCCATACCGTATTGATCAGGCTCGTCAGCTTGTCGGATTAGCTGTTCTACGTGTCTAGTGCTAGCGACCTAGACGTAGATAAACCGACAATAAGGGCAAACGTCTTGAGTATCACCTGGTGCACTGCTTTCGAGTTGTACGCTCAATTTAGTCGCCTTAGATACCCTTTCGCTATAAAATTTTAATACACGTTGAAAGATTTGGATCGGGCTATCGTAGAGACTCCATCACAGGGATCTCGTATTGAAAACAGGACGTTTAATCAAGTCATTTTCCGTTAGCAAATGCCTCGGTTCGTAGCCTCTATGAGTCAATTAGGGGCTGGGTGTAAAGGTATTTGGCATAGAAAGGTCTATGGATTGTCTCTGTTTAACTTGTGAACGCCGTGAAAGTGCTTTCTCAATCGCAAAACAGAAGGATGTCTCGATATATCGCTAGTCGAATTTGGCAGAGTTACTTGTCTGCAGACGCACTCTCAGTGTCCGCTCAGTGAGCGTGAGCCCGGACCGAAATTTACTCCGTGAGCCTGACCGTGAGCTCCCTCACAAAAGTGGTGGCAGCTAAGAAAGGAAAACCCCAGTCAGCAAAGGAAATATGGTACGTATGGCTACCTAGGTACATAATACATTTGGGTACTTCTCGAGTTTCGAAATAGCGGTACCATCAACTAGTCTCATATCAACAGACTACGGTGCTCCTGGGGTAGCCAAAACATATTTACATGAATGCCGAACATCGTCTGTCATCCACTCAATACTCGACTTCATTCGCCTAGCCAGGGAACCTGGATATTTCTTCCCTTACTCATCTTCCACTTTGATGCGACGGAGATCAGGAGCAGGGTATAGCTCTTCTCGCTTATCCTCGACCTTAATGCGACGTAGGTCAGGAGCAGGATAGAGTTCTTCTCTCTTGTCTTCAACCTTTATGCGGCGGAGATCGGGAGCCGGGTACAACTCCTCTCGCTTATCCTCAACCTTAATCCGGCGAAGGTCCGGAGCAGGGTATAATTCCTCTCTCTTATCCTCAACCTTGATACGACGGAGATCCGGCGCAGGATAGAGCTCCTCTCGCTTGTCCTCAACTTTTATACGGCGAAGATCCGGAGCAGGATAGAGCTCTTCTCTTTCCTGGATATCATTGCGCTTTTCGATGTTAGTTAATACTTAACCAATGGCCGTTATAGGTAGCATGGTATGGAAAATTTGGATTTACCTTATCAACTGGCAATGCAGACACCAAAGTTGCGGCAGTCAGCAGTAATGTTAAGGCTTGACTAGTGAAACGCATTTTGTCTGTCTCAATATGTACAGTTTGTTTTTCGTTGTAAGAGGTATATACGAGATGCTGACAAGGTTTCTATCACTCGCAGAGCTGGGTTATTTTCATACCAGGCGACTGAGGTGCTAACGCCATTTATATAATGGAACTTTTACACTAGATGCCGAGTAACTTATTTTGTATGTACCCGTGGACCTAGGGATGTCTAATTAGGAACACACGGAATGGGGATTACCTAGGTATCTAGTCCACCAGTCTCTGCGCACGATAGAACTTCCAAGTTCGGAAGGTCACAAGGTCTTGAATACATTATGCATATCAGTCTGGATTATTCGTTAGATATCCTGCTTATTGGGTTATACAAGCCCAGCGGTGTATTTGTCAACGCTATTCTCAAGTTTAGAACCAACGTACTATTCAAATGTTGGTTGCAAGCTTGTCTCTTTCTGGAGACGAGTGCAGAAACAAGTTGTCGAGGCCGACCATAGCACTACTTCATCCGAAAATCCTTCGTATCGGAGCTTGATAAGGCGCAGTTCATAACGAATAGGAAATAATATCAGTAGTCATTCCTACTGATGAATGCTTATAAGTTAGTGGCAATGCACACTTTTCTCCGCATAAGGTAAAGGGCTCGGCAACGCTTGTTATGGTAGATCATCGCATTCTTGACGAAAGCGGATTTCTCCTCTGTATGTGTATGGTTTCATTGCAGCCGTTGATCACAGGCTAAATTGGTGGAAGGATTTTGGAAAGCGCCACTCGTGCATGCTGCAATTCGTTGGCCGTGTTTTTAGTACTACTTGCACTCTATACGACGTAGTACTAATGCCGCACTTCGCATCCAACAGAGCCTAATGTGCAGGAGACATCATCTTCATGCATTCTGTCATTTCCAAATAACGAAGCAAGAATGTCAGAGGGGCATATGATCTCTTATCTTGTCGATCATTCTTTTTGGCCCCTCAAATGATCCACAACCAACAGAACCAACACAACTAACGGCATAAGATGTGTAGGCTATACGAAAGGTCAAACAGCGGGGTTATCTTGATACTTGTCACCATGATAACATCAAACCCCTCCATTTAGTACTGATTCGTGACTGGACGGGTATTGCGGTGCAGTCCTTGTCACGAGACTCATCTTGTTGTCTATTTCACTATCTATGAATTTGAGAGACATGTGTGAATATCTCGAAAATTGTTGAAATAACCTGCGACTGATGTTCATCAAGACCTCTGTCCGGTAGCATTGCGAAAATGAAATTTTGGCCCCAGGAAAAGCACAGGTCCGGAGACTACAAAAGGGCTGAGAGAGACTCGAACGATAGTCGGTTTGACGAAGGACCACCGTTAACTGACACGCATGGACAAAATTCCCTTGATTCGGAGACGCTGCTTGATCATGATGACGAGAAACAGATAGACCAAGATCAGCTGAAACAGCACTTGTCCTGGTCTGTTCGAGATAAGATGTTTGTATGTGGTAACATTATTCTGTTTCTGATCTCTTTATCGCTTTTTATCGTACGGGGACATCGGTGGTCAAGTCGGCCGAATGAAATATATAGACAAGTTACTACATACTGTGAGTCAACCTGCTCCATGTTTATACATTGGCAACTATACATTTACCTATGTACATATGTAATCTCTATAAATATCTTCTGCCCTAGTGAATTGTGCTGACTATCAACTAGCTCCTGTCTTGGATGATATTGAGATAAATTTCGTACAGAAGCAAGTGGATGGCGAATTATTTCCAGCCAAGGACGTCAAAGATCAATTGCTAGGACGGCTAGAACCAGGCCCTGTACTCGACGATCTGTGGCAAGATTATGAGATGCAGCGAAATTTCATGTTGACCCGCGAACAAGTTATTGCCATGGGTAAAGATCCGGAGATGGCAGTTAAATTACCAGACGAAATCTTCGGCTTGGGCCAGGACGCGTACTTGGGGGGACTAGATGCTTTCCATATCCTGCACTGCTTCAACGCTATTCGCACTGAAGCCTTCAAAGATTATTACTTTGACGGAGAAAGGTATCATATGGAAGGATACGGACCGGATTCCATTCCCAAACGCAACCATTCCGAAATGTTCTGGATCCATTTGCGGCATTGCAGTGATATAATTGTCCAGTTTCTCATGTGTAACGCTGATACGACAATGACCACTTATTCATGGATTGAAACGCAGGAAAGGCCATTTCCTGACTTCTCTGTGAATAAGAAATGTATTGATTTCGACACTTTAGTTCGCTGGCGGGATGATAACGCGTTGGATTTTGAGGATGCTGGAATGATTCGACGACCTCCAGGGGCATATGAGGTAGCTGTAAGTGAGATATACTGGCAGATCATGGGAAATGAGACCCATCCAGGAGATAAGAGGCATCATCCTCTTTGGGATTGACTCTGCCTAATGTTTAGATAATCACATGAATTGAGCATTGTTATAAGCGTTGCTTTTCATTCCTGGATGCCCACCTAGGTAGTTGTAGTTAATTTTGGAAATAGATACAAGGTCGACTCTATAGAATGGTACCTTGGTAGGTACCTAGGTAGGTAAGATAATAACACATTATGAATCTCCAGTGTTGCTGGCGCGTGTGCGATTACATCCACTACCTCGAGGAATTTATATATTTTCGTCGGGACCAAACTCAAAAGCAAATTACAGCCAGCGCCATACGTTTGATTGTAAAGAGCAATTTAGCTAGATCCGCCGTCAATACAAAAATATTTGAATGTCCTCGGCATTGTTGTAATTAGGGGTAAGGCGCATTCGGGGAGCTCATAGAGCGAAGAAAAAGTCCATTCGGTCTCTCGCACTTTGTAGGCCAGACGCGTGCACGTCTCTTTGCGCGTCCTATCGAATTGATAATATAATAGCAACATTCCTGGGTCGTTCTCCTCAATTGTCTTCGAGACGTTCAGACTGCGTTCCGCTGTTATGCCTTGACGACCACTTTTTGGTGGTTTGGGCGACGACTTTAACCAAGCAATGTCAATTGCCGATGCACAAGGCTGGAGCCTACAACTCACCTTCCAGCGTGCTGCATGGATTCGATTACGATACGCAAATGCTGTATTCCGTGAAGAGATTCTGGATTTAGCTATGTTGTCTCCAAGCCAACCAACAGTCCAACAGTTGAAGTTAGTTAACCTTCCCTCCACCTACTATCTGTTAGGGATTGTTGACTGACGAGGTGCCAAGTGATATTGCACGCTGCTGCACGGAGGACTGGGAGTCACATCCTACATATCTCCATTTTACGCCAGACATCTGCAACAGTGATGACAATTCAATGATTTCCTTCATGCTTATCGTCTCGCATCTTGCATATCTCAATTACCACTTCCTTATCCAAATGCTTCTTGTCCGACAGCATCATGACCCAAACACATCTTCAATCTCCGTAAGATCCCAGATTTTATCAACTGTTCTCAAGTTGGGACATATACGTGATACATACGTGGATTTAACTGCAGCTGCGCGTTCCGAGGATGGCGATGTCAACGAAACAAGCTAACGGGTATATCTAGATCCAGCTATATATGGATTTCCACCTGCAAGCGTGCTAATTGGAGCTCTTCAATCGAAGACACTCTCCGGCATCTCACACATTTATACCACCTCGAGGTCAAAGATCATTCGTAACCTTTGTGTTTTCATTTCTCATATGGACGCGGTGGAGCGACCTAGGTATGGGAGCGATGCTCTATTCAAGCGGGCATCAAATACTTCACAAGTGCCATTGACGAGCTGATTGACTCAAAATCGACACCCGGTGGCAACCGTCCGCGTTCGAATACCGATGAGCCGGTCAATATGTGGAATCAAGACGATACTATAAACTTCCTGAGAGATGGGGTTCAACTGGATAATATGGATTTTGGAATGATGTTTGGTCAGTGATTGATTTGAAGCCAGCATAACAAAAATATACTTATATTCTCGATGTGATCTTCATTCAGACAAGAATGACTGACCATTAGTAATGGGCTTTGCAAAAATTTAAGCAAAAATTAGACCCCTTCATGGCTCCTGATTGGTCAAAAGAAATGGTACGCCGTTGACCAATCACAATCTAGCTTCAGACTTAGGTCTTTCTAGTCCCGGCGCCGGTCGAGGCGCAGTTTCCACAACTGTCAGGCAGCCCTTTTTAATTGTCGTATATTATCTCTCACCTAATAATGAGACCTCCATCGAGTATAGAAGCTACTCATCTTTTCCAAAATCAATGGTTGGTGTAGGCGGAAGATCCAAGGCATGCGGACAATGTCGACGCCGGCGGGTCAAATGTGGTAAGCAATTCCAGGCTACTATTTTCTATGACGATAGTAACTCCATATAGATGAGCAGAAACCGCATTGTCTGCGATGCATTAAGGCAAAACTTGAATGCAGTGGGTATCCCGACGTGACCATTATTCAGTTCGACGGACGAAGAAGACGCAGAACATCCACCCCAACTTCACGAAATACCTTGAACTCTGATAGGGAGTTGTCCACGGAGATTGTGCCTCGTGCTGTTTCAAGCACACCTCAAATTGCTTCAACCGCGGGTCCGTCGATTGAGCCTCGTATTTCATTGAATTATAATGATGTATTCATGGAATACACCCGTTCTAAACTCTTTCGTGGCCTTGACTCAGAAGACCTCGTTCTTCCTCCTAATTTAGATCAAGGTCTAGTTAGCAAGGCATTTCTCGCGCTCTGTACGACGTTCTTTGGAGTAGAGCATAAAGAGCAACAACTTATTAGTCGAGGATTTCATCAATACGGACATGCATTGGAACGTGTTCACGGCGCACTTGGTGATCCATCCCGACGCGCCTCGTTCGACCTTCTCAAGTCGATAGCAGTGATGTCGTTATTTGAGGTATGCTGATCTTCTCCTTCTTTTAGTACAGCTTGACGCAAAGTCTGAATAGCCACCTTGTATAGTTTCTTATATCAGATCGTCAGGACGGCTGGCTCAGCCATACCGTTGGCCTGGAGAAACTGTATGCTCTACGTGGTCCATACTCATTCAAAACACTCTCGGAGCTCCAGCTGTTTGAGAACTCCCGCCCTTCCATTATATTCTCTTCCCTATTTTTGAGACGACATACGATTCTGTCTAAACCAGAATGGAAAGTAATGCCCTGGATTACATACCCCGACAAAAAGACAGCAATGCAGCGATTGGTTGATCTTCTCGCTGATTGTCCGGCTTTGTTCATGGAACAAGATCGGATAGCATCTGAGAGCCCAGGAACGCCAGACCAAACCGGTGACTTGATTGAGTTGCTCCGAAAAGTCATACGTCTTTTAGACGACCTGCTACAGTGGAATGAGCAATGGGAGCTGGAAAACCCTGACTACTGCTACGATGTTCCCGCGCCGGCCTCGACACCGCTCATTGCCAGCATGTATGATGGTGATAGCTATGTACCGGCTTGGTCGACGGTACTGGAATACAAAAGCATGTACCACGCAAACACGGTAATTGTCTATAATGGTACTCTGGTCCTGCTTCTCAATCTCGCTCAAAGTGTAATGCAGATGAAGTCAATTCCAACAATGCACCAAACTCCACACATAATCGATATGAAAAAGATATACAATGCTGGGATCACTATCTGTCGCAGTGTTGAATACCATCTCCAGAGCATGCGACAAGGCGCTGGTAGCTTTTTTCTCCTCTTCCCTCTACGCATGGCATATGTTTCTGTTGGGCGTACCGAACCGACTATTGGCACCTGGATACAAGATGTGTTGAAACAGATACAAGACGGAAAAAGCGGTCGATGGGCTACAGCAAAGTATTTACTGGATCTTCAACCTCTGTCTAGGAATTCTGCATCAAGGATTGTTATTACATGAGTATATTCGATTATGAGAGCCAAGAGATTAAAGATTCTCAACGACAATACACTCCATCCTCTTGGCTGTCTTCTCGTCCTTCTCATTTGCCCGGTCGACTTTCCTATTAGCCTTTGCAAGTTTTCTCTCATACTTCTTCTGGTGCTTAGAACGGTCACCCTTATCACTGTTCGATGAATCAGAGCCGAACGAGTCGCTAGAAGTATCCCTGCCATCATGGCTCCTATTCCGAAAATTATAACTGTCGCCATCGGACGTTCCACGGGTGCGCAATCGTTCAAGTTTCATCTGCTTCTTTTCGGCCTTCTGTTGTTGCTTCGCAAAGCGTTTTTCTTGCTTCTTTACCTGCTTCTCTAAACCTCTAGCAGCAAGCTTATCAAGAATATTGTCCTGTTTTACAGGCGGAAGCACTCGTTCTGTCAAAGGGACAACATATGGTTGCAGAACAGCCATTTTGCGTTGGCGCAAATCTTGATACCCGCTTTGCAAGTCGTTGGAAGCAAGTAATCTCCTCTTGTACTCTCTGGCCTGCTCACTGCTAGGATTGGCAAATAGACAATTCACCAAATCCTCATCCATTTTAAGGGACACTTTTAACCTGCGAGGATTGAAATATTGCTCGTTTGCCTTGGCTAGGAATCGCTGCGTTCTGACCTTGGACACGGCTGCTGAGGCTACTCCAGCGACGACTTGCATCCCAGCGGAGGCCAGAGCTACCCAATGATTGGGCACCATTCCCATAACTTGACCGGCAGCGTTGACGGCTGAGAAGACTGGGGAACCAGCTTGAGCGACGCCAAGATTGTCGATGAACGCCAGAAACTCTTCTTCGTTGATATCATGCATGACAAGGGTAGGACTGTATGCGCGGAGGAATGGGAGAGGAGGTTTGAAACGTCCAGCAACGCCAATCCGCGGGATAACGACTGGTATCTGGTAGCAAATGAGCATGACAACTTGCAAGTTGGCCTGGGGAGTTAGAATAAACGAACCTCCAAGCGAGCCATATACTGGTTACTAGAGGGTTTGCGGGATGGAATCCATCCGAGAGTCTGGGTGTCGACAAATTCCTCGGCTTTATGAACTTCCTCAGAGCTGATACTTTCCGCTCGCTCTGGAGAGCCTTCACTTGGGCCATAAAGGGTATCATGAGATGGAGGATGTCGTTCTGGTATAGTTGTTTTGGCGTAATAGGGGCCCATATTATTGGGCTGTGGGAAATTCGATACTTGATGAGGTACTCCTGGCGGATGGAGGTAGGTTTGACGGCGCTGTGTTGTTGTATTTTGAGAGTAGTAATGACCATAGTCTGGCTGTGGTGCATTTATTGAATATTGAAAGGAAGGGAAATTGGAGTATTGATTCATAGCTGCAGATGGACGGGAGAAGTATTCTGGTTGTGGTGACCTCGAAGGAGGTTGGCGGTGTGTCATATCTGTGGAGTTCTGATATTGATGTCCCCCACTCTGTCTAGGAGGATATCTATATGAACTCATTGTCACCTTCTATTCCTCCTGGTGTAGTATAAGGTGATACTTGAAAGGGAGTAAGCAATGTGGTAGGATGGAAAGAAGATTTGAGGAATGATATTGTGAGTCACATCTTCAGCAGGATACTCATCCTACTTTATACATGTACTTCGTCAGAAAACTTCATAGCCCCTCCATCAGCATCGTATGGGCGTTTTCTCAATTCGGCTTATTTCTCGAGATCTGGTCCCTATAGGTCCCTACTTTAATCTGTTGTACCATCTGATTTTGGGTAAGGTCCAATCCGCCATTCCATGTGGCTGAGCCTTTATAGCTATTCATTGGCTAGTATACAAAGTAGGTTGAGAGTCCCCACTTTACTAGGCTTAACTAGGATCATTTCTCGAAAGTGGATTTCGAATCTACTGCCCTTTTCGGACTAGAGTGTCGATATTTCTTCTGCCAGCCGGTCCGTGATGGTTGTCGATGAGGCTGACGATGAAAGATCCTATAGAATCTATACGCGTATTCGCGGAGATTACGATTATAACTGGGAAGTTGATCTCCTTTCGTTTATTGTCTAAAGTAATGTTAGGCTATACACAGCAAAGGCGGAGCTAGTGGTGTCACGGATAAGAAAGTAATATAATTGGAGATTATGTTATACAGTCTTGATGGTAAGTTAGTAAGTGCAAAGCTGGCCTTGAACATGTCGGCAGATGTCTCAGCTTTAAGACTATCTTCAACTGAATTCAATCATTTATTCCTAATATTGTGACTAGTCCCCAAGAGCGAGGGGGGTGTGTGTGTGTGTGTATATTTAACGGCCGTGGTTCGTGACTCGCACGCTTCCCACCGATCCCTACTGGGACATAGGCCGCCGAGGGGTAAACCTTGGGTTTCAGGTCCTATCAGATTTATGTACAAATAAGAGACTCTTTGGCGCGTTTCCATAGCTGCCGTGGTCTTACAGGGAGGTCCACTTTGAGTGGGTTTTGGGTATTTGCCAGCTGCAATGGTCCACCTACGCTCCATGACCCGTAATTCTACCACCATAGTAATTAAGCAGTGAGTTTTATAAGAAAGAAAGAAAGAAAGAAAGAGATAGGGGAGGGATTAAACGAATGAAAAGAGAGATATAAAGGGAAAGTAGGGCTGACTTAGTTAGGTGCTAAGGAGAGATTGGCGAGGACAGATGTCCTCAAAGAAATGGGTCTCTGCTAGCCGTGTGGCTAGCCTTTGCGCTCCTTTTGCGGTGCCTAAAAGAAGGGAGATGACCTCAGAAGGGGGTCCAGGAGGGCGAGAGGCTCATCTCTTAGCTATATGGCAGAAGAAGAAATGTAGAGGTGCTTTTCATGCCCCGCACCAACAGAGAAGATAAGCATCATCATGATTGAAACGTTCGTGGTAGTCTGCAAAGTCTTCATGTCCCATTCGGGCCGCTATAATACGGCCGAGGTCAAGTCGGTTGAGTTGAAGCTCTCCAGGGCGCTTAGGAGATGTAGTTATTTCTAGGTCTTGGTATGTCTGTGGTGCTATGGTCTACCACTATGACTGAGCAGCAGAAAGGGATTGAGTCTTGACATATCTCTTTAGCGAGGCATATGAGGACTTGTGTGGAGAGGCGGGGAGAGGCGGGGATAGAGGCAGCTCCCTTTTTAACAGCGAGATTAGCCACTTCATTCTCAGGGATTTTAGTGTGTCCAGGGACCCATCGGATTTGGATTGATCCACTTTTAGTGTGTGGAAGCCTATCGCGTAGTGGCCAGGCAGCTGCAAGGGTGCGGAAGGATTCAAAGACTTCTTGAGAAGATCCTGTAGAGGGAGATAGGAGGCGCGTGGCAACTTCCAAGTTATCAAGGCAGATCCATAGGTTAGTAGCAAATTGAGCTGTTGGGTATGCTATTGCTGCTTGAGCACCAGCTAGGGCTGCTTCTATTTCTGCGTCAAAGACCTCTTTCCTATGTCTGTATAAGAGTGAGGAGCAGAGGAACTGATGGTGTGCTTAAAATCCAATATAGCTACCCCCTGCACGTCCATCTACTAGCCTGGATCCATCTGAAAAGATTATAATATCAAAGCTAGGGATGGTGCGTTGGAAAACCGTGAAATAAGCCGCTGCCTGTTCCTTAGTGCGACCCATGGGAGCTCCTATTCGAGCTTGAGCATTCTCGCGAGACTCGCGAGGGCGCCAGGGAGCGTATTGGAGAGGGTTTATCTATTCAGAGTTAGGAAGGGCCACTATACGATGGGCGAAACGGCTGGCTTGTCGGCTATTGCTGGTAACCTGTTCTGCACGTCTTCGAAGTGGGTGATTAGGATTAAGACGCTGTAGGCGGACAGATACAAGGAGGGCTATTCAATCTAGTTCAATTTCTGGTGGAGAGAATCCAGACTCTCGGTATAGGACGGGTATTGGGGTTGTACAGAAAACTGGAAGGACTGCTCTTGCGCCTGCTAGTATTACTTTAGTTAGTTTTTCAAGATGTTCTCCAACTCGATTTGAAATTTGGGAAGGCCCAGGGCGAGTACGACCTGGCCACCAGGTTTCAGCCCCATAGTAAGCTTTATAGAGTACACAGGCTGACACAGCCTGCTGTAGTAAATGAGGTTTGACTCCTCAGACAGTATTCCCTAGAGAGCAAAGGGCATTGGCCACAGTGAGGGCTTTAGATACTGTTTCACCAACGTGCCATTTAAAGGTTAGCTTTTTGTCATAGAGGATTCCTAGCCAACGTAGATATGGCCGTTTAGTGTTTTCTGATACTGTAATGAGTCTAGCTTTCACTGAAGGTGTGCAGGTGGGATCCTGGTCTACTGTATGTTGGGAGAAGTGGAGGAGCTCGTATTTATCTGGTGCGAATGTAATGCCCTCTGCGGCGCCCCAGTCAAGAGCTTCTTGAAGAGAGTTTGATAAGGCTTGGCAGTTAGTGGCAAGAGATGAAGAGATTGCTAGATTAGCTGCGTTGTCCGCGTAGCCAAATCTGTTCCTTGGGTTTCCCAGACGGAATAAGGGCGATGTGTAGAGCATGAAAAGAATACCAGATACTGGAGATCCTTGTGGTAGACCACAGGTAATATCAATTGAGGGGCCAGTCTCTCCGTCGAGTCGGATCTGGACTGATCTCCCAGTAGCGAAGGAGGCGATCCAGAGAACAAGATTGGTAGGCCAGCCCTGCTCGCGTAGGGTTTGATATTCACGTTCCGACACTTAGTATACAGATACCTGTCTTAGATCGGTGTGCTAACCTTTACGAGCAGTGTGCTCCAAATACTTCGAGAAAGCTCTGGCGGTCGCAGCTCTGCAACCGAAGATAGAACTTCATATCCATAGTAATGTATATAACTCTTAGCAAGAAATTAGGTTAAAGTTTTAGAAATAATGGTTCTTTTCTTTTTTTTTTTTCCTGAGAAAGAATTAAACTGAACCCTCTAATCCCTTGCATGCGCCAAATACCGCGTGCTTACCAAAAAGGCCAAGGGCCGCGATGTTAACAACACCAGCAAATTCGCCTATAGCCACACCTTCACCGACCAGAAGATGCGTATTAGATTAACCAGATCCAGCTCAAGGAGACCAAAGAGTAGAATCCCATCGTGTATCAACGTCATACTCAATAGATTTATTAGAAAGATTCATGCGCTTGCAACTACTGTTTCATGTCTGCCTACGTTGAGAGCTTCTGTGGATCCAGAGAGCTAGGATACGAAGTTTTATAAGTGGCTTAAGTGGATGGTATAAGTGATGTTTTTCTTCATCAAGGGTATCACAGAAAGAGGTAGTTTCTTCTATATTACCAGACTTGAGAGCGGAAAGGATGTTTTTTACAATAAGGTTAATGATGTGCGCTAAACATCGCATATAACTTTCTAGACTATAGAATAAAGGACTGGCCCCTAGCTTCTTCTGCAGATCTTAGAACAATTGTAAGACTATCCGCTCATTGTTGCTAGCATTGTCACTAGTGATTAAAAGCAATTTATGCTCAAGGTTTAGTTTAACAAGTAAAGCTTTAACAGCTATAGCTAAGTTCTTACCACTATGTGGTCCGTGGAGCTCTGTGAACTCCAGGACTTTCTCTTAATATTCAAATTCTTCTTTTAGAATGCTAAGCAATGCTTTGAAGGTAAGCTACCAGCTTCATATGCTCATGTAATATGGAACTAATACTTCAAAGTCAAGGACCCAGATTGAAAAATTCATTCACTATGAGACAGATTTCTCTCCCTTCTCACAGAAAGATTGGACTCGACTCTCCCAAATTCACATTATTCTCTCAAAGTTTAATGAGTTTACCTTGTTTGTCTCTGAGCGAAAGCCACAGATTAGTCTCACAGTTCTGATATACTATGAGCTCTATAATTTGCTGCATGATGCTGCTGAGCGCAAAGAAGATTTTGCAGATATTGATGAGGATATCGCAAGTGCTGTCAGAGAGAGTATCAATAAGTACATGAAGTACTATACTTTCATGGATATCTCCAACACATATTATACTGCCTTGATCCTAGATCCTCGTGTAAAGGCAGATCTCCTCCTATATGAATTGGACGACGAGGACACTGGCAGGAAGATTCTCAAAGTCCTCCGTGACAACCTTCATGAAAAATATCCTGAGACTACAGATCAGCGTACTATGGCGGAGCCCCCAGAGCACACCCATAAAAAGCAGAAAGCTGGCAGCTGGATGTTGCGAAGGCTACAGCCTCAGGACAAGCCTCCATCTTCTGATATTAATAGATATTTCGACGATATCCGGGTTAATGCCATTGACATGGAAGATCTGAATTGGCTATTCGAATGATGGAGAGTCCATAGAAAAGATTATCCTCGGATGACTGCTGCTGCTAGAGATTAATTGGCAATCCCAGCCTCTGAAGTCTCAGTTGAGAAGTTATTTAACTCTGGAAGAGATGTACTTGGAGTAAGGAGATACTCTATGAAGGGAGAAACTATGAGGATGCAATGCTGTTGGATGATGTATATCGTTAAGCAGTAGATGATTATTGATTAAACTCAGAAGGAATAGATCTAGCCTAATCCTATGGCGAATTACTCTGTAGTAGCGTCCTTAAGGGAGAGCGGAAAAATAATTTGCGAATAGCGAATATTCGCAAAATTATGCCAATATCGTATCGTCAACAGCTCTAAGTCAAATGAGGCGATCAATCAGAAGCTCGATCTTATAGTCCCAAATTTACCCCTCATGATAGCTTACAAATCAGCACACCAGAATGTCTATAAAAACCCAGATTGGAACCTCCTGTATGGAGAGAGACAGAGAACCGAATACATACAATCTTGATAGTCACTTCTTCTTTTCTTATCCTTGTAAGCTGCTATTCAGGATTGGCCTGGAGTAAACCCCCCAATCCGACAGAACGGCCGGTCTGACGATTTTATCGACCAATAGGAGAGCACTGCCCAATCGTCGGTGCGCCTCCGATTCATCCCGGCTCAAATATCAACACAGCTTTGGATCTTTTGATACATCTGACCGCTTCAAGAGTCTCTAAACTGTGATCAACTACGACTGGATGATTATGGCTGTGCGATTTGTTTCATATCTCATTGGACCATCTCTTCTAGACTCATTTGATACTTGTGATTTTTCTCCGTTTCCCGTTATTTCTCTTTTCTTTCCTTTTTCTTTGACTCTGGAGCAGAAGAGAACATCGTCAAAGTAGGAGAATGCTGTGAGATTGAAAAGTAGGTATACATACTTAAATAACCAGCAGCCAATGGATAGTCTACCAACGAACCAATATACAGAAAGAGATGATGGCGATAGATTCAACTACCTATCACACTTGCCAGATAACTAAATACATAACTAAATACATGAAGCATTCTCTTAGATGAAAAGTAGATGATCCGATGTTAGCGTAAGCAGAAATAGAACTTGCTGCGCTGTAATGTCCGCCAGAGAGAACCACAGGCGAGAATCAAGGCCCCATCATGGGGGACTATGAGTGGTAAGATGATGCTAAAAGAAGGTGTTGCACTGTCCTGAATACATGATCAAAACATAAAACTTAATAAGAGGTAACATCAAGAGATCCGAAAAATATGCCATGATGTTAGTTCTTTCTAGGGTCTGTCGTTGTTCCATGAAATCAGCCGTCTAATCGAGGAGGAACCAGTATCGAACCCAACCTTCTCGTAGTTAAATTATGGCTGCGTTTGGAATCGTCAGACTCATGATCCCAATGGGTTGCTTGAAATGGAGGTATACAAAGTCCTAACCAGGAGTCCCCATACGGCGCCTGTAAGGAGAAGACCTGGCTAGGCCGTCACATTTCCCCTTTCAAAGTCCCTCAAGATAAACAAACAGGTAATAACAATACTTGATGAAAAAGAAAAGGCTAGATGACTTCTACCACGTCCAGAACTGCCAAGTGGTCTTGGTGTATTTGCTATAAAGCATCAGGAATCAGTAAGTAATCAAGTCTAGGAGGTAGCCAGGAGAATAGATACATACAGACGGTATTCGATTGTCAAGACCAGGCTATATGCTCCGTTGATTTCCCTAATCCCATCTGATCTGCGCAACACCCTCCATTTGAGGGAGTAATATGGCGAATGGGAGATTCGTGGCCACATGTAGGTAGCGAATCACTGCAAAGGAGAGTCCACGCCTGGGCCGAGTAAGGCGTGATGATTGGTATCTCCGATTGCGAGTAGGGTTCGTGTTCGAACAAAGCTAGGAGCATTTGACGAATCATTTCTAAACCGGGGAAGAGGGGTGTTGATTCTCTCCATGCTTCCAATTGATGTTTGAAATATATGCTTCGAATATCATAGTCAGTTGCTAGCTTCAAATCAACATTCAAAAAGGGAAAGTTCATAACCATACCCAAGAAATAATCAAGCACTTCCAAGCAAGGACAGTCTACCCTGAGACTAGTAATCTATGTGGTTATGCTGCGTAAACTGCGTCCGCCGGGCTGAGGGTTATTCTAGCAAGATGTCCGTTTTAGTGCGATTATGAGGATATCAGATATTGCTAATTAGAAGCAAACAAGAAACAGCCTATGTAGGTTTTATAGTACGTACTTAAATCATAGGTAGCTTTAATGTTGAAGTAAAAGAGGACTATCCCAAGAGAACTAGCGTGTACCCTTGGCCACCCTCATCGCTTAGACCTTTGCATTATTATTCTTGCCGAGTGTGTCGTGGAATCTCGCCCTGGGGCGTAAAATACGGATGAGGAAGTTGTGTATGAGATCAAATATCCGTTGTGACAGGAGACCCTTAGTCTTGAAATCATCGAATCAACTCATTCTCCAACACATCCAGACACTTCATAATAATTTTTCCCAGCTGCCATCCCTGTCTTCGCTCAAAAACCTTTCTAGCCCACGCCATAGCCCCCTTCAAATCACCATCCCGAACTCCCACAGCTTGCATTGCACCCGCCAAACCTCCACGAACCATCTGCCAGGCAATCAAGAACGTTTTGTATGCATACAAAGTGATCCACGGGGGTTCGGAAATCGGTGTCACAGCCGAAGAATCAAGATAGCGCAAAAACCAGTCAACATGAGGCTGAATAACGCCGTTTGACTTAACCAGAATCTCGTAGGATAATGGTGCTAGATCGGTTGCTATTTTCAATGCTTCGTCCACACTTCCACCCACAATGCCTCCGGTATGGGATGGTGACCATATCTGGATTTCGATCATGGCCATTTCCCACGTTGCTTCACATAAAGCCGCGTACATATTCTTGGTGTTGTGTCTGTGAGCCTGAGGCCGTATAAAAGGTTCGAGCGCGACAAGGGATGAGGTTATAGGTTCCAATCTTTCGACGCTGAGTCTTCCCGTCATTGTAGACCAGCCCGTAATTTCGCGTGCACTCGAGATCAGGAATTGCGCAATATTAATCGCCCCGTAAGGATCGAACGGCGGGAGCGAGCTGAAGTTTCGATTGGAAGATAGAAAATATCGGACAGCATCTGCGTATTGCATGCTGCTACCAGGGCCGGATTGTCGTAGAAGCAATTGTCCATGTGCCCACTGCGCTGAGGATGATGCCGTCCAAGAATCTTCTGGGCAGGGTAAGTCATGTTTGATCTCTAAATGAGAGAGTAGCCTAGGAACAGAGAAGAACTGATACCACAAGGAATCAATTTGATGAATAGTGAAAAGCGTCCGTTTATGGGATTCGGCTTTTATGAATTCTCGCCACAGTGAATCCAGATCTGCTGTCGCTGAGGATTCGATTTGCATGGGCTGCATGAGTCCTGTCGAGCGTGCTAGAATAATCAATTTGGAATGCATCTGGGGTCCATATTCCGAGCTCTTTCCGCAAAGATACATTGTGGCGCATATTTGCAACAACAAATAGGCTTGAATCATGCTGATACCCCTGGTAGCATTTGATTCATCGTCATTATCCTGTTCCATTGAAGCGAGAAGTGTTCTAGCTCGATAAAAACAGCGCGTGGATAAGCTCGTTCCGGAGCCTGCTTGATCTTCGTTGTCGGGATCTTCGCCATATCGATAGGCTAGTGATAGCATACTAAGAATCAAATGGCACGGAGCCTGGCTTGCATCAAAGGTTGGTCTATGAATGAAAGGCACAAAATGCAATACGTGTGTAAAGTAGAGATCAACGCCTCGCGCAATTTGCGATACCGAAGGGAACCAATCTTCGTGAGCAATGGACGATAGATCATTGGCTAGCAAGCTGTCCGGAATATCTTGACTGAAATTTCCTCTATCCATAGATGGTGTAGACCGCGAGCCATTGAGTATGCGCACTTGATTGCCCAAAAAATCTGCATGCTTAGTAGCAAAAGACCCGGATAGTTGGTTCTGGCCCAAGTCATAGGCATTCTCCGTAAAGTGCGTAATATATGGCGGCTCGTGTATCCGTGATTGCTGCGTAATAGGAGATGCGTCGGCATGGAAATTTCTTGATTCAAGGTTCATGTTCGCGCTTCTTATGATCAGGTCTATATCTTTCTCATGTTGGGCATCATCGACATAGCGTAAGCCGGGAGACCAAACCTCATAGTCCGCTTGCAGTTCCACATCATCACCGGATTGTTGAGAACTCCAGGAATTTCCACGCCCTGCAGGAGATACTGACGAGTCCGTATCATTCTCAACAACATGAGAATTCCTTCCAGCAGTGCTCGTCGGCTTTGCCGGCGTACGTCTATTCTGACATGATCTCTTTGCAATTCGCGCATCTTCTTGCTGGGGATGTTTCCGCTTCATATGTCGATGATGCAAGTCACGTCGTGAAAAGGTAACATGGCATATATCACAAGACAGCTCTGAAACAGCATGGAGACGTGTATGAAGCGCTGCATGTCGCTTCAGGTTCTCATTTCTGGTGAAGCGTCTCTGGCAGACGTCGCATTGGAAGGGCTGATATGGTGTATTTTGCAGGCCGGCATGAGAGGCAGTAGACATGTTGGTATGAGCTCACGGCGACTACATGGACGGTGATGTTTGTAGGTCGAGAGATTGTAGATAGGAACAAAACCGGGGAAAGAAGGGAGTGGAGTCGGAGATGATCCGGTTATCGAGGAGTTGTATGTAATGGGTTTAGCTGTATTGATAGATAAAGATAGAGTGGGCCATACCTATTGCGTCGCCTCCCCCCACCCTCCAGGTGGTGGTCGGCCCGGGCTCAAGGGCCAAGTTGAATTTTGTATGCGATCGCTAACAAATCTCAACATCTAATTATTACGAATAACAACGCAACAACGAGATATAATGATTTAAAGGTTATAAAATGAGCTTCTTTATTTTATGATATATCTTATATAGTAATATTAAATACTAAATATAAGTCTTTAATGGTTAAATATTCGCTCAAAACCTACTTATTAATAAGATAATACATATTAACGTTGCGTTGTTATTCATAAAAATTCAATGTTTTCAGCTGATAGTTGAGCCCTTTCCCAAGAGATTGTACGACGAGCCCCAGAGAAAACTCGTTCTGGTTCATCGCTCATCCCAGGAATTGATAGAATATCAATTGCCATGTATGACAACCTTGGCCAACGTTTTTGCTATTGATCCTGACACCACCATGTTAGAGCACTCATGCGGATCTCGTACGGAGACTCAGAATTATAATCTTTATATTCATCCTGACTTGCTGGTCGAGCAAACTTGCCCCAAATCTTGAGCAATTAGGTCAAAATCATCAAGGTCTCAAGTATTCCGCTCATATGATTGTATGACCATATAATTAGGAGTCTTTTGCTGATACTCCTCCTAAAGCTTCTTAACCTTCTGTAATACAGGCTTTTGCCAGCTCTTTCTCCAGTTTGCTTCAATATACTTTATTTGACGAGCAGGATGAAGAATGAGCGCTGCAGCATAGAGGGGAAATTTCTGACTTACTATAGTATTTATCAAAGATATCCCACCCATTGTCAATTGTCGCTTGATCTCCTTGGGTCTTCAGAGTTGCTTAATCAAAGAGACTAAGAAATTTTCTAGTTCTGTGGAGCCTCTCCCAGTCTAATGGGGACAGATACTCTATTTCAAGCACAGCAAAGTGCCATTTAGTATAAGTGTCAATAGCACTATCAAACTAGAGCGCTACGTAAAGCATTTAGTACCAGCTATTTCACCTGGTGCAGTTATCAAGTGGAATCAACCTCCCTGCAAGATCTTTAAACTCTTTCATTCAGCCAGCTGAACCACGAATATGCGTCAATATGTTATGGAGTTTTCCCAGCAGGCCTATTTTATGGATAGTGGCCTGTCTCTGCAACTTAACTTCTCCCTATCCCTTATCTTCTGTGATTTCTATTTTATCCTATGAACTTAGTTGCTCCATCTCTAGCATATTTTGAAATAGAAATGCTTGCACAGCCAAGTTAATAACATGGCTAATGCAGAAGATGCAACAATACATAGAGTTCCACGTAATTCCTTCTTCTTCCTAAAGATAATTTCCTAATACTCGACAAAGCTTATCATTTGCAGTATGATTATCACAAACAATCGACCCAATCTTTTGCTGCATACCATAGTCATTCAGAACAGGAAGGAGAGTAGCGAACTGCTCATCTCCACTATGATTTCCTACAGTCTGAAGAGCAAGGAGGCCCTTGCAAAGCTTTTCTTGAGTCTGCTCAACAAAGTAAGCACAGATTCCAAGAAAGAGGATCCGATTTGGTAAGATCCAGATGTCAAGTGAAAGATGGATGCTTGACGATGCGGATTGGAGCGTTTTCCATATAATATCCTTTTGAGCTTGCTAGGATTGTTCGATTCTTTTAGGAATTGAGGTATGTGCTGTGATAATATAGCTCTCTGATTCTAGATTTAGCATTCAGCAAAGAGCATGAAATTCAGGCTATTCAACAAGGGATAATGGAATATTTCGTGTAATAATCAATGAGACCAACGCTTCATCAATAACATCCTGGCTCAAAATCCTCTGGAGAACTTTTGTATTAATATTTTGGGTTTGACCAAACGACGGTGCTTTAATGTAAAGCTGCTGAAGCTGGTAGACTATAGTTTGTTGGAGTGTACTTGGAGCAGATTAGATGGAGATTTGATGCCTTGATTTTAGATGATTCTGCATGTTTGTGGTAACCGAAGTGCCATATGGTGAATCCGTACAATGGATGCAGTATTTGATAGGAGATTTTTTATGTGATTGCACTTCATCATCCCGTGCTGGTCGAGTATGGACCCATGTCATCGAGCCTGTCGAAGTTTTCCCCCTATTTGAGTTGGCGGTATTGGACTCAGTTTCAACGGAATCAAGTGTAGGAACATATAAAAGACTGGATGAATCGGTATCGGAATCCATTTTTGAGTGGGATGATTACAATTCATGGGGAATTAGAAAAGAGGAGTATTAACATGAAGCTTTTCATAATTATCGACAGGCGGTGAGTGGGCGGTGAGGATTCTGCCGATTATCGATGACAAGCCTGCAAAATTCAACTTGGCCCTTGAGCCTGGGCCGACCACCAATCCCCGCATATCTATTAGGACTCTATCCAATCAAAGCTTGATTTGCATAGCCGACGACTGATAAGCAGAACCAGATTACAATACATTACACATCTCGCCTAGGGCATCGAGACGACTGTGCGTAAAGCACAATATACTCTTTTTGATTCGTTCATAGTATGGATATTTGGTATTAACATTGCTCTTGAATTGATGATAAATGATATTTGAGATATAATCGGGAAAATCTCCAAACAAATAGCCAAAAACATGGGGTGTATAAATACATCTAGTCCCCTGGCAAACTTAAACAGGAAGAACAACCTTAACACCCATATATTCGCGCTGCTGCATCAGCTTGCCATCAATCAAGACCTGATCAGCGCCAATTCTGTTGCGAACCGTATCTGTAGGATCGGTAGCCGTGGCAATCTGGATCTCTCGCCATTCACGATTGGTAGGTACAAGCTTGCCCTGAGCAGTCCGATTTTTGAACTCTTTGTAGACACCTTGATCTTCGACACATCCTTCTCGTTGGATTAGGGGGGATTCTGTTGCGACAAGCAGTATTAGTATATATTCCATAGATTGTGATGCTGTAAATACTGATACTTACCTTTGGCGGGTGCCATTCGCAAATCTCCAACGGAGCTATTGAAAAGAACCAGAGAAAGACGCTCTTCATGCAATTGATCGGCAGGGGGCTTGAACACACGGTGACGAGTTGCCTTGAAGTGACCACCGGAAACTATCTCTAAAGTATCACCGATATTGACAACGAGTGCACCCGGCTTGTATGGCACGTAGTGCCACTCCTCATCACGGCCCCAGATCTGCAAGCACGAGATAGGAACAGAGAAGAGTAAAGTCGTCAAACCAAAGTCTGTATGGCCATGCATACGAAGTCCCTTGGACGATTCTGCAGTCTGCTTTTGTACGGGCCGAAACAGTGCATGGCGGAAGTAGCCTTCACCGGTTGGACCACCGTGGGATTGGACATTGTCCCAAAGGTAGTCGTCCGGTAGCTCCAGGACACGTGAAAAGAGAGTAAGAAGTCGTCGATTGACGGACTTGGTTAGGTAGTTGCAAAAGGCTTCGATTTCGTCCATGAAGGGGTGTAGGCATTTAGGGACGCGGTTGATATCTTGCCACTCTCGTTTGTACCAGTTGAATTGTTCGATGCCATCAGGTATTCCGCGGTGACGCTTGCGACAAAAATTATTAGTATGTCATTATATCACGCTGAATAAATAAATGTCGCTCACCTTGAAACCATAGGGATGCTTGTAACCAGACCACATACCCGTGTCAGGATCGAAGAGAAGACGTTCCTTATCTTCTTCCGAAATGTTATTATATAAATATTGTGCAAGAGAAAACTGGCGATGGAGCTATAGTTTCGAACGTCGATTAGTATCCGTATATTCCCCCCGAAACCCATGACTCACCTGTTCCAAGGAGATTCCATAATTCTCAAGAAAGAGGAACCCATCATCACGGATGGCAACTTTCACTTTCTGAATCAGTTCATCAACCACAGCCGGGTCTTTACTATCAAGCAAGGATAAATCAATAGATTTGAGCTTGGCGAAGTTATGTGTTTCCTTTGTCACTGGAGGAGGAACCCATTCTGGCACGAAGGGCTTGCCTGGTAAGTTGGCTGAGGGCGGATTGAATAAAGCTGTAGGTGCCATTGTTGGAGAATGTCTTCTATAATGATATGCAACAATGAGATCTGATAGTGACTCGTGTCTTCGAAAATCCATTCAATAATACAATTTTTCTATCTCTTATATCCTTGCTCCTAATGCTCTTTCGGATTTGAGATCGGCATATGATTAAGCTGCGATCAGTAAGAGCTCTCGTACCCAGCCTCGAGCAGACTGTGACTGCTGGCAAAAGAGCAGGCGGTACCTCCTATCCTGTATTGAGTCATGAGATACTGGCTCTGTATCCGTACCAGCATGATTCCATCTTCGAATCCCACGCCGGGACCCACAGAAGCTTCAATTCCTTCGTTGTGATATCAATTGTCTTGTTCATTTCCGTCTACTCCTCCTTTTCATGCTTTTGACTCCATGGAGCTCCTCTATACTGTTATCAGTGGAGCATTAAGGTCAAGGTCCAACTGATGAGACGATCCTAGCGTAGCGTAAAGTTATTCCCTGCATTTTCTTCCATTTTGAGATATAATTGAATTCACTTAAGTGGAAAAGAAACTCTGATAGGAAACATTTTGTGGCTAATCTAGAAGTTCTGGGAGGAGTGTTTGGGAGGAGCTCCTCCCATGTATGACCCACAGCCGTGCATAACCCTAAAAGTCTCTATCAGATTGACACCTCCTTCTAACTTCAAAGCAACTTTACCATTTGCTAAAAGCTGAACTTTCTGATAACCTGTGCTTCATATCTCATCGGAATCAGAGCTCTATGGATCAGTTTGTAGATAGTGATACAAAGCGGAGTCAGTGGAATTGAGACCTGAAGGGTACTGCTCCTCCTGCTCCGCATTTTATCGTCGAGATACAGTTGATTGCTCGTGGACCCATTAGGTAATGATTATGAGAAAGGGATGAATCTCTGAATGAAAGTGGATAGTGAGCTCCTAATCATTCATCCTCTGTGTTTGAAAATTGGTTTTCACTTTCTGCTCTTCTTTGAGGTTTTTCCTCCTATAAAGTATGAAGGCATAGGTGAAGAATGACAGAGGAGACATCGAATCAGTGACTAAACTGACAACATTCTAATCTCTAGGCATATCTTCTTCTCATTAACTATCATCTTCTGATAATACCTTACCTTCATCAACGCACTGCAACGATGTCTCGACAACTCATTTCCAGCGCGAAATTCCCTCCCAAGCCGCACAACTGTAAGTCCTCTGATCATAAAAATTCTCGAATTAGTCTTGATACTAATTATAGAAAGGCCCTGCGGTCAAAATTCCCGGTCTCGTTTTCTGTGCCGGTCAGACAGCTACGGGAGAAATCAAACAAGCAACCGTAAGTTCGCCCCTCCAATCTACGAATTATTCTCTGCATCATAACTTACATACTCGTGTATTCTCCAACAGAGAAAAGTCCTAGAAAACCTCAAAGAAGTCCTTGAACTATCCGGTTCTTCCCTCGAAAAAGTGGTCAAATACAATGTATATCTTGCGAATATGAAGGATTTTGCAGCCATGAATGAAGTCTACATTGACTTCCTGCCACAACCGATGCCATCACGGTCTTGTCTTCAGGCTGTTCCGCCTGGTGATGGCACTGTTATTGAGATTGAATGTATTGCACAAGCTTAAGATAATGATATAATGGATTGAATAAAGTATGAAAGGATTTCACGTGTGATAGAATGACTTTGGGGAAGTGTAATGTAACTCACGTAACTATATACCAGCATTCCTTGGATCGTACCTAGGTATCTAAATATTTGCTCCTTAGCTTATGAAATATTAAGGATGTACCATGACCTCTTGTCCGGAGCTACCTAGGTGGGACATATCCATGCATACTAACCTTTTTGTATGATTCACGTCAATGTCATAATAGTATCTTTTAGGGTTCAGTGATGCTAGATACTTTGAAATATTGTCCTGACTAATAAGTGATCTCGAAGGAAGTATACCTGCATATATAGGTAGACTTAGAACTAGGTAAATCAGAGAATTCTACGTGGGGATTTCCAGGAATATATCTATGAAGTGTATTTGAAAAATGGACAAAACTCCATATCTATCATGAACGAGCAATATCAATCTCTTCCATATACCAATTCTGAATAGCCTTCGTATCACCCGTAATAGCGACAGTATCAAATCGTTTCTTCGCCTCCTTGGCCAACGAGCCATTATTCACCAAACGGGCAACCCATTTTCCATGTCTTCTCGCTGCATCAACAATCTTGTCAATAGCAGCAACAAATTCCGGCTCATCCCCGCGGGCCGGCACATATCCAAGAAGCGACTGCGCAAGGTCATTGGGCCCTATAAACAGGACATCGACACCAGGCATAGCAGCGATTGCATCAACGTTTTCCACACCGGCATGTGTCTCGATTTGGATCATAGTCAACAAAGTCTCGTTTGCAGAAACCATATACTCAGGCGTCGTGAGTCCATGCCCAATAGCCGGAAACGCAGACCCTTGCCCTCTCACACCTTGCGGCGGAAATTTCGAAGATTGGATAATCTGTCTCGCTTCTTCCGCATTATTGATCTGCGGCACCATAATACCATGTGCACCGGTATCAAGGGCACGTTTGATAATATCGTGCGCCGGACCGCGGATTCGAATGATGGGTGATACTCCAAGGGCGGATATAGCGGCGACGGAGTTGTGCATGGAGTCGTCGCCGATGTGGCCGTGTTCGCAGTCGATGATGACTCCATCCAGGCCTGTAAGGGATACTATTTGGGCCATTCGGACGGAGGGGATGGCCATAAATGTCATGAGTGGAAATTCACCATTTTTGAGCTTGTTGAGTATTCTTAGACGAGGGTTTGAGATTGTAGTTGTGTGCGCGGTGGGATATTCGGTGGTTTTCTGGGTCGCCATTTTGTTTATCACTTGTTATATTATTGCAATTGATGGTGAAGAATTAGAAGTAGGACGTATGTCAATGAGTTCAAGATGTGGTTTGATATTAGCTTTTCAAATTGGATATTCAATTCACATAGAAGACCTTTAAGAACATCTATCATTACCTAGGTATTCTTCAAGAAATTTGAAAATCTATTCTGTGAGCTCTCTAGCACCTCAGTAGCTGTCTCTATCGTGGAGGAGCGCCATGAAGATCAAGAATCAATACTGTATATTATGATAGCCATTTTTCGGATTGAGGAGGAGCTCCAACAAGCTTCGAACAATGAATTGAGTTTCTATCACTCTATCAAATTCTGTACCAAGTGCAAAACTGTACAAAAGTATGTAGATATCAAATAAGTTTTAATCGATTCAAGATCCAAGAGCTCCTCCCAACGACTGGATGCTTATGTCAGATCTCCTATCTCTGTTCTACTCTCTTTTACCCCACATTTATAACAAACTCAATTTCTTATGGCTAATCCCCTTGGTAGTCCACTCATTCGTCCAGGCTGGTATCCCGGACCCAGAGAGATAGCTTATCTCAATACCCGATAAGTGATTGGTGGGCATCCCCACATCCGAAGTGATCCTATTCATATGACTAACATACATCCTGGCTGCATACTTGCTGATAGTGACCAGGTTAGGTACACATACTCGGCTGACTTTACTCAAGGAGTAGTACAGTATGCTTTTGCACTGATAACGACTCTTAGACCCGGATGTGAACTTTAGCCTGTCCGGGCTGTATAAATCTGTGAGATTTGGAAGGGAAGAGGGAAGTGATGTCTGGAGAGAATTATTCTGGTCGTATGTTCCCACAGCATCGCTGTCAGCTTTGATCTATATCATGACTCGCTGAGTGACAAGTCTTCCCTTGAGTATCGATCCAGCTTCCTGCTACCCCTGGCCACTTTGGAAGTCCTGCCACAGGCAACATATCATCTGATCATTGACTCGTCTTCCATCTGCGGGAACCGTCTAAAATATATTGCCACCATCATGGAACCAAAGCTGGACAAAGTCTACAGTCCAGGTCAGGAAGATGACAATATCTCCTCCGCCGAAGGCAAACTCGAAGCCCTATCCGACTTGGGAATCCGAAGGCGCCTAATGCCCGAGAGCCTCCAAGATCTTCCTTCAGACGAATTGGAAGCTCTCAACAAAAACCTTGTTCGAAAACTTGACTTTTTCATCCTGCCCGTGATTGGCATCTTGTATATCTTGAACTATATTGATCGTCAAAACCTGTCCGCGGCAAAATTGCAGGGAATCACGGAAGATCTAAACATGACTACTCAACAGTTCGCGACCGCTGTGTCCATCCTGTTTGTCGGCTATCTCCCATTCCAAATTCCGAGTAACCTGATCATAACCAAAATCTCTCGACCGGGACTGTACATCTGTTTCGCAGTCTCCATTTGGGGTGCAATCTCTGCTGCCACCGCAGCAGTCAAGACATATGGACAGCTTCTCGCCGTGCGAGCCATACTCGGCATAGCGGAGGCGGTCTTCTTCCCCGGCGCAATTTATTATTTATCTGCATGGTACACAAAGGGCGAATTGGGTAAACGTATTGCAGGGCTGTACATTGCTCAGCAAGTTGGAAACGCATTTGGCGGCCTGTTCGCTGCTGGCATAATGCAATTGGATGGCACGCATGGGATTCGTGGTTGGCAATGGCTTTTCATCATTGAGGGCAGTGCCACCGTCGGAATTGGAGTCATCTGTGCCTGTATCATGCCCGAATTTCCACACAACAGTCGCATGCTGTCCCCGATACAGCGAGACCTGGCCGTATGGCGCATCGAGTCCGAAGCCGGAACCGCCGAAGCCGGAGAATGGAAAAACACATTCTCGATTGTCTTCCAAGCGTTATCAGACCCAAAACTTTTGCTGATGATATTTTGCAACATGCTTTCCCAAGCCCAGGGCTCAATCGCAAACTATTTTCCGACACTCATCCATTCACTCAATTACTCGAGCACAGTCAGTCTGCTCCTTACTGCTCCACCATACATCCTCGCCGGAATCGTGTATTATGGGATTATGTTTTGGTCTGATCGACGAAATACATGCTATAATCTGATCGTCAGCTGCATCTCAATCGCAATCGCCATGTACATAATTCCCATGGCAACCACGAACGTGGGCGCGCGATATTTCTCCATGATGATCCTCCCCTTTGCTTCTGTCGGTCCCCAATTACTTCTCTACAAAACAATTAACGTCCACTTGGCACGACCCATCTCCAAAAGAGCAGTGGCGTCTGCTCTCGTTAATGCCATTGGCGGAACGTCAAATATATGGGCTTCGTACCTGTATTACCGAGCACCCCATTTCTATGCTGCGTTCGGTACGTTGATGGGTTGTGCGTTCTTGTTTGCGGCTACGATTACGTTTTATAGGTGGTTGGTTTTGAGGGAGAATAGGCGACTTGATTCGGGAGACCAGGATCAGATTGCTAAAGTTATGAAGGGGGGCGTGACGGAGGAGATGGTTCAGCTTAATTGGCGATATGAGATGTATTGATCTCTATCTGTACATCTAGTTATAATGAACATTGAAGTTGTTAGTCGCTGTAGGTAGTCGAGGATGAATGATCATAGTATTCCATATTGCGCCAATGGGTAGAAATAAGAGCTGACAAAAAGTGAAAAAATACAAAGAATGAAATGTAGTAAAAAGAGAAAATAAATACTTTATAAGAATTTGTTTTGAACTCTTGTACTCGTACGCGCCCGCGCTCAACAACCACAACAACAACCAATCAAAACCTTCACAAAAATGGAAGATCTTGCCTGTGCTGCAGAGCTTATGGACCAATATATACCCTCAAGGCCTCGCGAGGGCCAGGATAACCCAATGGCAAGAGGATATATTGAGGACATGAGGAACTTCACGACCTCATAAAAAGCTAGTACGGAGATCCTTGTGGATCTCAAGCGGCTGCTTCAGGATGTTCAAAAGGACACTGCGGTAATCCATACATAATCAGAATAACCATCAAGCGCATCAATTGGGCTATCATCCATGTCCCCATAGAAAACGTGGAACACCTAGAATTGGCAAGCCAGCCTTCAATGCGTAGCTGTACCAACATCTCAAAGCGCCGGCTCCTCTATACTAGGTGTCAGCTATACGGAGTTGAGCATGGACTGCGAAATTACCATGAAAATCCGCGATGAGGCCCTCCGCAAGGAGATACATAAAATGCAGCCTGCGGATATTGTGAAGCGTGCCGAACGAGCTAGGGCCCAAGCAGCGAAGGGCACTCTAAGCCTACCTCTAGCCGGTCATGTCTTTATTGCTACATGCTAAGGAAAATGGGGAAATGGAGACCAGTGGTGAAGGAGTCACTAGGCCCAAGTTGAGCCAGATCGGCCTAAAAATCCTAAGTGGGCGCAGCTGGTCTACGTTATCAACCCTCGACCTCACCACTTAGTTAGAGACATGACATCTTCTAGAGCCTCATCATCTAATTATACAGCACCACAAGCCCAATCCCGGCGTTACGTATTTTTTTCCGGGACCTACGCTACTTGACCGCGGCCCGTGATGTGATGAAGCAGCTGTATGAACCTCCCGGGAATGTCAAAACGACGGTCGATGAGTGTGTAGCCGCTTGTTCAGATCGATCAGCTAATAATGCCCAAGACCGTCAGAAGACTCGCCACGGTCTGTGGGAGCTCTGACGATTCAGTATGCAGTACGGATTGGAGATGACGCCTCACCGCCGTCTAAAACCGCGGGGAAAACAGTCATAGCGGCAAAAGGCAGTCAAGGAATCTCCTCCCCGGACAGTCTGCCTGCATCGTGCGTCTTATGGTCCCATTTTTCATGGCTTGCGCGCCAGGCTGGGATCGATTCGGCTCAGATCTCGGCCCACAAACCTCGACTCGGAGAGTTGCCTAGTCTTCGAATGCCGGCCGTTGGTTGAAGCTGGTGGGTGTAGTGATGGTTGATGGGCATCCTGGAGGGTGGAATCTGCCTGTTGATAATCGTCGCTATCTTGCGGTGAGACCGGCGACGGCAGGACATAAAGAATCTGTGGACGAGTTTTGGTCGGTTATTGGTGATGGTCGATCTACATACGGTCCGTCGGGGTAACTGCAACCTTCAGTATTACTCTTACACCCCAAAATTCTCAAAACTTACAGATAGAACAGCGTCCATGTCATATTAAAGAATAGTGATGGCCTTATTGCGCTGTATATGAAAGATTTTATTGTAATATCGAGATATGGTCTGCACGTAAATTCATGGCCCAGTATGAGGATAATATTTATAGCGGCCTTAACAATGGGCCCTTTTTAAATGGTGGAATAACCCTGAATTCCAGCGTTGACGGAATATGGTCCTGATTCCAATAAGTCGTAGCATGCCGTAACCAATGTGCATATGTGTTAGGGACGTTATCTGAGCCAGGGTTATCCCTCCACAAGGAACCGAGCGTTACTTTGAATACCCTCAATATCAATCCATGTGCTAGCTTGAAACCAAAGCTTCTCCGTAAGCAGCTCACCACGATCTCTCTAGCTTGTCTCTGTTCCGGGCTCTCTAGCTCACCGTGTCTCGGAAGCGGTAGAGACATCAAATCGAATGCCTTTTGACCATCCCACTTTGTAAATTCGTTAATGAGTTGGCATCCCTCCATGAATTCAATGCCGTAAATATGGTCCGCCACGTACTGCGGTCCATTCCATCCATCCTCTTCGTCGACAAGTCCCATGACCATAGTCAGAACTTGTCCTTGAATGATATAATCTGTCAACAAGCGGCTCACATCTTCCTTGCCTAAAACTTTATCGTCTTCTTGAATGGTGAAATCTCCACCCATCAGCGGTACTCCTTTCAACAGAGGACTACAGTGCATTCCATCCGTGCTCGTCTTCCCGCCATCGACGGCCCATAGCTCAAGAAAAAGGCGATGACATCTTGCGAAAAAGGAGTTGTTACAATTAGATGCAAGGAAGTAGTTTGTCAAGCTACGACCGTCTACTCCGCCGGCATTGTAAGAAAGAACCTCGAAACGTGAGTTGGGGTTACCGACTGTTTCGTTCCAAAGACGGTCTAGATCTCCAATCTGCATCAAGCCCACATCTGCATATACGCCGCCATATTTGAGTAACAACGGCCATCGCACTAGATCAGAGGTATGCTGAGGTGCATAATCTCCGCCAATCGTACCGTCCACAAAGGCGCGAGGGAAAGTACCTGGATCAGCGATATCCAGAAAATTAGCAACATTAAGCGGCGAAGAAGGCTGGCGATCTAACACGCGTATTACCCAGCCATGTTTTGTGAGGCGTCTGTGCCAGGCGCGTACATTGCGTTGTGTGTATGGATGCATATTTTTGTAACCAGTGTGCCAGAAGAACCATATATTCTTCACATCTGTGACAGGTTTGGGGTTGAGAAGATCTTGATCAACTTCTTCATCGGGACGCAGGTCAAGCAAATCATCCGGTATTTTGTGTAATCCGCCAGGTATAGGATATGATGGGTGTTCCATGTTGAGTGGGTAATGGCAGTTCGTCGCAGTATTGAGGGGTGGTGCAAGCGGCATTCACGCAATTATTCTTTGAGGATTCGAATGGAGATCAAGTGCAGAGATAGAGCGTACAAATGCAACACGCCAGTGCTTTTAACGAAGCTGTTCAGGGTCGAAGGCCTGCGATGCTTTTATATTCACCCTTTCCAAGATGCCAAGAATGTATGCCTCCTTCCCGATTTGGAAGTGTGTCTGTAATTCCTCATTTGTTAACTCTCATTGGCTGACACTCCGGTGATGAAGTATGAGTCATCATGACAACCGGTGATTCGTTCATAACGCTCTAATCTAGTCCAAATATAGTTAGGGCTTTATTTTTCAGCGAATCAAGTTTGGAGGTAGACAAAGATCGTTGATTGGCTGATCTATGAACCCTAACCCACGAGTAAAATGCACAGTATATAAATGATGACTTCTAGGTGTATGCTCTTTTGATTATTATTACATGGTAGAATAGTCAAAGAAGCATTTGAGAAAGCAACTTATTAGGTGCATTGATATTCCCCCATACCAGATAGCTGTGTTCATCGATTGCACAGTCCGTCGACTCGGACAGAAGTTGAGAATTGATTACAGTGCATAAAGAACAATTCTAAGGAGATATGATGACGATCCAGATGATGGCGAGACTGGTCTATCTCTACCTACTACACATTCAGGTGCCATCTACACATATTCAATCATTGGTGCTCCCTACTCTCAGTGAGTCTGTCGCTCCGAACCATATGCTGCAACTAAAGTAACAACTGCTAGTTTACGAATAATTGTTTTTATAGAAGAAAACGAGTCCTCAGGAGCGGGGAGTGCCTTTCCAATCAACCCATCGAACCCCGCTCTATATTCCCTACCTATAGCCCCATATTTTATCGACAGGGAGGCGATAACATCTCCTGATGTTTGGAATTGGCAATTATGCCCAGCATATTTTCAAAATGACAATGCCTCTATCTAAGATTCAGAGGTTTTTCGAACGATTTGGAATCAACCTACTTTCGTGCATAAGCTAATATTTGCCGTGTCTTACCAAGATTGCATCTGCAGATTGGATAAAGAAAACAAGACGACGTTCGAATGTAACATGATCGAATCGGCCGAATGCTTATCTATGTCGAGTTATTGATTGCTGCCTTTGTTCCTCGAGCCACGCAAATGCCAGCTTACGTCTTCTTTGTTTGGGAAGGTCTAGACGAACGTAGGCATTGCAAATCTGGCCAGCTAGGTAAACCCGAACAAAGAGTAAACTGCGCCCTGCATCGGTATATAGCTACATGTCATATAGGTAGGGCTCAGAGGTTTACTATAGTTTTCTAGCTGCATATTTCGAGGCAACCTCAATCGCTAGCGATTGGAACTAGCAGGCTTGGCTTTTCTCCTCAACTAGAATTCGCACCCAGTCAGCCTTGTAATGGTCCGTGCTGACTGGTGGCCGGCCATGCTTTGGTTCAGTTAAGCTTCCCCAGGTTTCTGATGGCGCTCTCCACCCCAAGATTTTGTTGGTTGTGTCATGGTATCCTAGCTGGCACCGATGCGACGTTGATGGAACGTTTCTACATCAATGTAAGCTTCTCGGACAATTTTAAACAGGACTAAGTTCTTTAAGTATAAGAATAGAGCCGTATCCTTGGAGAACCCAGTTCACCCATTTCGGCTTTGTATGTATATTGTGAAATACCTAGGTATTATCCTCCTCTACGCCAATATGCTCCTCAATCCACTTAGCATTCTATCTATCTATGTTGTTGCTACTGCTGTTGCTGCAGCAAGTAGCACTGCATCTCTACCTTCTTTGATAGTACCAGAATGTCCTCACTACGGCGTTGCTACTATCAATCAATCCGATCCGGAGCGTACGCTATTCCCTCTTACAACGGCGTCACTATGCTACAATGAAACATCCCTTCAAATCAAATTTGAGGCATACGACGAAACAAATTACTACTACAACGCCAGCCAGACAACAAACGACGATATCTGGGAATACGAAGTAATGGAAGCATTCATTTACCACGGCACAAATAATCCAACGACCTACCTCGAGTTCGAAATCAATCCCAACAACGTCACTTATCAAGCTATAGTTTTCAATCCATCTGAAGTCCGCGCCACAGGTGCTCCGTTTGATCATTTCTTTGTCACTGATCCGGCTGGTGATGGATTCTCTGCATCGACTACTTTGGACAGGAAGGCGAGGACTTGGACATCGACGGTGCAGATTCCATTGGCGCTATTTGATGTTGGTGTGCTCAAGGGTTCGTTGTGGCGTATGAATTTTTTTCGTACGATCACGTCGCCGAGTACATATCCTGATCAGACGCTCGGGGCATGGAGTCCAACCAACCAGGCTAGCTTTCATATGACTCCGTTCTTTGGTAATGTGATTTTCGTCTAGGCCATATATCAGATGGTCTGGAGATGTGTATTTGATTGCTATGCCACATAGCAAGGGCATATGAATATGTTGGAGACAAGTCCCTCGTATACGGACTGCTTGTTCAACATTGTATTGATACCATAACACAGACTATGCAGAGCTGCAGCGATGGAAGAACGCTAGCAACAACTAGGGAGCATATGTACATGATGATAATCAGCACACCACATGTAAACCTAAAATATCCATTGCAAATGATGCTGGGTCTAATAGATGTGGATTCAGTAGTACTATCTTTGTCATTCCCGGGGAGAAGATCCCAAGTATGAGACATCTGGCCTCTATCTTGACATCACTTAAGAAAGTCGTAGGGGCCTGAAGTGGCTCGCATGCTTTTCCAAGCCAAAGTGATACTATGGCTCTCCACTCTATTATTGTATGAAATCCTGTGAGAGCCAAGGATACATATCAGGTAGAGCTCAAATTGGAGGGAAACCCTCCAGCCATGCTATCAGCTCTCTTATACTGCCTCTGTAAAATCTCAAACAAATCAACCATTTTTCCAGGATACATCCTTTGCCCTTCAAGAACCTCATCAACAAGCAAATTAATATAACCATGTCCTTCATGTAAATGTCTGAGCTCACGCAACCTTTCCACAGCCCAATCACGATGTATCGGATCTTCGGTCTCAATCATAACCATAAAAATCGACCACGGCATGCGCTGTATGAGCTTGGGATCAACCGAATACTGCTTGTACAGCATTTCGAGGATATTCGCAATTGCCTGGCGATGTATGTCATTCAATGTGCGGCTTGTTGGAAAAAAGATTCGTCGGTGGTAGAGGATTTGGGTTTCGAAAGAGCAGACTGCAAAATAGATGGTATATAAAGCACGACGAGCCGAGAGGGAAGTTGCGTATTTGGCAGTGATGAACATGTCACTGTAAAGCTATAAAGGGTAATAAGGTGTCACTGAGATACTTAGACTAGAAGGAGATGGGCTATACTAACCCCACGAAATTTCATTATCTCGGAATATAGCGTCTCTGGAGTCATCGAAAGATCTCTATTATTTCCTGACGCTAGCTGCCATATTTTATTCCAAATAATAACAGAGTGATGAAGGAGTTCTAGCGCCCTATGGTTTTCCATATCGTCTAGTATTTGAGCGTCTGGGTATTCCTCGGCCCAGAGACATCGGCCCCAAATGCGTGCACACTGGTGTAAATAGTCTGGATGTAACGCCGAATGTTCAGATTCAAGCAATGTGTCATATAGCGACCCCATAAGTCCTCTTGAGTGGCCGGAAATCTCCATATAACTATTTTTCATATCAGTAGTCCACCCATGAAATAGATTGGAGAATAATAGAGTTCAAAACATACAGGATCCAAAGAAGAAGCTGTGAGGGAATAAAAGACAACCCCTTATTCAATTTTATACCACTCGTCAATATCATATCCGTCACATCTCTCGTAATGAAGATTTCCGGATGAGCTTTAAGTAGACATCGGACCCCTTCCAGATGAAGTTGAAAATGCTTTATCGAGTGACCAAAATACCACTCATAGGTAATCATCAGAAACATAATGCATAGTATCGTCTCGGATGTGGACTCCAAAACCCTTTCTACCTTTTGCACTTCATTATTGGTTGCGGTTCCGTGTTCTTCGAGATATTGCCGGAATTCTTTTACTGCTAGTTCGTAATGATACTGACCGCGACGTCTGGCTGCGTCTTTCTCTGCCGAGGTTGAGAAGTATCCCTGGCGGTACATATCATTGGCAGCGATGGCAAGCATCATGCGCATTATAATCTTGTTGGTTGCTGCAGGGCCCTTGTAAAGGAATCCGAGACTACTCCACTCCCACGGCTTCATATAGTAGAAAACGACCGAAGATGAAGGGAAAAATCGAAAATAGTTGAGGTCAGCAGCCGTCATGGTGAGTGCATTTGCGCAGGTCATTTCGGAACTGCTCAATTCCATGAGACCAAGGCCGTGATGATGAGGGGGGAATGAGTCTGTTATAGCGATGGCTGTTGTCTCTTCATTCCATAGCCAGGGGGTAGTAACGGCAGTCGTGGTTGTAGTACTACATGATTCCCCTGCCAGAAACCCCTTCGCCGTCCACAATGATGAGGATGATGTTGATTGTCCTCCATGCTTCCGCCATAGATAAGTCAAATGCAAATGACGACCCTTTGCTGCAGTTTGGGTTTGTCGGATCTGAAGACTTCTGTTTCCTCCGTATTTACCAGAAGATCCCCATTCGCAACTTATATTCAATCGCTTACAACGACTGCATATTGGTCGTGCTTCGTCGCATTTTACTTTGCGCTGGCGACATGTCTGGCAACCTATGCGGAGGCCGATTAACCGTCCGTTTTGTATGCATAAATAGTGACGCGACAATGGAGATACCTACCATTTTTCGATCGCGGCGCGTGTCTTCCGGACATTACATATGGGCCCTTTATTGTGAAGAATTTTATACAAAGCGTTTAATGTTGGACCAGGTGAGTGATCAAGGTGTACTGGAGCCTCGGATGGTTGTGGTGGAGATAAACGATAAGTTACGAGGAAAAGGTCAATTATCAAGCAGACCCCCGCCCCACTGGCTAGATTTACTCTTTCCCCAATGATAAGGGCTAATTATAGTCATGACTACTAAGTATTTCATTTAATTCATTTCATTAATGGGTATATCGACTCATGCCGCCCCCGAGCGCCTATCGCTAAACAGAAATCAACTATATACATGATGCAACATTTGAAAACATCAATTATCATTCACACATCATACCAAGAACGGCTCTCTTTAGTCTTCACCTGCACGGGGACAGGAACTCGCTTCGTCGACTGGGGAGTATTTACGTAGTTCAAATGCGCAAATGACCCTGTTCGTTGCTGTTGAAGGATTTGTTTTTCAGCTGTGTCGACCGAGGTCTTTGAATTGGGCTGAGTTGCGTACTTTGCAGCTGGGTTCATGACCGATAGTCCTAATGTTGCCGTCTCTTCTTCTATATCTCGCAGGGATGATTTTCGGCGACCGTCACGGTAGGATTGCGGGTTCATTGAGGAAAAAGTATACTCATCGGGTCCGATTTCGAGGTTTGGGTCCATGCGCCGAAGCCAGTAGTTATGCATGCGATCGAGAGCGGTTTTGAAGTCGTCGAGAATGACGGTGTCGCAGAGACATTTGAATATGAAGGATAACTAGTCATGTCCAATGCCCGTCAGTCAACATGCCCAAGGTCTATCAGATGCGTATGGTGAAATTTACCTTCCAGAAAGGCTCAACCCCTGTTGGTAAAGCGGATGAAAACACATTGGTCACACTCAAGATGTCGAATACGGTAAAGGCCAGCGATAAACACATGGAGAGGAGCATTACCCCGAATCGTGGACTGACTTTAATCAGCTCGAAGAGGCTGAAATCGTACTGTTTTTTGATCACGTAGAATAGGGAGCAGGTGGTAAATAGCCACCAGGGATCACTATACAACATCAGCATTAACAAACACTCTATTCCGAGCTCTAATGAAAGGAGAGACGCATACCGGAATAAAGGCTCCAGCGGCCGAGTCTTGATAAAAATCTTGTTGATGTTGTTAAAGTAGGTAAAGTTCGCATATATCTCTAAAACCCAGTATGGCTGCACCAGAATGACGGTGGTAATGTAGAACGCTGAAACGCGACAAGACAGAAATGGACGGTTTTTCATCCAAGCAATCACGTTGTGCAGACTCCATGAGACGTTCAAACCAATTGCCGTCACAGATAGATACCATCCATAAGCGGGCTCATGGGTAAAAATCCAAGTTCCGTGGAACATGGCTAGAAAGAGCTGTTTTAATTAGTTCTTCTGCATTCTACCACCAGTCTTTTGTTAATGAGCTTACCTCGGCAAGAATAAGCTTGTGTAAAAGCACCCGCCGTCGCATGTTGGCAATAGTAATGGCAAACATCACCAGCAATGCTCCAACTAGCAGTCCCTGGCCCCATGCCTCGAGAACGAGAGCATCAGGCTCCGTTGGCCGAGTGACCTTTTCCGAGTCCGGTACTCCCATGTTTGGGTATAAAAGCTATTCGCTATGCATAATGGCGGTAGTCGGATGGTCGGACCAGGAAGTGCGATGTTGAGCGTATAACCGAAAGCAAATCCGAACCGACCGACAGCCTCAATGTCTATTTTGTTTCATCTTCTTGGTTGTTGTGGTGGTTTTCTTTGCTGTGAGATTTGGTCGGGGACTTTGTCGGAACGCACAGTCTATGACTCGAGTATGTTTCGAAGTGGGTGAATTGATTGCACAAATGGCTTCAAAAGCGTCTTTCCGTTGGCTATCTTTCAATGAAAACAAACACGGAGGGAAAAAAGGAGGAAAAGGAAAAATGATCTGCATGTAAATATGCAAGCACGTTCTCTCCCCAACCGGCGGACTGGGTCAATTATTATAATCCGGGGAAAAGCTGGAGGGGATTTGTCTCTCCAAGTTAACGTACGTACATCGTGCACGAGATGAATTAATTCAGTTTTGTCTAAATTAGCAGAAACTCTAACCCCAAATTCGCAGTCCCTGGTCAACAGGAAAAAGAATTGCCGATTTTTGCACCCCGGGGAAACGGAGTTTGCTCCATATCCGGCTCTCTAGAGGAATTATTAATATGTTAGCGAAATCTTGTTCGTCCGCTAGATCCAACAAAATCTCTTGACAAGAGAAATTATGGGATGTGATTCGTCGTTTATCCACTGCCGAGGTCAATGCACGAAGTTCAAGGAAAAGTCACGACTCAGGACTCAAAATGGTCCAACGCAATCATAGACTATTAGAATTGGCAGCATCCTTTAAATGATTTTCCCGGAGGCAGTTGAATTCGTGGCTCATGGCAATTCCGGACGTTGCTTGAAGCGGAAGAATTCGCCTTCTGATGATAAAATAATGGGAGATGTACTAGTATGCTTCCCAGTTCCCACCTCAGTATGAAGTGGCGATTCGGAGGCGACAACGAACATTATTCATGAACTTCCATGCTATCGAGCAAGGTACGAATATATCAGCCGGACGAGCGCCAACTCGTGGCCCCTTCGGCGTCAATGAGCCAATCCATCATACGATTTTCCGAGTCGTGAAAGGTCAATGCGGGGTACGAGGACATACTAAAACGAGAGCAGTTTAGCTGCTGTGCCTAGCTTTTTAATTTTCCGTCGTGTCTCCTTTCGATGCGTCTGTGGTCGGGTGCTTTACCCGATCGTTAGGAGAAGTTCTGAAAGTTGCTTTCGTCGCCACACCGCAGGTCTCGACAATATCGTCTCTCCCCGAAGTTTCTCGTCAGTCTACAGTCTACAGGGGAAGCATGAGATGAAATCAATTTCCGGAAAGCATTGGCAAGATGTCAATGATTTATGATATGAGCAGACTCTACGGAACTTCCGACCGATGTGAGGGTTAGGGTTAATTGGATAGTCTTCGTCGTCTTGGCTTCAAGTAGAATGTCTTATGGTATCGTGAAAATTACCACATTCTGCTACATTCATATCTAAAGTCCCACCCCCGCGTGGTCTAGGCTTCTTATATGTGTGCAGTATCAGTTCATATGAGCATGTTGCGAGGGACCCGGCTTCGCCAAGATTCGTATTCTTGATTTGAAACTTATGTAAGATCTTGTGCTCTGATCAATCATCATTTGATTCACGTGAATGGACAAGCCCGTTCGGCCAATTCTGTTTCAGTTTCTCTTTGACTCAGTTTGTCCGATTCTCCGCGCTTCTTTTGAGGTAAACGCGGACGGTAACCGCTCCAGCTATCTCGGTATGGTTAAATACGGCAAAATTGCCTTGAATAAACAATACGAAGCTCAGTGCATTTTGTATAGTAATATTCACATTTAAGCAGCCGTTTGCAGTATACAATAGACGCCACCTCTAATTATCGCTCTCGATCTCATGTTTCCATTGTTCCCTTGCCTGCTTCAAAAGACCCACATCGGCGACTATATCCCATCCGGTCAATGCCAACCCCTTTCCAACAATCAGAGCTTCCTCATGAGCAGCGTCAGTGCCCGCTGCAGCTGCAAATGATGGATGGTGTGGGGATGAGCCTTCAGGTGCCCGGATCGTGAATGCGCTATGAAGAGTCGGAACGACATAGCTCACATTGCCTGCATTTCTGTTAGGCTTTGGTGCTTTCTTAACCAGGGCGTAAAGGAGGGAGGAGACGAACCGATATCTGATGAAGCAGTCATGACCTTGTCGAGCTTTTTCATGATGGTACGATCATAGAGGCCCATGTTCTTCTGGTAGTGTTGACATAGCGTATCGTTTAGTTTGATGTCCTTGTATAAGCTGTCTCTATTTCCACAAGGTTTGTTAACGCTTTTCTATCATTCAATAGGGGGAGACATACTCCTTCAACTTAACTTGACATCCCGTCGCTAACGCGGCTGCTTCGATACAGTTCCTCACACGGGCAGCAAGACTGTTCAAACCCTTCAAGGTAGGACTGCGTACCTGCCAATATCCCTTTGTAAAGGATGGAATCACATTGGCCACCTTAGGAGTGTCAAGAAACGCGCAATGAATACGTTCTTCGGGTAAGATCTGTTGTCGCAGTACGGCCACGTTGTTGTAGGCGGCTACTAGTGCATCGAGGGCATTGATACCATCCCATGGATTACCGCCAGCGTGCGCATTTTTGCCTGTGAACTCTACATGGATCTGTTTCCGGGCATTGAAGAGGGTGCCTGCAATACCGTCACCCATTAATGATGGTCCCCCGTGGCTGTCATTGTGTTCAATTAGTGGAGAATCATACTACTCTTGCGTCGGTTGAGCAAACGTACCCCATCAACGAAATGTCAACCCCCTTATACGCCCCATTCTCAATTAGCACCGCTTTCCCACCACCATTCTCCTCTGCCGGTGTTCCGAGTAGTTGTGTCCGTCCCGGAACGCCAAACTTCTTCAGTGCAGCTGACAATGCCAGAAATGCGGTAATACTACTAGTCGCAATGAGATTGTGACCACATGCATGACCAATATCTGGCAAAGCATCATATTCTGCGTTGAAATTGATTAGTGGCCCTGCTTCGGAGCCGTCACCGCTGCTGCTACGGGCTTCAAATGCAGTCTCCAAACCAAATGCGTGACGGGTTACTTGAAACCCCTGAGATTCGAGGAAGTTGCATATTGTGTCGTGGGCATGATGCTCTTTGTATGCGAGCTCGGGATTGGACCAGATCTGGAGACCTGCCATTAATATGGTGTTAGATACCAGTGCCCTTGGAAGAAAACTTACCTGTCTATTCAGTTCGCGCAATTGGATTTGTGATTTTTCAATCGCGGCGTCGATCACATCCTTCACTTGACTAATGTCAATCTTGGTGGTGGTTGCAGAAGGCATTTTGAGCAAAGCGGTCAGGAAAAAGATCCAATATTGAACTGAAGGTCTTAGGAATTCTCTATTGAAAATTCTTAACATCAACCCTAAGCCCTCTTATATAGTTAGGGCTTTCCGGAGAAGCCGAAGCATGTCCGATTCTTATCTTCCCCACAAAAATCAGAGCCGCTAATTGCCGACGTGCATAAGAACAGCCGACGCACCAATTGTTTGCGTTGGATTGCCGATTTACTGGAGACGAAGTGGGGTGGCAGATAAAGTCGTGAGCTAATCATATAGATCCTGCACGCTCATTGGCTCGAGTTTATTTTCAATAGACGACGTTTATAAAGATAATGATAGTCAAAATAGCCAAGTGATAATGATTCTGATAATGTTGCTGTTCGAGCGTGTGAGGAGTATTCTGAGTGATCTATTTAATTCATGAGGTCGTCCGTGACTCGATCGGCTGGGAGTCTATCAATCTACTTCTATATTTACGAATAATACCTTACCTAGGTGCAGAGTACCCGTGACTATATCAAATTGTCAATTCAAGTCAATGATGAAGAAGACACACGTTGAACCGTCTACTACGGCGGAGATATCCAATCTTAAAGATATGGTTGCTAGCGACATGGCAGACGGAAAGAAGGACATTGATCTAGGTCAGATCCTGGAGGTTCAAACTTCACCGCAATTGGAGCGGAGGGTTTTATTGAAGATTGATTACATGTCAGTCCAACTTGGCTCCCTGTATACTCGTGTCGCTAACAGGTTTGATACGTGAAGTATGATGCCTCTCATGGGATTTTGTTATATGTTACAGTATATGGACAAGCTCGCATTGAGTCAAGCTACTCTGTTCAACGTTCGGAAAGACTTGGTACGATATCCCATTCCTCTTCGTGTTGTTGACTGGACAGGCTAATACCTAGGTACTTTTCTTTTCCACATAGCACCTTCACGGTATGGAATATTCTTGGACATCAGCCATTTTCTACTTCGGCTACCTCGTCTGGAGCTGGCCAACGTCTTACCTCATTGTCCGATTGCCATTGGGGAGATACCTGGCCTGCTCAGTGTACGTTTGTTCCATGATTTGAAATACTGCTTCTGTGTTAATCAGCCATTTCAGGTTCGTATGGGGCGGCGTACTCATGTGTCATGCAGCATGCAAGAATTTCGGCGGCTTGATGGCTGCCAGATTCTTCCTCGGAGTCGGCGAAGCTGCCATAGCTCCAGGGTTTGCGTTGCTTACCGGAATGTTTTATAAAAGGGAGGAACAGCCACTACGGTAGACGAACATTTCTTTATTCAGGCAGAGTCTGGGCATGTATCTAACAGAAATAAAGGCAAGCAGCTTGGTTTATCGGAAACTGTATCGCAAACTCGATCGGGGGTCTTGTCGCCTACGGTATTGGCCACATCCATTCGTCCAGTCTGGTCTCCTGGCAATTCATCTTTTTGATTCTTGGAGCTGTAACTTCAGGATACGCGATTATTCTTTATCTGCTGTTACCTGATTCCCCCGCCAATGCTATATTTCTGAAGAAGCATGAACGTGCTATCGCGATTCAACGGACATTGGAGAACAAGACTGGAATATTGGACGTGGGAAAGTTCAAGATGAACCAAGTATTGTTTGCTCTAAAGGACCCCCAGGCATGGCTACTAGTGTCTTACACCTTCTGTGTGAATTTGTCTAATGGAGGAATTACAACTGTGAGTTCCAAACCTCCCATACAGTACCTAGGTAAAACCTGGCTATAACGAAAGGAAGGCCTCTCCATATCTATGCTGATCTCAGCTTTGATTACTTTGATATGGACTTGAAGAGCATCACAATCATTAAAAATAACATGGATTATGATTTCGGGGTGCTCTTCATCTCTTCATCTCAAGTATATGACTTGCATCCTGAGAGGCCTCCTGTTCGTTATAACAAGGTTCTACTGTAGTAAGCCTTATACTGATAGTCACAGTTTTCCGCCATCATTGCCCAAGGATTCGGCTTCTCCACCTTCAAAGTGCTTTTGATATCCATGCCCTCCGGTGCCGCACAACTTATCTTCCTCCTCCTAACCTCTACCATTGCAACTTTTGTACGCTCCACACGGATTATTATGATGATCGCAAACTGCCTTGTTGCTCTAATCGGATTTCTGCTTGTTTACCGTCTCGACCCAGACGCTCGAGTAGCCAAAATGACTGGACTTTGTCTCGGTGCAGTCTTTGCAGCTAATATCCCCCTATCCCTCAGTCTGATCACTTCAAATGTCGCCGGTATGACGAAGAAAAGTACTGTTAGTGCGATGTTGTTCATTGCATACTGTGTGGGAAATATTGTTGGACCGCAGTTTTATTTGGCGTCTGAGGAGCCTACTTATGATGTTTGTTCACCTCCCTTCCTCCGTTCCATATCGGGACAGGTAGGCAAATGTACTAATAATACAGACTGGCATGCGATCTGCTATTGCTGGTATATGCCTCGGCATCCTTTCCCTCGTAGGACTGTACGTCTACTACTCCTGGGAAAATCGTCGGAGGGACAGAGTGTACGGATCGCCGGAGACATTGACGGAGCATTTGCAATCGGAATTACTCAATGTGACTGTGACTGATCAGGAGAATGAAAGTTTCAGATATGTCTTGTAAACTGAAGTATGGTCTATTCGTGCCAACATTAAGGTTAGCTTAGTGATTGTAAGAGATAGGTAGCCTTGAGACTCTACATGACAATATTTCGTTGTCCAGGTGTGTAACTAACAGATCAATAAATAGTTAGTTAGTTAACATAACTTAACTTAACGTAATCGGTAAGCGAAGTGGCATTTTTTTCCCGAACGCGTACACAATCTTGATTCTATATTATTTAAACGTCAATATGCCAGCAATTCGCAATAAAAACAAAAGACTTAGCTGAGCAAGAGATTATTAGCTATTTCCGATTTACAAAATGAAAGAATCTTGCGCGTGGCTCAGGTTGCAAGGATTTATAAGATACCCCGGAGTCGGCTCTGCTAATAACCAGCATCATCCCCAAAAAGAAATGTCCTTAGTATTGACTTCATTAAAATCCGGATCACTTCATATTCAAGTTACAACAGTCCTATGGAATCAAACACTTTGAGACATATAAACAATCATGTGCCACTATGCAGAGTATCCTGTCATTTATAAAGGATGTACGGCAAATCCTAAACATGTATGCTCGAAGAAACGAGACTATGCTTGCGACGATGCGAAAAAAAAAACCAGACCAAGAATTGTGTCCAAACCCTGAAAAAGTGCCTTGGCAATTGAGCAGTTTTACAATTCCTAGAAGTTGTTATAAATGCGGTAAGATCTTACGAAAACAAATATCGTCCTCACCTGTCCCATTATGACGCCGAAACCGAAGAACAAAAGAAAAAAGAAAGTCTTCTGAAAGTCATATGTCAAATTGTCAATGGTATTTACATATTGTAAAGAAATCGGTGAATGGATCGTATAGACTCAGAGGATCAATATCGTCCAGTAATAGTGATCAATGATCGGCTGTCTGTAAGTAATGATAAGAAGATGATTCAATGCGTTGAATCTCTGTGTATTTTTGTCCTATTCCATCATCTTGTTACATATGACTCGGGGGTGAGACTATAATTAGCATCGGAATCACTAGTCGTCACGTGACCTTATGATCATATTCTCTTGAGGATGATATTGACGATCCTGCCTAGACTCTAGAGAGAGGCCAGGGGGCCTCGAATCTATCTAATATGTGGCCTGGCCTAAGCGAGGCCACATGACAAGACGAGACTGACCAATGACGGCTCAACATATCTTTTGCACATCCACTTGGATGGCCTGACATCTTTGCTCAGCACAAGTCAGCGATCTCTTTAGATTCATGGCCGTTAAATATGTTTGACTATGCCGCCAAAAAGTCGGGATGAAATCAACATTGCTGTTGGTTTATATGTGCAATCGAGATTCCTGGCACCGACGCGAACCAAGGAGAGGTCACGTGAAGGTACACGTGACCTCGTCAAGCTGTTGGATATTTGATACGCTAATCCCAATCAGGATGTCATTACTAATCATGATTCCTCGGAATAACGACATATCCGTGAGAACATGAGAGCCAAACTCAAGCCTACATTTTGGAGTCAGGATGGTCATTTATCCCGTAAATCCGTGATACTTTGCCACTATGATGTGTATATAAAGAGGATCAAGATGTGTAGTTAGCTATGTTTTAGAAGACGTGCAAATCAGAGTCAATTATTCCTCACCCAAATTGTACAACTCCTATCAGAGCCTAACCCCGTTCGGACTAGTACCAAAAGATTCCAATACAAGCAAGGACTTTATAGACCGCGTCGGGGCCTCATTAAGAGAAGAGAACTTAGACAATTGAATACATTTTGACCATAGTACTTGGAGTACCACCTGAAGCGCGTGTACGGACGTACGTACATTGTTTGATTGGCTTTATAAGCCAACCCACAATTGCTATTATTTGCGCGCTCCCGCTAGAAGTTGATGTCGTGGACGCACATTTTGATGAATGCTACGATAATTTGGAAGAAACGGAAGAGGATGAACTGCCGAACTGCAATATTTCCACGATAGGGAGAATTGAACGTCATTTCGTAGCTTTGGTGCAACTGCCAGGGATTGGCAAGAGCAGCGCAGCCGGCGTCACTTCAACCCTGCTGTTGAACTTCACTGGTATTCGGCTTGTTCTCGTAGTCGGAATCTGCGGAGGAGTTCCTTTCCCATCTAAAAGAACTGAGTTATCGTGATCGGTGACAGTGTAGTCGAGTATGATTTCGGCAGACGAGATCCGGCTGGCTTCGAGAGAAAGGGTGGTGAGAAATGCAACAATGACAGGAACCTGAAAAGTTTCATTACCAACTTGAAGACCAAAAAACTTCGGAATAGGCTACAAGAAGACATTTCTTCCCATTTGAGCTACCTACATGGTATGGAAAGCGACTGGGCGTATCCAGGTAATACGCAAGATATACTCTTCAAGGCATCCTATAAACACAGTCATCGCATATCAGGGAAAGACACCTTGTCTCCTTGTGTTCTGTGTAATTCAGATAAGCAATTATCAGTCTGTCTAGATGACTCAGTTGCAGATTGCGAGCAACTAGGATGTGATGGCGAGTTGGTCCAGCGGGACAGATTGAAAGAGAGAGGAACCGCGCCATTTATCCATTTTGGCAAGATTGCCTCTGCCGATACTGTAATGAAGTCTGGGAATGACCGTGACAAACTAGCACATGATGAGGGTATAATTGGCTCTGAATGCATTTCTCTATTCCTATCATTGCCACTGATTAGACGACCTGGTGTATTCCGTTCTTTCATGAGCAAGCGTACCTTTCACAAAGTTAATGATTGGTTACCATCTTATTTAAGCCGAGCCCCGTCTCAACATCATCCCGTATTCTCACTGATATGGACCATTAATAAGTGGAATGAGCAGGAGCACGACAGCGACATTTGGTCACAAAGAGCAACAACCATAATTCGCGTGCTCAAAGCTTCGCAAGAGAAGTTGAATCCTCCGCCTCTGATAATGCTGATCTTGGTTCAAGTACTCGTCAATTTCTTCCGCTTTAAGTCATCATGCGGTAGACAAACGATTGCGGAAATAAGCTCTTCTGATACCCTCGAGATAGAATCATCGCTGGTGAATATTACCCTGAGCGGTGTCGATGAAGAGACACGCGAATGTACAGTCCAGCCGATCCATAGCTTCCGGTATATTCTCGACTTCGAAACAAATGATCCTGTATTTAAAGATGCAGTCATTCTATATGCCGAGATGAGATGTGTGTCTTACCTGTCGATTACCGAGTTTTGGGAACAAGCACACGGCCCTTTGATCAATGATCCGCAATCAATGAGCTTAACGCACCTCAGTCAAAAGGACAGATCGCTTTTGATTTCAGTGTCCTGCATGTTACAATGGGAGAAACCTACGCTCAGAAATTTTGAGGATGTACGGCGAGTCTATGAATTTGGTATATCTCAAGCGATCAACCATGCAACCCTGATACCCAAAGGTCTCCGACTGCAGGCAAAACAGGTTTGGGTTCCGATAAGGAGCTATATCAGCAACAGCTGGGGTAGAAACGGTTCTGAGTTCATGGCGAGTGCACCCAAGAGTACCGAAATGGATGATATTATATCTCCTTACTTAGAGAGAACGGTCCTTGGCGTCATTGAATCCTTTTCTGATCCTCAAAGTTACTGAGTTTCAGCAGCGGGGCCTAAGGATGAGCCACATGAAATGAAACTCGAAGATAGGCGATATGCAATTACACTCTTCAAACTGTGGAAGACCTGTCTGGCAGAACTGCATTCTATAAAAGTTCTGATATATAATAGCCAATCAGCTCGATCTGGGTTAATGCTAGTATCATTAAACCTGAATGAATGGGATACCGTACTTCGTGTGGTTGATGGTATATTTCAACTTGATACGCTTGACTCAAATTACGGTAAAGGTGGCCTGGCAAGCGCAAAAAGACTCTGGGAACCGAGAACTACGGATATTGGAGAAGTATCATCGGCCTGGGCCGATTTAAATGGGTCGGGGATTCCTGGATAAGTAGCATCGTTATTCGTGCTCAGGAATTGTCAATCGTAGCGTAGTTGATAGATATCTTCTTTCGTTAAACTAGAAAGGATAGGGAAATACCTATCAGCATGACACTAGTACAGTGGCAGGATCCGAGCCATTCGCTGTCTATATACTGGGACAGTACCCTGCCATAAACGCGAATGAAACTTTACTTTCACCGTTCGCCGATGAAGCTCTAGAAGCCATGGCTATCGCCCTTCACAAAAGTGGTAGGATGGAATCATCCAGCTACCATGAGACAATGACTAGATTGGAGTACATCATGCTACACCCATCGGTACTCGTTAAGTGTTTGGGTAGACTCGCCCTGCTAGTATGTCTGTCTTACTTCCCTCGCCCTACTTCATCCATGGACATTAAAGGCAATACAGCGATTCCGGATGAAAGGTGAGTACACACTTTGATGTAAAGGGTCAGGGACTGGAAATGATAGTACTTGGTTTGCTGACTCATCACTGATTTGTGGACAGAAACGTTGTCCTAGATGACCTCTATCTTCTTGATGGCTGCGTGGAGGGTGTGACTCGTGCTAAAGACATTAGTTGAAGGTTTAAGGTTCAAGGAACACGGCTGAGCTCACCCCATGACACTTCAGCATCGGAGAGCAGCTCTGATGATTCATCTGACCAAGATGTGGATGCTGTAGTATAACCCCTTACAACCTTTTTCAGACTATATTCCGTATGTCCTGCCCTAAGTGCTAGGCAGCATGTCCCGAACCATGGCACATATAATCGCCCCAATGTGGCATTTAATGTCATAATAAAGTAAATCTCTGTTAGAGGTTCTAGCTTTAGTACGAGCCTCGAAGCCACTGAACTTACATTTAAAGTGACTATTATTGAATCAATTAATCATGAAAGTCAGGTCTTGGATGTTTCGATTTTTGTTTCACTTCCCCAAGCACCAGCAAGTGCAAAACTAATGAGACAGTCTCATTTCTCTAGCTAACCTAGATTACTCCTCAAAAAACTTAGTCTGTAGTTGGTAAATACAAAGCTATAAACAACATCTCAGGCACAAGGTAGTCAATATCCGCTAATAACACCATACTGGCGCTATAACCATTCAGTTCTTGATATATAGATGTACATAAACAATATATACGTCCTCTTCCAAGGTTCGCCAACTCTGAATCCCACAGAGTAATCTTCGCTGTATCGCCTTTGATGAACGCTAAATTAGAGTTATCACCAGAAATTATCCATGTATATTTACGTCTCCACTGGGAAAAACCAGACGCTGCATTACAGATATTGTAGCTTGTCATCGCATATTGAAAATCATTTGTTTGCGGGCAGCTTTATCTGCATCCTACGCCCGTCTCGCCTTGATGCAGCACGAGGTTTGTAACATTTGATGGATCCTGTCGGATTGGTAGGTTTATTCCAGGCCAATCCTGAATAGTGGTTTACTGGGATGAGAAAAGAAGAAGTGACTAGCAAGATTGTGTGTATTGAGTTCTTCGTCTCTCTCTGTTCGAATACATCAGGTTTCAATGCCAGGTCTTTATAGACACTTTTGGCGGGGTGATTTGTGAGCTATCATGAGGGGCATTGAGCCCTGATAAGAAGATGGCTTCTTACTTGCTGAAATGTAGGTAGCCCTGAGGTGACTGGTTGACCTGATCGAGTAGACTATCTTCTGCCTCGCCGGATATCCAGGTCATCTAACAGATCTGAGGTCTCACAACTGCACAGGTAGACAAAGATCGATCGCAAACATGTTACATTCGTGTTCGATGCTACGTTTGCCTAGGTATTGCGGGGTTGTATAGATTCATCAGATGACCGTTGATAGTAGAAACTCTGGAGGTATATGACCTTGGAAGTGTCCTCACCCCATTCAATCCAATGGGGCTCATATGTATGTGGATTACCCAAGACACTTCTGCACCAAGACACCTTTCCAGTTGCATGGTGCTTGCAAGTTGACATTTATCGATCTTAAAATTGAAACTCCCACGGCGTTCACCGAGGTACCTACACCAGCACAATGTCATCTACTCAAGAGCCCAAGTCTCAGAACCTCACTGGGAATGTCGCAATAGTAACAGGAGGTCTCGCAGCATTGGGGCAGCTATTGCTCCCGAATTGACACGGAGAGGTGCTAAGGTAATTGACCACCATCGCTATACGAACTACGAAATTTTGACATTGTTCTAGGTAGCACTCACATACAACCAATTCAAAAGTGTCGCTCAAGTACAGGAAGTAACCAAGCAGATCAAATTCTTTGGAAATGGCAGCTCAGCTATCGCAATCCGAAAAGATCTGAGAGAAAAATCGACCCCAAAAGCTATCATTGAGGAGAGAGTTCGTTGTTTTAGGCCACATATCGATATCCTCATTAATAATGCCGGTGTCCAACGGGTGGGTTCTATTGTGAATGGACAGTAGGGGACTTTGATTTTATGTACGCTGTGAACGTTCGCACTCCTTTTTCCATGCTAAGGGAGGTCTTGCCATACCTACGTTCACCCGGAAGGATAATAAACAGATTGTTGCTTGGCTTGCGCGTGAGGAGAGTAGATGGGTGACAGGGCAGGTTATTGCGGCTACTGGAGGATGTACGATGTATTGATTATTAATTAGATATGGTATCAGAGTCAGATTCAGATCTATTCTCCATTACAGTATCCTGAGGACCCCTTCCTGGGAGTGGAGACTTCATAAGCCTTGATCTTGACAATGTCAGGAGGCCTTCTCCAGGACAATAACCGAATACCCCCTCTTAGTATCATAGGTATGTAAATGGGCGATCCTCAGACCAGCCTTCGCGACAAGCCTATGCCATGCTCTGCTCGTGCGCTCGGCACCAGCAAAGACAATCATCATAGACAAGTCGGCCATCGTTGCTTGCCAATGCGCACCAGTATCAGGCAACAGAACTTCATCCAACAATATCCTGGAATCTTCAGCAAGGACATCTACAAGCTGTCTTAAAATCTGAACACACTCGTCTTCGGGCCAGTCGTGCATAATCCGGCGCATGTAGTAGAACTTTGCGCCTTGGATAGCCTGTGGCTTGAAAAAGTCTTGCGCAATATACGAAACGCCGTCTTTGCGTGATGCCTTCTCGACGGCTTCGGGGAGATCCTCGAGGGTCAGTTTTCCATGAAGAATAGGGTATTTCTGGAGGAGTTGCACACATTGATGGCCATGGCCACCCCCGACATCGACTAGGAATTGTCTCTTGGACGAGTCAGGGAATGCTGAAGTCATCAGAGCGTTCAATTCCTGTTGAAAAATATCGAAGTTTTTGGTCCAATTACTCGACTCCAAAGCACTCATGACGATCTGTAATGAGTTGAACATCTCCGGGACTTGGGACATGTAGTCGAAAGCTTTGAGCTTGGTATTGAATGCCTTTTGGAACGGGGTGTTGGAACTGTCGTTTACGTTCTTATAGCCAGTTTCCTTGAGGAATGCTGGGGTTGCATTTATTGCAGGATTCATGCTGGATACTCTGAGCGGATGTTAGTGTTTTTAACTTCCAGGCAGGGATGAAGAATGGCCTCAGTACCCATGAGTTAGAGAAGCTTCCAACACCGGGTTGGCCAGGATATGAGTTATTTTATTCGCGGTATATTGGTTGGGGCCGATTTCTTGGATATATTTGATAGACGAAAGATAGCGAAGAACTCTTTCTACACTCACATTAGCTTCTAATACGAGAAACCAGAGAGAATGCTGTTTGGCTCACCTAGAAGCTCAGCATCTGCGCCTGTTTCACCGGCCAGTTGATCAACAGTCTTTGACGCTCCTGGCTCCAGCTCAGCCAACTTTTTAAACACGCCGATATCTGCACAGACTTTTGTCATGGGCATTTTGACAGCCTATACGACGTTCGTGTTTGTTGTCAGCCCCCTGTCCATGCCTATAACTGGGTCCAAAGCAGGTATTTGACGAACCGATCCATAAGCCCCATAGAGAATATCCATCGGGTCTCGAAGTTCCACTACAAGATCCTCGAGAATATCCAACATTTCTGCCCTAACATTCACATCTGCATTACCCACGACCTCTTTAATTTGTGCCACAATAGTATCCATGGTGATCTCTCTGTTCGCCTTGAAAGATGTGAATACGGGCGATGAAAGAGTATGTTGTACACAGTTATTTAGGCCTTGAAAGTTGCTGTATATTTCTCTTTTTGAAAAATCTGATGCCTAGATTCATCAGGTGCATTGATGGATTTCTGCTCGATTTATACCATAGACTGGAGTCATTTTCAACGCTGAAATCCGCGGGTTTCTCACGTTTTGATTGGTTAATTCTATCTCGATCAAGTAATGTTGGATACCTTTATGTTGCAGCCTGAACTTGCTATGCTACGAACCACGTAGTAGGGTAGATTTTGGCTTACTTCTGAATCATGTTATCTGCATTTTTACTTCGTGAATTCATACACTCTACGGTAATGGCTGCTAGATCTAGGAAATAAGGAAGTAAAAGATCGCTTGATGATTGGTCCATCTGGAGTGCGGAGATTCCGCGGACTGTATGCATTGTTATTGGTCAAATCTCAGCCTATATAGTCACTTTCCCAAATCTCAAGTTCAAAACATCTATTTCTCTTTCACTTACATCAACCCGCTGGTGTGCGGATAAATTATAGCTTTGAGGACATGGGAAAAGGCAGTCCATCAGCCAAAATGGACCGAAAGCGACCGGTAAGCTGTCATTTCTGCCGGTCAAGAAAGCTACGTTGCGATCGCCAATCGCCGTGTACCAATTGCCAAACGCGAGGTATGCAATGTACTTTATACTCGACAAACTCCGTGGAACTTCCGCGCAGTAGGAATAGCGTACAGGGGTTTGCGGGAAATGGGCCAAACGCCGAGCTTGCTGCTCGTCTTCTACGCCTCGAAGAGATTGTACTCAAAAACACAGAGTCTCGCATCTCTATCCATGCTCCACCGGTACATCGGCCGTGGCAGACTTCAGCACTCACGACATTTGTACCGCCGACTAATGAGGGCCTTCCCTCTAAAATCGAGGCGGATATTCTGAAGTCTGTTTCTTTTAATGAAGACTGGTTTGTAAGTAGGCTGTTCCTCATTTGTCTTCTATTAAGGATGTTGGTCAATATGTACTGATCAGGTTACAGACATCAATATCTCCACTCAATATCTGCTTTAGAATATGCTCTATGAAGCATATTCCACAATCTCCAACTTATCTGTGGCCCAGCCCTAGAAGATCAGCCTCATTTCAGGAGCCTGTCAGATGTATATGGCTACCTCTACGGGAAGAAGCAAGAAGGTTATTCGACAAATATGTGCGAGACGTGACTTTTATTCACCATGTGATTCATACACCTACGGTACGATTCCTCATCGACGATATATATGACAAGCTTGCACAAGATCAACCAGTGTCACCTGGACAAGTTGCGCTACTCATGAGCATATTCGGAAGTGCTTCGTACGCCTGGACCTTTCACGACATGAATAAGTCCATGTATGATACCGTTGAAGGAGCTCATTCCCAATCAACCATGTGGGTCAGGGCGTGTCTTGATCTGTTAGATCATTGTCGTCGATCTTCTGTCCGGTCTTTTGAGGCTCTGCAGGGGATCGTCATAGCATTCTTCATGTTGGTTAACTTAGAAGGCATGACAGTCCGCTATACGTCTATGGTCGGACAGGCCATTTGTATGGCTCGCGAAATTGGTCTTCATCGTTTGGATCATCCAAACTATGCAACAAGCGATCATGCGCCCAGAGCAGGGACTGTAACAGAGGAGATAGGAAGAAGGATATGGTGGTATCTGTGTGCGACCGATTGGTATGATTGCTTTTTGTTCTGTCTTTTCCCGACTTATCTAACTCTTCAAGGATGCTGTCTCGCTATGCTGGCCCCCAAGAAGGATCCTACTCGATTCATTTGTGCCATATGGCTACCCGCAAGCCATGGAACGTGAACGATGAAGACCTTTACGACGGTATGAAAAATATTGATAGACCTCTATCCGAACCCACGGAGATGTCATACTTCCTACAACGCATTCGGCTCGGTGAAATGTGTCGCGAGTTAGTCGATCGAATGCCACTGGGAATCACAGCCTCTGATCGATCCGGTTATGCCGACGTTATCGCTGTCGATGCACAGTTTCTAAAGTTTCTAGGAGAAATTCCAGAATTTTTCACTCTCGAAGCGGCAGAGCAACCCGCTGAGCTTCAGAAACCGTTGGCAACTGGAATCATTGTGCAAAGATACATTATCCACTCTCTTGTCCATTCACACCGATGCAAATTACATCTTCCGTATTTAGCCAAGGTCTCGTCTAACACTCAGTACAGTTACTCAAGAGAAGCTTGTCTTGAAGCTGCTCGGCAAACTGTGCGGACGGAGAAGCTTCTTGAGCGGGAATCTGTGCAATTTGTGCATGCACGGTTTCGCATTTCAGGTGTTTTACAGGCAATATATATAGCGAGTATCGCATTCTTGCTAGATATGTGTTTCCACAATGTACGCGGGCAGTGTGATCCGGAACGAAAAGTCGAGTTACTAGAGGCATGCTACATTCTTGAAGAAGCGGTAAGTCATTCGCCATTTACGGCGAACCTTCTCGAGTCCTTGGACAGCATTGTACAAAAATACAGGCTCTCTCTTCCTCGACTCAGCAACATGCCACGTGCAAGTCCGCCGCAAAATCCACAAAATCAAGTTGCATTTGACACAACGGGTAGAAGCCAATGGTCAGCTGGTCTAGACAGCGAGAATCTTGCCAACAAGTCCGTGGAACCAGCAGCCCAAGGTGACAACCCGGTTATGGATCCCTCCTCCTGGGATACATTCAATGCAATGAATGTCGACAATCTAGATTGGGACTCTTTGTTAAGCGAACTGGACTCTCAGTTCCTTGTCACCGCATTTCCAAGTATATGAGATATACTACATCTTGTGAATATTACGCACACTTCATGGATACCCACCTCGGACGACAAACTGAATCTTCTTTCCTGTCTGTGTTCGTACAAGCAGAAATATTCGGGGCCAGTACTGGGCAAAGCCCGCCAAAAATTAGGCTTCTTTTGGAACGTATGAGCGAAAAATGCACTGGATTCGTTACTAACGTTACAGCATATTGCAATAGCAGTGAATCGATGTCATCAATCGAGTCACAGATTCGAACGCCTTCGAACTTGGCGACATTTATAGTGCTCTGATATCGTCGTCGTGTGGCATTCGGCTCAGGAACTCCTCGATACCGTTTCCATCACATGTGAAGTCGCCGAATATCCAAATTCCATTCTCGGCCTCACCTTCTTACAGTGCCTTCAACACTTCTCTTCCATTTCTGTCCATTTGAACACCTGCGAACCTCTTCCAGGTCGAGAAGAAGGCTTGTGCAGTAATATTTCTCCTTGGTATCATCTTTATATGCCTGATAAGGCTTAACATTCGAGTGATTAATGGATATAGCCTCGGAAAACCTCCGGAGTGGATCATCAATGTGGTGTTAGCAACGTGTTTTTGACCAATGAACATGAAAATTAACCTACTAGAGGCATTTTATTATGACTTGAGGCCACCAGCACATTAATATTAGTGCAAATATTGGGTAAATAAAAGACTCGGTTGAGCCTCAAAGTGTTGTACTTTGTCTATCAACGATATAAGTCATATGAATTCTGCTAGTTCAGTTCTCTGAAAAAGGGCACATTGAACGCAAAATATAAATTACTGGACATTATTCCACTCTCTGATATCCAATTCTCGAGTGTCAACGCTATCCGACATAGCACCTTTCCCCATCATCCACCTCAACGGCTTCCCAGGCACGGGAAAGTTGCCCATCGCCAAATGTCTCGTGTATTCCTTTTTCACATTAGACCACGCAAAATTAGTGCATAATCGCCTCGTAGTCAATCCAGCTGATGCAGTTTTACACCGCACACAACCCGGACATCAACCTCTTCGTCGTGCGCTCCGGCAAGCTGTTTTCACCACCCTTGCCGAAAACCCAGTCACGTAAGAGATCGTGTACGTCTTTATTGACTTTCAGACTGCTGACGAAGTTGGAACTGCAGTGTCCGAAGAGTTTGTGCATGTTGCAGAGCATACACGCGGCTGCGCACGGCAAATTGATGGATGTCGACCTGTGGCCCTTTTTCCACCAGGGTATACCTCTGTATCGATTTGATCAAGATCCGGCTTTCCTTGAGCTTGACGTCACAAATATTGCCCCTCAGGGTGCTGCGAGAATCATTTTTGAGCATGTGCTTGCTCATTCTCCTGAGCTGAGACCGCCCTTTGCGATGGAGGACGTAAATTAATAAGAAAATACAGGCAACCATGGATATACAATGGCATGAAGTTTGTCTTGCAAGAAAACGGCATTTGATCTTCAAAATATTGAAATATTTACTTTGTCCTTCTTCTGGATTCATTTCCAACGTCCTCCATTGTTTGTTTTTCGGGCTCACCTCTGGCTTGGGTGGTCTCTGTGGATGCGATAAGATGTTTCAGGCTCTGGAACGTGGCTCCAGTTCTTTTTGGCAGTGGTGAAGCTACGATGAAACGAAGGAGTTATATTTCGAGTTCCAGGTCCTTCGGCGTCAATCCAACTTTGTCACAGCATCAGGAAACAAACGTCCTCACCATGGTTATTGTCATCAACATATATATCCTTTACTTGGATAGAACCGTCAAGAGGTTGTAAAGTCCAAGCCAAGGTGCGTAAGAACACCGAACACTTTCATTCGGCGGTACCGTGATATCATATTTCGAATTCGGGAAGGAGCATAAAGTCTGCAGCTTCCCTTAGAATGATCAAGTCGGGGGTGAGAAGTCCTAGCGGAGTCGAATTGAGGCGTTTGGGCAGTGTTCACGTATCACGAGGGACTTGGGATGACATCTGTCTAGACCTGTTCCTCCACATGAAGCCACAACATCACCATTCTGTCCTTGAATTTAAGGCGATATGGGCGAAAATCCGAGAGCGAATACCTTATATGACTTATATCACTGATAGACTGGACACAAGCACTTCGCGGTGGTACAGGCCAGGTCCACGTCGAAATGCATATCCCCTTTCGACCGGACGATAGTGTCCACTACCTTCATTCTATCTCGAGAAGCATGTACGTTACCACGAGAGATAGAAAACTCATGTAGTAAATCCAGCCTAAGTATCATCGGCTCTATCGACTTGAAGAGGTCGGTATGTCTCAGTCGCTCCAACGGTAAGCACATTCGGCGCTCTATGTTCAAAGCGCTCGGATGGAGAAGGACTTGATGTATATTTATGAGCATAGATACCTCATTCTTCGTTCATGCCGTGTAATATTAAGGTAGAAAAGGAAGCGAAACTCAAAATTCAGGAAGGTTTGTATTGTTTCAATAAACTTGTCATATACAATGCGTTGTCAATGTATTCGGTCTATCTATGAACAAAGAATCATTCGTACCCATTAACAATATGGAATGTATGCGTCTCTCATCGTAAAAGTCGCACTACAAGCTTCCTTCCAACTAAGACCGTTGGCCATGCTTAAGATGGTGCCGGGAGATGTTAGGGCTAATTTCCTCATTCCAGATACCCGAAACACCGTACCAACACTCTGGATATTGGAACCAATGGAATCAAACTAAGCGATATATGCCTTACATCTCGATTTTAATGTCAGCTTCGGGGAGTTGTGCAATCCACTAGGGCCATCCATCTACGTTAGCATCGAGTAGATACCAAGTTCGTCTTATCAATCTATCAATATCACCGATCGCAATTACCACTTCACGCGTCGCCCATACAGACAGGCTAGCCGAGCTAGCCAGGCTTCAGCTGTGTCAAGAAAAGCAAGGATACATGCTTCAGCCAAGGAACACAAAAAGCAAACACGAGACAAGGTAAAAACTTTTTCAAAAGCAAGAATTAAACGAGTTGCAGATATTTTGGTCCTGCTAAGTATCCATGAATGTGATCGACGCCAAACAATGACTTGGGCCCACGTGCAGAATTCTGCTCACCAACAGCTGTAGCCATGGAACAGCCTAACAGGGGCAAAATAAAATTGATACCGTGCCGTATGTCTAGAGAGAGGCTAAAGAATTGACTATTTCGCTTGGCTTCTTCCAGCTTTTAACTACATATCCGCTGATTCAGCCTGTCTAGCCCCAACTTATCAGGATCAAATGGGGAACCACGACCGAGACCATATATTGGTACCACTTGTGTACGCCGTACGGATTACTCAGCACTTGACAAAAAGGTAGGGCATATCGTATCGTGTATTGTGTGGATTGACAGCAACGCTCGAGGTGATTGAAGAGAGATTTCAACCAACATTTGGTTGAACGACCGCCATGCCTGTAAGCACATTTAGCTGCATGTCTGTACCCTTCTCCCCGATCTATCCGGACTTGTCAACATTCTACTCGCTCGTCGTTAAGCTTTTAGCAGTAAGCCCTAATTTGCCTTGCGCCTGTCAAGGGCGATAAGGCGCATGTGGCTTGCTGACGTGTACCGAACTTTATCATATCGAGGACAAGAAACTTGTCAGGTGCCTAGTAAGGATCATAATAGGGATTGACTCATGGGCAGGGATTCCAGAGCCCATTTCCAAATCGATCGGCCCTCAAAATCCTGGATAGTGGAGATACGGACTGGAAACTTCAGTGGATCGACTAAGTGGGACTGATTGCGATAGTTTCCATAGATTTGATATCCACAGATCTTGGCACCGCCATGTGTCGTGAACCAAAAAATCGATACTCGGATCTTTTTACCGTTGCAGGCAATTTTCGGACCAATCCACTACTGTATCCAGCGGCATGGTGTCGCTTCGATTTTCTCCATGGTACTCCGTAGTTGCCCACTTCTTGCCCCAGACGCCCAAGAAACAAAAAGTTCTCAAGAAATGGACGAGGAGGAAAAAGAGAAAAGAGAGATCCAAAACGCAAGCTACGGAACGCCGCCAAGATACTGATATCTGTGATCGTCACCTTAGCTTCATATTAAGCTCAGCCAAGCGTCTTACTCTTTGCTACCTTCTACAGAGTGGATACTCTACATCGACGAGTAAGGCCTGGATTCTGCATGAGGTCAGTGGTGTATCAAGGATACAAATAGCGCTATTACTAATGACCGATGCCGGATGTCCAGGAATATCCAACACGAGATATTCCTCACGTCAAGCAAATGGCGGAAGTAGACATATCAACACGACGATCATGTTTCAAATCTGGTTTGGGCATACAGCTGCTCTTTTCGGTGGTCTTTTTGGTCAGTCACCGAGTCAATGGTAATGGTAAGAATGGTCAATAGAGTGGCGGCAAGGATGAAATGGCGAATTGTGACTTCGTATGATATGTACATAAAACGCGACCATTGACAAAACTTTGAACGATTCGAAGCTAGAAAACATAAGCTCTAGTACGGATCAATCACAAAAAAAGTATCGCTGATTAGATCTGTCATGAAAACACTATTTGTACGCGTCTCAGCCGCAGGTAGCGCGGTAGAGTTAGGACTTGACTGGGCGCGTTTGAAAGTATATCATTTTCTGTACATAATCCCTGTAAGCGAAAGACAAAAAAAAGCACAAAGTAAAACAGCCAGGGAACAAATCAAAAAAAACAATAAAACCTCGTATATCATCTTAGGATGTGATGAATTCGTAAAAGTTGTGGCTCAAATACCGACTCGGGACCACAATGAGACGATGGAACAGCTCTGCTGCAGGGACAGTGACCGCGATGCAAGTGATGAGTGCCACCATGACTGCTCCATCATGTGGGACGTGTCTCGATCGAAGACCTTCAAACACACGGATGCCAACGATGTAGGCAAAAATAGATTGCAGCAGGAAATAGCCTGTAATAGATCAGTACTCTTGACATGCAGGATATGAAACAATGAAACAGGGATGGGTTCACTTACTCAAAGCCCGACGTCCAAGGAAGAGCAGGAATTTGTTTTGCAAAACTCGTTGCAAAACATCGTACGTCTCAAGCAGAATAAAGATTCCCAGAATAGTAATGTAAACGTCATCTCTTGCAGAGATATGGTCGAGCAAGTAACGTTCGTCAAGGCCGCCAGTGGTGTAGGGATTCGAATGAATCCTCCATTCGGAAAAGAACAAGTCGGGTCGATAAGCTGCCCACAGGTACTGCATGAGAAGCCCGCCGACAAGCAATAAACCGCCGACAAACCATGTGGGAATACGCCGAGGCTTGCCATCATTGGAGCGCCAAACAAGACTCCGGTATTGAACGGGAATACCCATCAAGGCATTTTGTTTGAGATCCATGTGCATGACCATATCACATACAAGCACTCCAGACACCGTGTACCATGCCCAGGAGTTACACCACCATGCAGCAATGACGAATAGGATTCCAAACTGCACTCTCCATTGTGGCCGTGTATAAGGTACAATTACCATGATCATGTACACAGTATAGCTTTGGATGTAGACAGCATTGATCATCCAAAGAGTCTGGGTGGGAAAAGCGTAACTGCCTGATTGAGATCTGAAGCCGTGGGTTGTCCAGAATAAATTAAAGACCGAATTCCAGTATGACAGTGCATTGGGAAATTGGTAGGGAATCGGCAGCGAGAGATTGTTGGTGCTGTACTTGAAGTGTTTAATCGTATTCAGTGCATTTGCAGTTATTGACCCTTTGACAATTGCCAGACAGATTGCAACCGGAATACAAAGTTGCAAAGAGCGCGTCAGCAGCGAGCGTGCAATCACCGCTGGTGTTGGGTCGCGGAAATAGGGGATGGCGATTGAACGAGCTGACAGAAAGATGAATGCTCCGTACAGGAAATACTCATTCCAGAACAACACGGAGAAGACTTTTCGCACAATCACTTGGGCATGGGGTCCGCCAACATCATATGAAGCATACACCGTAGACGGTGCGAAAGTCTGCAAAAACATCCATAGGAAAGCTTGAATAACAAGCAGTCCACGGAATCCAATCAAATACTCCTGCTCATACTTTGTTGGCGGTGTGACAATATGCTTTCGCAGCAATTTGAGGTCGAGTCCGACCATGGTGAATTATGAGTTCGACTGACTTGAAGGCTGTTATCAGGTCAACTCGACTTTTGGCCAAAATTGAGGTGATACAAGAGACTTCGGGGGGTAACGAAAGGGATGTCTTTCAAGAAAAGGCTATCTGCATCAGAAAAGAAGCAATTACAGGCGTCTAAAAGCCAAGACGCATTGGGGCTTAAGCTTGTCCACCGTATTTTCTGAAGAAATTCTGTTCAAAAAGGCGAAAAAAATGATACAGGCTAGTTTGAGAGGTGGCTCCACCGTGGAAAGAGACATTATCCAATCCATCGTGCTACCCTTGGTTGTACTAGTACTACTATTTTGCTGCCAGGTGGTACTAAGAGATCAGCAACGCCGAGTCAGAATAAACCTCTTGTGAGCATTCTCAAGGCGTCTGTCATGACGGTGCGGAATTCAGTCGACCGTGTATTCTACTACAGCTGAAGTTACGATATAGATAACAAGTGCATTGTTTTTGTTATACAACACCTGTCAGGGGGAACGTGGTAAAAAGCCACTGCAGCTAGTCGGGCCCGATGATAATGCACGTCCGGGCTCTGCTATAATTGCTTCGGTCCTAAGAGAGGGGTAGCCATACATCGATGCCAGAAGCCAAGATACAAGTTCTATATCTGATTGGACTAACATTTATTAACTCACTTGGCAGTAATATCTTCTTCTCTGTTCTCGAGTCTCGAGGTAACATTGCGGGCGGGAAAATGCACTTAGGGCTTCTATGTATCCACTAGTCTCTACAACCCTTGTTGAAGTGTTATCGGACTAATAATGTAGGAGGAATATAGATCCAAGGATGGACTAATACAGAGGCGTCAGAAACGTCTGAAAAAAGAAGGTCGCTTGGAACCGAAAGGAAAGGCGCATATCGCAAGTCCACGGAACGACGATACGCACGTATACAAGGTAAATTTCCAGGGGTACCGACGCAGCGTGCGCTGTACATAGAAGGCTCATGGCGCTCACTAAAAATGTTTCATACCCACTCACTGATCGACAGCTATGGATACATCGAGGCTCACTAAGTCAGCCTTGGCCCTGACTCCACATCTGCACCTTACCCAAATCATCTTCTCCTTATCGCGGCGTTTCCTACGCGGTATGTTTCTGTCCAAGACACCTCCTAGCTAGGGTATGTTCTATGATGGGCGGGGCCCTTTTTGCAACTACTGAAGCTTGTCTAAAAGATCCGTGCATATCACATCATCCAGGTTACACAATAACGAGTCGGTTGAAGTGTTAAAAGCAACGTGGACTCATTCCTGACTGTCATTTCCTGACTGTTCTGGCCTTGGCTGCGTATTCGTGCATTTCCTTTATTGTTATTGACTTGATATTATTTTCACGTAATTTTTCATGCTAAAAACTGATCTGCAGATGTGTTCAAAAGCCCCAATAATCACGAACTGATCGATCAACTGATCGATCCACTGATCCGTGTCCGTCCGTCGTCGTATTTGTGTCTTACACTCATAATATCCCTATCATATCAATGGTTTTGGTTCGACTTCTTACAGTCTACACAGGACCTATCAAGCTCTACGAATGCTGAGGGCTGTGATAAACGATGAAACACTATTCGCCTAACTGTTCCGTAAAGATTAACCAATCCTTGAAGAATACGACGGCGGGAACTTGTTTATTCTACGAAAACAACTGTTCCTAATTTAGGCTAAGGGACCTAAGTCATAATAAGCAGGTAGTAATATAAGCTGCATAATCGGTTCGGCCATCAACGGGACTGGGAGAGGGGTTCAAGAATTTTTCTTCAGCTGTCGTCAATTTGTCGATAAGATTGCCACGGTCTCTATTTTTGATCGGCATACCGACAAGGGTCTCAAGGGCCTTCACTCCTCTCAGGTTGCAAGCACCGTTCACGCACCACCACGAGCAACTACTAATCTAGGAACTTGGTGTGATTGATAAGATTTTAGCGCAGCTCCTGCCGAACCTTTTCCCGAGTCTGCTCGGACCAGGATGATATCGGCTCATTATTATACGAATCCAGAACTCGAACTCCCAAGGTTCGCGATATGCGTCAAGGATCTCGACTGATCGATTCAATGATTAGATGCTTTCTTTTTAAATGTTATGTTCAGTTTGCAAATGTGACGGCTGAACCACGACTTAAACATGGAGCACGTGCTTGGAGATATTCTGAAGTCGAGATACCCCGAGTCCGCGACGGACCGGGGCAGAGATCGTCAGACGGCAGATCCGATATCTAGGAGGTTGCCGATGTGACCTGAATTCTTGTATTCTATTCCTATCTGTCAATCTTATCTCTAATTTGGAAATCACATGAAAAAGTTAAAAGTAAATTAATATGTATGTATTTCGCTTGTAATCTCTATATACGGTAATATGCAATTAAAAAAGACCAGCTAAAAAGATCTACACTAAAAACAAAGTCTATACGGTATTTTGAATCATCCGGCATTGTGACCTCAATTGCGTGGAGTCGGGTTCCACTTAATATACTTGCTTACTTGACGTGCATGACCAAAGAGACCAATGACCGCTGTAAGTACGAGCTGAGGGAGATATGTGGCAGCAAAGATAGGAATTGTGTACCAGCGGCAGAACTCTGATCGGAAGTGGAACGTAACCCAGAGAGTGCCGACAAAGGCAAGAAGACTGAAAACAAGGAGTTAGTTCGTATCGTAGCAAAAGCCGGTCGAGGTAACGTACCTGAAGATAAAGAGCCACCAGGCAATAGGATATTGGAAGAAGACCAACTTATATAAGTCGTGTCCATTTTTGGGGAACTCGGTGATAACCACACTCAATACTAGGCAAAGATATTGGGTGATGAGATAGTAGCTGATTTCCCGGACAAAAAGTAACGAGAATATTCCGAAACGTTGGCGCATGGTCCGGTGTTTACCCTCGCGAGAGCGACTCCACACTAGGTGAACATGGCGCATACTAGCCTGGATCCAACCTTGGGACCATCGAAGACGCTGTTTCCAAAAGGCCGACATGGTGACTGGGGCAAGTTCAAATGAAGTGACATTGATGTCATGTACTGCTTTGGCTCCATGCCCAAATGCACGAAGAGCGGAATCAATGTCTTCGGTTAGCATAGAGTCGTCCATTTTTAGCTCGCGCAGAAGCGAGGTGCGCCAGTAACCGTTAGAGCCACAGAAGAGACCGAAATGGAACATGGCAGAACGACCGGGGTGGGAGACTGCGTAGATCTTGTCGAACTCAACTCCAATCATCGAGGTAAGGAAGTTGTCGTTGGCATTCAGGACTACGCAACGACCCTGGACAATGTCTATTTCCTTATCTTTGCAAAATTGCTCCATTGCCCATTTTGGTGCATATGGATGGGGGTAGTGGTCGCAGTCAAAGATAGCTGATATCTGGGCATCAGTTTGGATAACGTTGCAGTAGTAGTTGATGTTATCGGCCTTGGACTTTGAACCGGGGACTTTGACAACACGCATGTTTTTGGCGTATTCGTCCGCCAACGCAAAGAGGTCCGATTCCAGAGGTTCAATCGCATAAGGTGTGTTGTACAGCAGGTTCACTCGGTATCTGTCCCGAGGATAGACAATCTCTTCGAGAAGATATTTCAAGCGGTCCATGACGATATCCTGCTCATTTGGCAGATAGGCCACGACAATAATGTCTAGTCTGGGGAGATTATTGTCTGCCGTAGGAAACACCCAGTTCTTTTTTGCGACTTTGTCAAGAGCTCTCTTAGAATCCTGGAAGTTTCCTAGGGCCGTGATAGACTCAATGACAGTGGCTGTTGCGATGTATGTGTTTGTCATGAGATAGATAAACCAGAAAACTTCGTTGATTCCGGAAGTGGCATTCATGTAAATGGTAGTGGAAAAGACAAAATAAGACAAAACTAGGAAAAACGGCGTCCAGTCTTGGACACCGTCTGATACTGTCGTGAATGCCCAGAAAACATCTTGATAGACTTTCTTCAGGCCGCTCTTGACGTTGCTGCGTCTCTCTGACGACCGGTTTGTTTGGACCGGAGTCTGCAAGGCATTGACCTCGACGTCGACCTGCTTCTCCATGTTGACAGGTGCTTGACACTGAGGTATGGATTGGGAAGACAGATGGGCAGTAATCGGAGGTAGAGGGAAATATTAAACCCAGTAAACATGAGATAGAGAGATTCAGCGTAGAAGATATTAACTTTTTTGTACAGCAGGTCTGGCCTAACCAAGGATCGCTGGTCACTTGCATACCCTGTCGAGTCTGTTAGACTGCAGCTGTACCTAAGTAGATTGGCCAATCCGTTGAAAAAGGGAAGTCACTTCCTTTTTACTGCATTGGACCCAGAATAGCCCCAGCAATAACCTTGAGTTACCGGATTCCACTCTTTCATGATTGCTGGCGGAGGTATTCGAGGACCAATTGGGATGCAACGTCACACGACGATCCTAGAAACTGGAAAGACCGCCGGAATCGCCATAAAAATCGAGAACTGTGACTAAAGAGTGGCAATCATCATGCAGTAGTACGCTCAGATGCACTAGAATAAGCGCCTTCATCAAGCTAATTGATAAGAATCCGATTCAAATTTCATAGAATTGGACCGGTAGTCATAACCCGCAACACCAACCAGTCAATATCTTCTCAATCTTCTCAGTCTAATCTGAGTTTAAGACACGGTTTCTACCAGGGGCCACTAATTGTTACTCAACCTGGTCCCAGTCTTATTGTACATGCACCGAGATACGTAAAGATTAGCATGAAGCTAGAGCACCTTGAGCCCAATTCAGTCATGGATCCAACAGTAAATTACACCCTTTGCCATATTTGATCTTTTCACATGTCGAATATGCACCATCTTCATCGGTGTCTGATTGTTATCTTAACTGCGTAAGCGCCACTTCTAGATGTATAAACTGGATCCGTGACGCCTGGCAAACGAGTTAGGGCTAGGATAGGTCACCTTTTCGGGAGATTGCAACCGTTCTCCCAACCAAGCAATTCTTCCACCCTGAATGGGACCAGCCACAATTTGAGCCGCGGGACGCATCCAATATTTTTATTTTCAGGGCGCCAATACTATTTTAGTTCTTTGCTTCTTCTGTATCCCTGGTTAATCAAGCCCTGTCGCCACCGGCGAGCGACGTGTATAAAATTTATTTTCCCTCTTTTCCCCGAACACGTAGCTGCAACCGAGGGTCTGATGCAATGCAATGCAGGCTGGTTCCCATGCATTCCATTTTTCTCCAAGCCCAGCTACGTAGCTAACTAACATAACTCAATTCTCCACGGCCAAGTATGAAATTGCGCGATTATGAATAAGAAAAACTGGAAAAGAAAAGATAAACCAGGATCCAACTTCTCTAGTTCTTGCCAAGCCAGTCTTAATGACATTAGTACCTTTGTTATAGCTGAGATTTGTGATCTACAGGCACGATGGTGCTAAAAGGTGACGGGTTACAGTTGGATCAATGCCGATCAAGGAGGGTCCACTGTTCATTCTAGCCAGAAGATAAGCAATACGAAGAAATCAATCCCTTCTGTGAGTACCAATCTTTCAGCTCATACCAGTCGAATACTAGCAGCACTAGTGCGTAGCAACAATATTGTCCGAGTATCGCTGATATCACGACAGAGCGTGAGGATCTATGTGTATTCGGCCAATTGCGATCTAAGCTTCCGCCACTTGTGGGAACTATAGCATTGTCAAAATATAAGGTACTACCTCGGAACATTTGGTATTTTACTTCTTGATTGCACCTGCTTAGATAGCGTTGCACGGTTTGCCGTGAAGATATCCCTCTGTGCCGATCAACGAGGAAACTTTAGATCCCGGGTCCGTCGTGTTTCCTCATAGACGGAGGATTGTTACCACAGCTCCCTAGTTGGATCTCGGAGACTTCCCTCGTGCCACCGTATAAACCTGTCAGCATCTGAGGTTCAGAGTTTTCTTTACACAAATCCGAGCAACACAGCATACGAATCAGCGCGGGGATCCGTCGTCGCTGTTCGTCTCTACCTCCATAACCCCCACACTCTTCTTCGACGTCCCAAACTAATCACACTGTATCCTAGCACATCGTGTAAGAAAACAAAATGTTTTCTGCACCATGGCAGGGTCTGCTGTTCACCCTCCTTGTGGTGTCCAAAGCTACCCACGCTGCTCACAATATCACCACAATGGACGTCGGTAATTGTGCTTGTGGTTTTTACGATGAAGATGCCGATTTGTACTTCACGGAGTCGACCATTGCCTATTTCAACGAATCTGGCTCGATACCTACAGACTTTATTGCTGAGGAATTTGAACATCGTTATGACCGTGGTTGGAACAACATGTACCGCATGGGTGCGGCAGTGGATAATGTCCAAATCGCCCAAGATGTCACTGCTCGAAACCGCACAAGCTTGGAGCTCTCTTGCCATCCGTCAGACAAAGACCATCTTGTTGTCGGTTCGAGTATACGTACTTCACGCCAGGATATCTTTTTCGGTTCTTTCCGTGCGAGTCTTCGACCGGCGCGGCCGTGGATGCAGGGTTCTGTGATTTCTATGAATCTAGAGCATAATCAGACCGAAAGCTGGCAGGTAGACGTGATGAACACTGACAACAGCAGTGCGGCTTGGGTTGATATGTTGATGCGAGGACAATTTGCCGACATCTGGTACGGCATCAATTTCACCAACCTCACAAACGAAGGTCTGTCACCATGGTACTACACTGAGTATCGTGTTGACTGGACTCGCGACTCGCTCAATTATTACATTGGCGATGTACTGAGAACAAGCTACAATACTTCTGTGAATTCCAGCATTCCGGCAACACCGGCACCACTAAAGTTCCAGCATTGGTCTCTAGGAAACAAGTACACCTCCCAGGGTCCGCCCTCTTTCACAAATCTCGCGAACGTTGCATACGCGAGACTATTCTTCAACTCATCTACTTGGAACGATACCACACGCGCTGCTTATGATGAGAGATGCTCTATACAGCAAGCCTGCCGCATGGACGATCTCTCCTTGCGTGGGGCTTCACCTTCTGATCCCAAAAGCCTGGAACCTTGGAAGCAATATCAGCCTCCATACAAGATCAGATGGGCACCACTCATCATTGACATCGTGATGGCGGCCATTTTTGTGGTTCTCACAGGCAAGACTCTTTGGCGACGATTTACCTGGCACAAATTCATGGTCTTTCTGGGCGTCCATAAACGAGATCCTCCCCAGTCGAGATCATTTGACACACCACCACGCTCAACCTCATTGATTGACAGAGACCCACAAACCAATGCCGAGTCCGACGAGGGTCGTATCTCTCCCGCGTCGCCTACCAGTGACCGGGCTAATCTGTCTCGCAATGAGTCCTTCGCCACTCTGCCTCCGTATCGGGGTTCTCAGACTCCTCTGCCTCAATACCAGAGTCCTGCCGTCTCTCGCCGACCTTCATTATCAAATATGGCTAGTCACTCATTTGCTTACCCAGCGAGCCTGAGTGGTACTATTCAGGGTGAATCGTCTCGAGCGGCTTCCCGCACACCCTCTCTACACGCTGTCCCTATGATGGACCATTCAGCTACTCCAGGTCAAGAGGTCTACTCAAGCCCTATGCAAGCTGAAGACAGCTCCGACAAGAACAAGGCAGCTGTCAAGACTGAGGCTGCTGAGGTCGCCAAAGATGCACAGACGAAACCAAAAGAAACCGGTAAAGATAGCAAACCGGCGGCCGGCGCCGCTGCAGTTTCTGCAAAACCACCTCGTGTCGACTACTTGGCAGGTTTTATTTCAATTAGTGCCGTTCTGGTCACAGCCAATCACTTTGGCTTGACGTATTTCAGTGCTGTCATTATCCCCGGTGACTCTGCGCACTACCAAAGTGAAACTATTGCACGAAAGACATTTGCTACCTACTTCCTTGACCCCCTTTGGATTGGCCCTTTTTTGATGATTTCCACTCGTTTCTTAACGTCAAACTACATTCGTACCGGAAAGCTTGACAACATGGCACAGAAGATTGTTGCACGTCCATTCCGTCTATTGACGCCTGTCGCCTCTATTGCTTTCTTGGAGTACTTTCTCATGGATGCTGGTGCTCTCAATTGGCTTGAATACCTTCCATCAGTAACATGGTCAGACTGGCCTTTTACTTCCATTCCTAAGAATCCCGGTACATTCATCTCGGAGATTATTCAACTCGCCTTCTTGATCCCGAATGCGGCCCCTATGATCACAATCAACTACTGCACTGGTGTGTTGTGGACTATTCCCGTGCAGTTACAGGGTGCATGGCAGACATTGCTTGGTCTGATAATGATCCGTCAGATCAAGACTCCATGGAAGAGATTTTCTTTCTATCTTTTCTGCACAATCATGCACTGGTATGCTCTCTCATGGGGTAGTTATTACTACGTCGGTATTCTTCTCGCCGATCTAGATATAACCTACAAATACAAGCAGAAATGGCTCAATCCCCGACCATGGGTCTTCTGGCCGCTGCTGATTCTCATGATCTGTACCGCCATTGCAAGTTTCAGTATTGATTTGGTTACGCAGCACAATGGCGTCAACTACGCACAGATCGAATATGGATGGCATCCTGATCCACATACAGGTCTCAGCTTAGTCCAGGCCAGCGCTGCTGCATACCCAGACTACTTTATTCCTCGTCTGAACGCATTTTTGGCCACAATTACCATGCAGGGTGTTGTTGAGATTTCGCCTACATTGCAGAAACTGCTCTCCGCTAAATTCCTGCAATGGCTGTTCCCTCACATTTTCAGTATCTACTTGATTCACGGTTTCATTATGTGGTCTGTCGGATCATGGACGATGATTTCCATGTTCTCCCATGGCTATCCGTATTGGTTATGTACCTTGATCACCGCGATTGTTTGCTATGGTACTCTCTTCGCGGTACTACCAATTCTCACTCCTCCAATTGAAGCTCTTGGTAAGGGGTTCACCCAGAGACTTTGGCAATTCGCTAGCTTAGAACCTGTGGAGCGAAAGCCGACTACATACCCCTTCGGCGAGGAGTTCTTGACTACGCGTGGCCAGCTTCATACATCTAAACCTAGCAGCTTGGATGGAGTATTACCTTCCTCTGCTTCTTCGGCTTCGGGAGGCGTGACAGTGTTGAATGAGAAGGATATGACTGGGAAGGGGAAGGAGGCTGAATTGACCGTGAGAGAGCTCAAAAATGGGCGAATCATGGAAAACATCAAAGAGTTTTAAATATTATTTACTTGACTTTCTGCGTTTCAGAATTTGGCGTTTGGTCTACCATAACACTTAGTCTATAGAATTCACATGTTTATATATGATGTGTTGAATACATGAGAAATAACAGCATCTTAATTGACAAACGTACGTTTATGAGTAACATCCAAGCTCCTCTCTAGCTTGGTCCTTCCAATCAATGAAAGGTGCACATGTGGAAGAAATGAAATAGAAAATATGCCTGATGTTGCTACATTTCATTTGGAATATATGTCCGGTGAGATGAGAGGGTATATAGTATCGCCAATTCCGATCAGGATAGAATGGTCATCCAAGCTCAAAACTTGAAGATCTGATCCTTTTTATATCCCAGTTCTCCCAGAATGCCGGAATCCCCCCGTCCTTTCCCAGTCAACGCAGTTTCGAGCCCTGGAGGTCCGCACACAAACACTTTATCTGTACGTGCTGGCAACACCTCCTTCAAAAGCTCTTTTGTGACATGTCCCTTTCGAAACGGAGATCCTTCCTCCGGCTCTGAGACCGTATACACAACTTTGAATCGATCCGGAAATTTGCTCCCGTAATTCTCGAATTCCTTCCGCAAAAGAATGTCACGCTCAGTGTTGACACCAAAAACCAGTGTCATCTTCGTGCGATCTTCCGGGTTGTCCAAAATTCCCTGGATAAGTTGATAGATTGGAGTAATGCCAGCACCACCGGCGATAAGAGTTATGTGGTCGTGTTTGTTCGGAATCCAAGAGTATGCTTTAATACCGAATGCAAAGAAGAGTGAGTCGCCGGGTTGTAAGGAGTGAAGGTGTGTGCTGACTTTGCCGCCGGGGTATTTTTTGACCATGAGGTCGATAAAACCAGGTTTTGCTACAAACGTATCAGTATGGCCCATGATGGGGCCTGGATTGTCTGTTGGGGACTCAAACATACAGAGATTGCTCACTGGTGTATATGGTCGTATGGCGGGCGCCAGGCTTCCTTTCGGCCATGAAAATGTGAGGACAGATGCTAGCCAAATATTTAGTTGCAGACTCTATTATTCCACCCTCTTAATAAAATTATTTATTCTGATCTTTCAGGAGATGTTGACTTACACACAACTGTCAACCCAGTTTCATCCCGAGCATTCGGAAAAGAGAATCGTAATCGTTTCGTATTGTGATTAATCTCCTCTGTTTGTTGCAGGGTAAGACTACCGGCAATACTATTCCCAAATGTTTTTCGAGGCTCAGAAGACGTTGCGCTCCGAATATATGAATAAGCTGTATATAGTCCACCAGCTGTAGCGATGCCAATCACTAGGTTGGGAATAGTGGCTTGTTTGGCGATAAAGCGACTGCTCGATGACATGGTGCCTTTGTCTCCGAGTATTTATTAATCATTAGTATGTGAGTAATTGAGAGTCTTTGGATTGCAGATGGAATGAAAATGCGTCAATTTATATACTGTCGTTGTGGCCTGACCTCGTATAGAGTCCCTGCGACCCGCTCTAACCTGTGGGTGAACGGGTCTCGGTTCACGGAGAGCCGACTGCCCGATCAACCTCAATAGATAAGCTTACTTATCTCCGTTCAAACAAACAAGTCAATTTCTCCTATAACCAATATTCTTGAACTGGTCAATGATGTTGGTTTGATTCTCGTCAATTATAGATCGGCCCAATATAGAAGCACCAGCTATCAAGGTGCGGCTTCTATTGTCTCTAAATACAAAGCTGGTGTTATTTAAGGCTCACGTAACTGATTACACACATAGGCCGATCTATTGTATATCAAGATACGTTTATATCATTCAGCTAGTAATAGGTTTGCAAATCTCAAAGATTCTCTGGAGTAACCGCGGCCCTTGTGACACCTGTCAACAGGGTGATTCTTCAGCTCTCTCACTAAGTGCACTTACGTACAAGTTGAAAACTTTGCGAGTTTCGAGCGTCATGTTGTGAACATGTTCGAGGCATAGTGACCATCGACGGCCTGTAGAATACGATGATTGGCTGATGGCCACTTTATCACGTGATTGACGCCCATTGTTACTATGAGGGATATCTGGTGGATAGCTTTAAGCCGCCACCTTTTCCTTTCCCTATTTCTTCTCTCATGTCTATTTATTTTGCTTAGCTACCAGAATGAAATCTGAATTGAGCCCTCAACTGGTATTCTATACCAATATCTCTTGTTGGGCCCTGAGCAATGACAACTGCGCAGTTATATGAACGAAGCATGGTGGGCTTCTGGTTGGTTAGACTGAACCGAGCCTTCACTGATGCTGTGGGAGAAAGAGAAAAAATATCAATTAAGCACCAGCAAAAAGTCTATTTACTGCAGTCGGAATGAGTCTGAACTAAGCGACTGTAGTAACCGATTTATCCTGGAGGCTACTCTGGCCAGGCTATTCCTGAGTTACACTTCACAGTCCGGCTCATCTTCAGTGGCGACAGGCCTGTCCTAATTGCCAAAAACTGGGTGAGAATCGCATACTGTGAGTGAGTCTTTATCTTACCACAACAGATGACATCAAAGTCTGCATTTGCATCTGGGGAAGTGCACTTTTCCACTGCTATTGTAGACTCCCTAGTGATGATATTGTCAGTGATATCCCAGTTCATGGTTTCTTTATTTGCTTGCGTAAGAGGATGATCGAAGAACATCGCAGGAGAAAGCTCTGCAGTAACACCATGCTTTTTGAAGCGTTGGAGGTCATCTAAAATATCTCATTAGATCCCTTTTTTTTTTGTAAATGAAGCGGGAAAGTATTTACCAGGGTGTATGCCGTTACAGTGGGCTATCTCGTGTCTGATTGTCCCATTTTTAGTATTGGCTTTTCTCGCTGCCGCTATTGCCTCAAAAGCAAGTCTTGTGCTGCCTCGGCCAGTCGCGTGCAGTTTGACTGTCATACCACGTTGATCAGATTGCTTGACGACCTCAACAACATCACCTACAAGAATTTTGTCTAGTTCAATGTTTCCATCACTGTCTATTCCAGCACTTGAAAACAATGGTGGCAGGCCGTCGAGCAAAATCTTAACAAAGCTCGTGCGTACATGTTTAGTCGCGAGTTTGGGAGCTTGGTCAATCAATGCTTTCAGTGAGCTTTGCCGCTCATTGGCAAGAAATTCGGGAGCGTAAACAGAATGTGCTGCAATATCGAGTTTTAGAGCATTATCCCGATCTAGTTCACGAAGAGCATGTAGAATGACAGTGTTAGTTGCTGCCTCTTGACATGAGGTCACACCCACTCGTTGCAAGCGTTGTATTGCCTCAGTGATTGCTCGCTTTGTGTGGGCCACATTTGAGTTCCCTTTCGCCAGCATTGCCTTATTCATAGCCAGTTCACCTAATTCTTCCGTTAGACTGCCGTCAGGATGACGGCCGAATTTGGCGCCGTTAACATCCGGCTCGTTGTCAACGTCATAGCCAGCCTTTCTTAGCCCAGCGGTGTTGAGAAATGCACTGTGGCCAGCTCCTCCTTGTATCATGATCGGTGTATCTGGGAAATATTTGTCAAGTGAGGCGCGATCGAAATCGGGAATAGTAGAGATATTGCCCACAACCCAGTCCTGAAAGGCATGTTGATAGGCACAAGCACACTGTCCTTCCTGGATCCGCATTCCAATGTTCTCTATCGTGGTATCACAGGCTAGGTTAACACCACTCAGATACGAGACGCCTGCGGAAAGTAGATGAACGTGCGCATCATGAATTCCTGGCATGACAAAACGACCATGAAGATTGTACGTGATGATGCCATGAGCCTTCGCAAATTGGAGGACCTCATCGCTTGTTCCCACCATCGCAAATGTGCCTTGCAGTGTGACAATGAACGCCTCGGCGAGCTGGCCGGAACCATTCAAGGTGTAAACTTTGCCGTTGTAATAAGCGACTGATTGTTCAATGACCGTCGTCATTGTGCAAGGGTTCGTCAAAAGACCTTGATTAGCCGATGTTTCCTTTGCAAAGCAATATGTGGTGCTACTATAAGGAGAACGGGCAAGGTAAGTTGGGGAAGAGGAAGGAGTTTCCTTTGTTAGAATCGGTCGATGAGGGAGGGGAAGGCAAGGCTCAGGAAGCCAGGCTCCAAGGCAACCAACCACTGTGACACATGATGCCTTCCGTGTTCCTCCAGTTCATCAGCCCAAAAAGAGGAACAGAACACCTTTTTGCGTCGAGGACTTGTGAAAGCACTGGCTGTGTCGAAAAGCCCGTGTACGAGGTGAGCTCAACTTGATTACACAGTCTGTATTATTTATAACCCGATGAGAATCTGAGTGGAACGTGTATTGTGGTGTAACGTAATTTATTGTACTGCTCTGGTTTTCTATTTACTATTAGGAATAAAATCACTTCTGGATATATTGACTTGGGCCTGAGGGGCCTTCTCTTCGTTATAGCCAGATCCTACTGTATTATTTTGCCAGTGGGAAGTTTATCGACGAAGATGTGGTAGTCCACAGCAAATGTTAAAGTAATGCTTGATTTATTCGTAGTGAAGACTTAATCACCCCATATCTTACACTTGATGTTTCTCGAATTGCAGCATCATACTATGTAGCATAGAGGAACCACCGAGAGTCGAGGTAGCTTCACACATACTTTAACTTACGCCTCATTTTTATTATGTCCAGGAGCAAGCTGTATGGATATATATTGCTCGTAACCATGTCAGAGCTTTGAAGTGGGATTGTGCTAGTTTATAACATCCCCCCTGTAATTACTATAGAATTGGACAATAATAGTCATATTGAGTGGCTGCTGGAAAGCTCACAACTAGCCAGGGAACCTCTTATCGTCCAATTACCCCTCAATAATTACTCGCTCAGTCTTTGGAGTTAATTGTGCCTCATGGAGGGTTGGAACTAACATTAATCGAGGGCCTTCATTGCATGCCATACCAATAGCAACGGCACATTTAGCCGCTCAATGTGGGAGCCGCTATCAATCTTTTAATAGCCTTATATCAATCCATTATTACTTTTGTCGAATTTATCTCATGTCCATGTCTTAGTTAGAGCCTGTTCGACTCTGCTACTTTCATCTTCATCAATCACTTCTCTGTCATTGCCTCAGAAGCCTTCAGCTTAGAAACCATGACTGGCTAGGAACTCGGCATAAGTACAAGAGATGTAGGCTTGTGTGGCTTAAGACTAGATCCCAAAAGTTAGCCCACGAACATTGTCTTGTCCACCAATATCCATGAACGCGTCTCAAAACTCCTTGATGTTTTCAATCAACATCCCTTATTCATCAACAGTGAATCAATGCATAAACAGTGATACCGCCTTTCCACAAAATGAAGGGGAAATAGGAGAAGAAGAGTCTCTTTAATCATAGACATGTGATTTGTGATTTGACTGGGAATACTTAATCCAACCACAGCATGTTCCTCGCTTACAGGGCAGTTCACAAGTTACGAGGTGAATATGGAAAGATAGATGTTCAAATAATACTTACCAATATCCGCCGTCTAAAATTAGAGAGAAAGATTGATTGCATGTCGATTTTTAGACGATTCAGTGCAGTTTGAGTTTTTTTACAACCGACCTAGGTTGCTTATATACTCCCGGAGTAATGCTTTCGAGAGATCCACGGTGACAAATATACCTAGATAAGCTAATATATAGATATCTTGAGAGTCTTCGGAACCTCGAGCATATGCCCCAGAGTTCAAGTCTTCTAGTAACGATATATAGGCTACACCCATTGTGACGATGCCAATCTCATGTATTCGAACTATCTAGCGCTGCATACAGAGGTGCGTATCTACTGAGAATATCAAGCATGAGAAAAGGAAGAAGAAGAAAGCAAACTCGCTACGCCCAATCTCCCGTATAATACTATCCCGTGTGCGTCGGTTCCTAATTCGGTAACCGTGATGGTTCCCGCCACTACCTTCACCTCCCGGCAGTATACCGATCGCCTCATTACACCGTCACACCCATGATACCTAGGTATTTAATTGAGTAATCGAGTATGAGTGCTGTGGAGTATATCTCTAAAATTTTATAGCATGCACAAGCAAATACCTTCCAAGGCTGAGGAAAAATAACCACTTTCTTTGAATATTCCATCAGGGTGCTTAGGTAGTAAAAGGGTTAGTATTGATGAGAGATCTGAATAATGTTCTCTACAGTAGTAGAAACACAAAGATTTTGTGATATTTCAATTGAAAGGTTGCTAGTACATTCTAAACTATTATGAACTTGCTAATCGACATGTAAATCCAAGATTAATGTTTTATATATCTTTAACAAGCATACGTCCTGGTATTTGCGAGTCTGGATCCAATTACCAATGCGGAAGCACCGAGGTTCACGATGAACTCAATCGACGGCCTTGTGACATCACCTGTAGGGCTACGATAAGCTTAATTCTACTGCGAGACAGAGTGCATACACTGGGATTTTCAATAAGAAATTATCATAGTTTGTATAGTGATGTAGCCAAGAACTTTCCTTTGGTATGGATCTACTACCCAGAAAGATCTATGTGGATACAGATCGGATTGTCTCGATCTATGAGGCTCCTGGCTAGTAGTTCCCATTTAACGACACGATAAGGTCATTTGTGCGATCGATCTGGCATGTTGGTTTCATTGATCTATTTGCGTGTTTAGTGTGAAACTTCTGAAGTCTAGATGGGTGATGCATCATGGCTACGACATACTGTCTTGCAATCCATGGTCCGTCTCATCGATGAATCTAACCTAGATAATGATTGGTAAAGTATATAAGGACGTCCATCAACCAAGCAATTAACGTACTCAAGTCCCTCGATCTCATATCACTCATAGCTGCTGTATTCCTCGAAAACAAACCCATACTTACTAGTTAGCCCGTACATACAAGATGCCTGCTCGCGACAAATATACCGAACCCCAGCTTCGCGACCAAATCAAAGAAGAAATTCATGCCTCTGACAAAGGTGGGCGACCAGGCCAATGGTCTGCTCGAAAGGTGTGTTGCCCTTTCCTTACCTGAAAAATATGTCCTACTAATTCCATGGGAATAGGCACAAATGATGGCATCCGAATACAAAAAACGCGGCGGTTCCTACACAACAGACAAAGAAACAGGCCAAGACGAATCACAAAAGCATCTATCAAACTGGACTGAAGAAAAATGGCAGACGAAAGAAGGAGAAGCGAATGCTACGAAGTATGATGGGACGAAAAAGAGATATTTACCGAAAGAGGCGTGGGAGAAGATGAGTGAGGAGGAGAAGGAGGAGACTGAGAGGAAGAAGGAGGAAGGGGAGAAACAAGGGAAGCAGTATGTGGGAAATACGGAGAGGGCGAGGGAGGAAAGGAGGAGGACTAGTAAGGGTGGTGCTGGGAGTAAGGATAAGGATGAGGGTAAGGATGAGGATGGTGAGATTGAAGCGAAGGATGTGTCAAAGAACAAGAGGGCCGGACCGAGAAAGAATAAAGATGCTGACGCCAAGAATGAATCTGAAGATGGCGATAATGAAGATGGCGCACAACACGAAGAGGAAGGAGAAAACGAGGAAGACGTGCAAGAGGATGGTGATTTCGTCGAAGACGCCGAAGCAAATCAAGATGATGAAGATGACGACATCGTCGACGGTGACAACGAAAAGGAAGAGCCACATGGCCAAAAAAGGGTTCATACACGGCAAGACGACAAGACGGAGAGTAAGAAGCAAAAGACAACGTCCAAGAATGAAGAAGATGGGGGTGAAGAAGAATAATATGTCTCATGATTGCTGTGCTGTTATACATGCGACACATGCCAACTACTCCAATTCCCAAAGGAAGAGAGATAAACAGAAATTAGCCTGAAGATTCGAATTCAACGTCTGTATTCGTACACTGACTTGAGTCATGGATGATTCTATCTGCGAATAAAAAACTTGAAGAATCGGCTTGGTCATGATGCGATGAAACAGGATCAAAGGTAGAGGAAAAAAATGCGCAATGCAATTCTATTTCGGTACACAAAATGGGTATATCTAGTCATGAAAAAAACAATGAGGTCCATAAGGAATAAATAACGGCTAATATGATGGAGTATGATGCAGCATATGGTCGAGTGTATGTGTATGGTGGGCATGGTCGAGGTATATGCGAGTGCTAAACAATGGCATCCCGTTCATCAATCCACACCAATTCCGGATACCTGTCAACATCATCAAGATGCACCGTCGCTGAATTGGGGATATACTCGCTTATGCCGTATATTTCTTTCAATGAGCCTAGTTGTCCAGCAACAAACTTTTGAAACAGATCCTGTATATGAGCGTCGTATAATGAGTTCATACCAGGCTGGTAGCCGCGGATCGATAAAGATTCTAAATGCGGGGGAAGGACGTCGGCAAGAAACAGGTTGGAGGAGGCAAAGTCGCCAGTAGTGCCATGTGCCATATGGAAAAGACATCGCACCCCAATGTTCAGTCTTCGCAAAGCTGTGAAATTTCGGAGACTTCCCGATTGCATGAATACAAGTTCAACGACTGATTTATTATTCATAAATGCTTTGCGCTCTTCCTCGGTCTCATTGACGTCTACATCGTGAGACAAATCGCCGAGATATTCTTCGAATTCTTCTTGTTCGAGTTCATCCGAATAGTCCGCGTCCGTGTCGAGGTTGAGAGATTCTAGTGATTCACGATGAATAAGTAACGCCCTAAAAATAGCCGGAAATGCCATGTGCCAGTTGCCGGTGTCCTGGGTGGCACGTCCGCCAACAGAATGTGTAAAATGTCGAAGTGTTTTTGAGGATGCAATGATTGAGCAGAGAAACATTGTCGGTAAGACAGAATGAAGGAGTTCGATTCGACCGAGGTTGGAAGTCAACGGAGCAAAATCCTCACGGCCGTTCTCGTCGATTTCCATGCCGCCAACGCAGATGTGTTCGATGGAGGGTAATTGGTGGAAGAGAGACATGTGATATAATAGGTCGTAGCGGTTGAAGAATAATGGATCATTATCAAGGGCGTCGTCGGTGTGTAGTAAGTCGACCCGCCGTAATCTTTGAAGAAATACCGAATTGAATATGCTGGTAGAATGTAATAGAAATTGCTCGAGTGGTAATGCTGGGTAACCTTCCTTCATGAATCGTCCTATTGGGCGGATTTTTAGAGATTCCAGGTTCGGACAAACGGACATTAGGAGAGCTGCGAGTGATTGAATCATATGTGAGCCTCGAGTATGTCGACCACCTCGAGAGCGGGAACTATATTATATTATATATGTGTCAGCACCGATCCCAAGCTTTTATCGGTGGGGCGGATACATACGAATGAAAGCCATGGGAGAAGTCAAGGTCAAAATGTCGTTGAAGCAACATATTAAGGACCAACTCCTCCTCCGCGCCGTACCATCCTGCATTACGAACAGCTAATCGTAGTAACAATCCGTCCTCTTCCGTAATAAACCTCTGGTATGGGGTCGGCTTGTACCATCCATGGAATTGCGTGTCTCGAAGAATATCGATGTGACGTATGTATAAGCCCAGCTCAGGCTGCCGCAGGATAGACATAAGCAATTGGAAGGCTTCGTCGCAGTCCTGCTCGGACCGCAATCGAACGACATCAGGAACGTTAATCGGGTCCAATCCAGGAGCAGTTTTACCCAATTCCATGCTCATCACATTGTCCAAAGGAAGTAGCGTGCTGGTCGATAGTGCTGCCATGGTAGACACGCGGAAGAAGAGGGGGATATCCATTTCGGCGTCCATGTATGTAGAAGGGGAAGAGGAGCGGGGAGCTGTGAGCACGAACCGCCCGTCATGAGGCGTAACGTGCTCCCACCCCAATCGACTCGACGCTCGTATTATCTGTTCTGCGACCGTAGTCATATGCTCTCTTGCTTCTTGGCTATCCCACTCCCTCCCCAATCCTACCCCCTTCTCCACCTCTTCCTCGGCCAAGCTGTCGTTGTAGAATCCCAATGTGTGGTCGTCGATGTCGTCAACAAGCCGAGCTACAGCGAAGGACGATGCGAGCAGAGGTCCATCCGGGCCGACGCCTTCTCGAAGCCCGAGAACTGCCAGGGTGGTGGTTGTGTCGAAGAAGTATGTAGCTGCTGGCACGCCCAAGCGGCCGTTTTGGGAAGAAGCGTCGACGGAATCCCTATTTATAGGTCGAACATCACTGAATCCTCTTATTATATTCTCTTCTTAGTCCTTCTTTGAAGTCCTTGTTTTGTTTGGGCGGTCCAATGGATCGACGGAAGGGGAGGTTCAAGGTCGTTGGTATTTGGTAGCGATCGCAAAGGGACGATTGTTCCCACTTATGAAAGGGGAGGAAGGCAAAGAAAGAGAAAGTCCAGATGATGATTATCGAAAAAAGAATGCCATTGAGGCCGACCCAGGGCGGAGAACGGGTACGTAGCGAGGAGATCACTTCAGTTGGTGGCAGCCTAAGACAAATTGGGGCAGCGCGCAGCTAGACAACAAAAGAGACACTCAGGCTAGTTGCAGCAGTAGTAAGCGCGGCAAGTACTAGAAGGTCAAGGAAGGACTGTGAGAGGAAGAGAAGCTCCTGTGGCGACGGCATGTCCCTCGGTAGGCAGTTGCTCTGCCTGTTGATATTCACTGAATCAGTGCATCGATCAGTCCCTGGCGTGCAGCATCTGTAGTGGCTCCTCGAAACGGAATAGCCGGAATACAGAAAGAATTGGCCAGTTGCCAGTGTGTAAGAACGGAGAACGGTTCATGGACTATGTGGATATGAAGGGGGACAGTCAAGCAAAAGCAGAGAAAGCCTGAAACTGGCTGATAATCGCGGGTGGAGACTTGCAGAAGCTACTGCACGATAAGTATTTTCCTAATCAAGCTATTCCCTCGGTATTACCGCGTCATACGTAACTTACCACGAGATTTACCCGTTGCATACAGTCTATGTATTTGATTGCACTCATTAATTGTAAATATCTACTTAGGTGTTTGTATTTGTCTGTATGCCATTGAACCGCGCAAATCATTATATATTCAAAATTGACAGGATGGTCGGCATGACCGTGTCGTATAAAGTCCTAATTCCGACAGCCTGTTACTCATACAATTATAAATAGCGATTGACCACATATCCAGAACTGTCAAGGCACATGCTGCATGGGTACACCTGCATCCTCATAAATATGTCGCTGCACTCGCTGAATGCGATTCCGCCAAGTACTTTCCTGATTCAGTCAATACATCTCTCGGATAAAGGTAAACCCGTGGGTCGCTTCCGTACCTCCACTCGGAGCTTGCGTAATTTACATACGCTTACGTATGTAACATACGTTTATGCCTGCATTATGTATGTGATAGTTTAGCGCCGCAGATCTGAACGAAGCTACTTCGGGTCGAGTACTTACATAGTATGGACTTCGCCGTGCCTTTCGCGCGATCGCAGCCAATCAGCATACCGAATGCGTCGTCTAAATCGGGAGCATCTCGGCCGCTTTTAGACGGTACAGATGCAAATCATCCCTCCTTCTATGCTTACACTTGCCTATTTCATTAACTACTTGGTGCGACACTCTGTAAGTGTATGCTCTTTTACATCCGGCGTACATTTTTCTGTTCAGTCGATGATGAGTATAGAGCCACAGTACCAGCCACTTCCAGATGCCACATGGCGTTGATAGTTTTTATCAAGCTGACAAGATATTGGTGTACAAGAACTCAAAGTAAGCATATCGGAAACCGCTAGTCCAAGTTCCCGACATGTGATGCCGTCTCCAACATTCCATGTTTTCTAGAAAGAGTCACCGCCCCGTTAGAAATTCGACTGATATGATTACAGGGCTATTTACGTAGTACTAGAACGTATCGTTAGGCCACCCCCGCGTGACGATGGTCCCTGTCCCAACCCATCGGGCTATAGCAGCGATCTTATCAGAATATCAATCGAGTCCTTTCCTAAGATACGGTCACTCCAACGTCAATGATCGGGTGCGTACATCAGCAGGCTTGCTCAGGCGTACCGTCCTAGAGCCAACAGTTGGAAATCGTCCTCGCCATTTGGTCCGCGCTGTAGCTACGCAGAACCCAGTAACTGTAAGTGGGTAGTACTGTATGGTGTTGTGTTGGATATGTTGGATTCCGTGCCGCATATGCATGTCAGCGCCAATAATATCCCTTAGGATATGAACAGCTACCAGGCTCATCGTCCATGCAGGATCAATTGGATTCACTTACACTCCCGTCAAGGTCAGAGAATCATACTCTTACTGAAGTAGCAATCCTCTGTAACAACTCGCGCCGTTAGCTTGCATGGTGGATGTTAAGATACCTGTCCGCTGGACGGCGTGAAATAATCATCAAGCACTCAATGGCCCAGCAGATATATCCCGGAATGTGATATCCAAACTGTCGAGTGTTGGCTACGCTTGATCGGACGATCGTGAATAAGGAACATCTATTTCCGGAACATACTCTCTAGTGTTATCTCTCTTCCCTCCGTCGTTGGCTTACCCAGTCGTGTCGGATATTTCCGTCACCTTGGAAACGCAGATGCTGATGGGAAGATCTTTTAGCATTGGCCATATCTGGTAATTGGTTAATAAATGAATCTGATAATAACTGACGTACCCACAACAGATTATAAGACATTCGCTGATCGTTCACAACGAGAGAAACGACAGCTAACGATCGGAAATCGGTAGCGGTGTAAATTCGAATCTGCCACTTTTTGTTTATACTAAGCAACTGCCCGATGGTTGGGCTTACTACAACTGGTAAGCGCACGGATTCTTTTTTTTTTTTGGCGGAGCTGCTACATCATCGTAAGGCGATGTGGCTAGAAACTGGTTTATGTTAATCTGTTAGAAAAATCGGCTCGATATGATTTTCCGGTAGACTGGCAGTGCGGGTCTCGGGATTTGATGTTCTTTTGAGTAACATCCAATATCGAGACAAAATTCAGTATTGCTCATTGTGGATATCCGTAAATAGGCCCAACGGATGATCAGACTGTAGTCATTCAAATACGCCCGATAGTTAGTATCAAAGCGAAATGATCTTTTCATGGTAACACGTTGGTCACACGTCCATTGGCCTGTTCGCCTATTCTACAAAGAATTGATTCCTGGTTTCAGCGACCAATGAACTACCAGCATATCCTTGTTATAAAAACCACGAACAGAATCAGGCCATGGTCTAGTCAATGGTCACACGGTTCGACACCAAAAATCATGATCGAGTCGAGCCTGTATTTCCATCTAGCTTAACTTAAGTAGTTAAGTAGCATGGAATTACCTAATCATCATAGTAGTTAGTTAGTCAAGTTAGGGCTTGAAGCCGAACCACCGGGACGCCGAACCCACCACAAATTTTGAACCAAGCCGATCACGTCTAGATAGAAGCCTTTCGACTTGGTCGACATTCCAATACCTGGTCAACAACAGCTACTACGTAGATGCTAGTCGGTTTCGAGGGTCTAAGCATTAGTGCCTGATATGATACGTTATCCCCCAGTTGTTGTGGTAGAAACTTGTCCATGACCGTAGCAGCCGAGACAATCCGATTGATGATTTCGAGATATCTTAACTCATTCAGATGACCCTCTGTCCCTTATAATCACCGAAACAAAGAAAGAGTACGTAAGTATGTGTTGGTGGCTGTGCTGTCGCGTTAGTGTTGGATGTTTGATTGGTAATATTTTCCGGACGACTTCTTCCGAGGTTCTTACTACGCGATCGTTATTGACCAGGGAGACCGGGGTTTAGACTTGATTTAGATATTTTGTCACATGGAGTTCAGACGCAGATATGTAAAGGATGGCTGGAAGACTGGAGTTGAAATTTACTTGATAAGGAGTCTAGATTCGGGGTCTGTGCACGTTACCTATGTCTCAATCAGGCAGTCCTTGCGGAATTACCGGTTGGTTCTGGCCTAGGCATCCTGGAACATGTACGTATCAGCCACCTGGATGGAGGACGGCGTTAACCAAATGGATGTTAAATCATTGAAATATTGCAGTGCTGTCATATTTGAGGTACATACATAGCTGCATACACAGGTTGTGTATGTGAGCAAGGAAAAATTACCAAATTGAGTACTTCCCATTTCAGTATTGTCGCCCGACGCAGCATCGCCACTTGACCGGGGTATAAAGGTGAGTGACCAGTCTTGGTATGACATCGGTTTAGAGTCGATGCGCTATTTTTATGCATTCCATCTTGGCCGGTGTGAGCAATTGACATACTAGTAACAGTAGTAGAACACCGACATGCATATCATTATATAGATCATAGAGAATCAATTTTGATTGTGATGAATATATTCTCGTCCAGGTTGTTTCTATTTGTTGGTGTATTCTTTTGCTGTGCAAAGAAATGCAGTAAGTAGTAGCCAATCGGATTTCGATATGTATCTGGAATATATGCACCAATCAAAGGTCTGGAAAGAGATTCATCTCCACCATTGCCATGCGATGTACAGAGTGGCGTTTGCACTAAGCCAAAACTGGCAGGCATAGAAGTCGGGAGCCCAGATTATTGGATGGGTGGAAGAGACCTACAAAACCGAAGGCCCGCAGTGGGGTAGACCCACGCGGGTCTTGTAGACGCTAGACCTTTTTTGGATGGCATTCTTTGTATAGCTCGATTTTTCGAGAAATATCAGGCATTTACAGTCACACGAGTTGAAAGTCACATTATGTACATCATTTATAACCAACTCGGTGGAAATGTGTCTTGGAGATGCTGGACACAGTATCTGTTGAGTTTGTATGTGGTGTGGAAGACCCTCATTGCATATTAGCTAAAGAAAAGAGCCTCATTGTGTACTAACTACATCCGGAAGGTGCTGTTGAAATTAGATCAGTTCACCACTACCTAGGTATTAAC